CCAAGTCTGGACGATATGGCAGAGGCATCCATTCTGCTCGACAGCATCCAGCCATTCGAGGATGTGCCGTTCTCCTTGCTTGACACCAGCGAGAATCTCAACACCGTGCTCGACGCTGCAGCCGAGCAGTGCCGCGTCGACAAATCAGCTATCGAGGACCTGTACCCTTGCACCGCAATGCAGGAAGGTCTGATGGCGCTCTCGGATAGTCGCAATGGAGTATACATGGCGCAGCACACTCTTGCTCTCGGTCCGAACATTGACCTGGAACGATTCAAGCAAGCATGCCAGGACGTAGTCACCGCACACCCCATCCTGCGGACGCGCATCATCTACCGCCAGCAGTCGGTATCGCTACAGGCTGTGATCCGGGGGGATATTGACTGGCGTACTGGCGAAAGCCTCGAGGAGTACTTGGCAAATGACAAAAAGCAGCCTATGGGGGCAGGAGATGCTTTGACCCGCTACGGCCTTGCTCCTGGGGAGCACGGATGGATCTTCGTATGGACCGCTCACCACGCTGTCTACGACGCCTGGACACTGGATCTTGTCTTTGAACGTATTGACAAGGCATACAAGGGTCAGCGGCCGGCTCGAGATGTGACCTTCAAGGCATTCATGGACCATGTGGTCCAGACCGACGCCAAGGCGTCCAACGACTTCTGGCAACAATATCTCGCTGGCGCGATGCGGAACGAGTTCCCGTGCACTGTCTCTACCGCAAAGCAACCGGTGGCAGACACCACTTCGATCTACGAGATGACTCTTCCTCGCACGGACAACCTGCCGGGAATTACGGTGGCGTCGATGATTCGTGCAGCCTGGGGGATTCTGATCGGGTCCCATTCCGAATCCGAGGATGTGGTGTTTGGAAACATTGTTTCTGGTCGAAATGCTCCTGTGCCGGACATCGATCGTCTGGTCGGTCCGGGAATTGCTGCCGTCCCGGTGCGCGTTAAAGTTCCCAGTGATGCTAGCACTACAGTCAAAGAGTTTGTCGGCAACTTGCAGGCTGAGGCCGCGAAGATGATTGCCTTTGAGCAACTGGGACTGCAGAACATCGGTCGGCTGAGCACAGAGGCAGCCAGTGCTTGTGACTTCCAGACGCTGCTGGTTGTCCAGCCCGCCAAGGACAAGTCGGCTACCGTCGAGGAGCCGGACTTGACAGCTGTGTCGGACGCTGACGCCAATTTCGGAACATACACCCTCACTTTGGAATGCACCTTGCAGACCCAGGGAGTGAAGTGTGCCGCTCACTTCGACTCCAGTCTCATCGCAGCCGACTACGTCCAGCGGATCCTTGCTCAGCTGGAACACCTCCTTCAGCAGTTCTGCACCTCAAATGCAAACACCAAGTTGGACGATCTCACCTTCATCAGTGCCAAGGATGAAGAGAGCATCCGTCAGTGGAACCAAGACATTCCGGCTCCGGTCCATAAGACCATCCATCAGTTGATCGAAGAGCGCATCGCAGAGCAGCCTGGCAAAGAAGCTGTCTGCTCGTGGGATGGTTCCTTCTCCTATGCGGACTTGGACAACCACTCTGCCCGCTTGGCACATCGCCTTGCTGAGCTCAATGTCCAGCCTGAAGACTTTGTGCCTTGCTGCTTCGAAAAGAGCCGGTGGCCAGTCGCTGCCATGCTGGGTGTCATGCGTGCTGGTGGTGCTTTCTTGAACATTGATCCGTCACAGCCTAAAAGTCGCATCCAGCTGATGATCACGAAACTCAAGTCGAAGACAATTGTATGCTCACCCGAGCAACACGAGTTGTGCCTATCTCTGGTTCCCGAATACAATGTAGTGGTTCTCTCTGCGGACACACCGGAAGAGCCTGCCATCAGTGGTCTTCCTGTGACGAGTGTCACTCCTCAGAACTCCGCCTATGTCATTTTCACATCTGGAAGTACGGGAGAGCCTAAGGGTACGGTGATCCAACACGGTGCATACGCCTCCGCATCTACAACCCATGCATCGACGATGTTGATGGATGACCAGACTCGCGCGCTGCAATTTGCCTCCTTCACCTTCGACGCTAGCTTAGTCGAGACCCTCACCACGTTAGTTGTCGGCGGTTGCGTGTGCGTGGCGTCGGAGGAGCAGCGCAAGCGCGATGTGACTGAGGCAATCCGAGAGACCAACTGCAACTGGGCCGCTCTGACCCCGTCTTTTGTGAACCTCATTGACCCCGATGATGTCCCGTCACTGAAGACACTGATCCTGGCCGGTGAAGCGATGTCTCAATCGCACATCGAGACCTGGGCCCATCGACTTCGACTGGTGAACGCTTATGGCCCCAGTGAGTGCTGTGTCTGCAGCACGAGTAACTTCGAGATCACCAGCCAGTCAAGCCCAAGGAACATTGGGCGGGCATGCTCTGGAGCCACCTGGGTCGTCATGCCAAACAATCACCACAGACTGGTGCCGGTCGGAAGCGTTGGAGAGCTTGTTATGGAAGGCTGGAACGTGGGTCGGGGATATCTCGCAGAGCCAGCCAAGACACAAGCTGCCTTCGTGGAGAATCCGAGGTGGCTCAATAAGCAAGATACTACACGGCCTCCGGTGGTGTACAAGACTGGTGATTTGGTACGCTACAATCCCGACGGTACACTGAGCTTCCAGCGCCGCAAGGACACCCAAGTCAAGCTGCGGGGCCAGCGGATAGAACTGGGCGAAATCGAGTATCGCATCAAGCAAAGCCTACCCAACAAGCCGGACGCCATCGTTGACATCCTCTCTCCTAAGGATGCTTCCAGCCAGCCTCGCTTGGTGGCATTTCTTCCCGTGCCCATTGAAGAAGTTTCCTCTGCTACCACCATTATTCCCCCACCGAGCGACCGCCATGTGACAGCAGTGTCCGGACTCGAGGACCGGCTGGCCGACTTCCTGCCAATGCACATGATTCCGAGTGCTTACCTTCCAGTAAACTACATTCCCAAACTACCCTCTGGCAAGGCAGATCGCAAGACATTGATCCGATGTGGTAGCGAGATGACTCAAAGACAAATGGCCGAATACACGGGGGCAACCGAGGAGGCGCAACCCCCGACTACAGAGATGCAGCTTGCGTTGCAGCAACTCTGGGCCGAGGTTCTCAAGACATCGGCCGCGCAGATCAGCCTTAATGACAATTTCCTCCGGCTGGGAGGGGATTCGATCACGGCCATGCGACTAGCATCCGCGGCTCGTGCTCAAGGCATTCCTCTCTCGACTGCCACCGTCTTTCAGCACCCGACTCTGGAGGCAATGAGTGCTATTGCAGAAACCTTGTCGCATCAACAGCGACCTCAGACATTCGAACCTTTCTCGACGCTCAAGTCCTGCACCAAGGATCAGCTGTTGAACGAGATCGTGCTGCCACAAGTTGACTGCCCTGCCTTTAACATCGAGGACGTGCTTGAGGTCACCGACTTCCAATCGCTTGCCATTGGTGGTGGGCTCAACAAGACCCGCGGTTGGAGCAATTACCTGGTGTTCGATTTTACCGGGCCGATTGACCTGCGACGCTTGCAGACGGCCTGTGAGGAGCTGCTGAAACACCACGCAATTCTTCGCACGGTCTTTGTGAAGTCTGGCTCGCAACTGCTGCAAGTTGTGCTGCGTTCAGTAATCCCCGAGTACACGTCCCATATCCAGGATGATCAAGACCCATCCGAGACACTTGTTCGTGAAGATCTTGCTCGGCCGCCACATCTAGGCGAACCCATTGTTCGATTCATAGTGGTTAAGAACGGAGCAATCCGACACCGTCTGATCATGCGGATCTCTCACGGGCAATACGACGGCTCCTCCATGCCGCTCTTGATGCAAGACCTTCGCAACGCCTACAGAGGCGAGTCTCTTGCGAAGAGACCCCAGTTCGCCGATTTCGTGCGCATGCAGTTACTCACCAACGAGGGCGCCGAGGCCTTCTATCGACAGATGCTGGCCGGATCCGCGATGACCGCGGTGGTCGAACACACCAGGCCGTCCATCACAAACGTGCTTAATACGATGATCGTTGACATGGTCCCCTTGGTCGCATACAAGGATTATGGCATCACCGCCGCTACGGTGATCAAAGCAGCGTGGGCGATGGTGCTGGGAGAGTTGGCCGCCACATCGGACGTGGTCTATGGCCACATGGTGTCGGGTCGCAACCTCGCCCTGGACAACGTCGAGTCCGTCATGGGACCGTGCCTGAACATTGTGCCCGTCCGTGCGGACATGAAGACTGTGCGCACGGTCCTCGAGCTGCTGCAGATGATCCAGCAACAGCAGACCGACACGATTCCACACGAGTCCCTCGGTTTCCAGCACATTATTGACCTGTGTACTGATTGGCCTGCCGGGACGCGATTCAGTTCGGTTTTCCAGTACCAGGAGTTCGGGACGGAAGAGGATCCCACGCAGCCGGTCTCGATGGAAGGAACCTTGAAATGTGCCCCGGGATTCATCTGCCCAGCCCCCGATGCTTGTGATTTGTCGATTCTGGCCACCCCGGTGGGCTCGCAGGTGCGGATCGAGATGATCTTCTCGACTCACGCCATGTCGCAGTCGTTCGCGGAGAAGACGTTGAAGAAGCTGTGCGCCAAGGTGGAGGCTATCGCACGCCAAGATGTCAACACCCCGCTGCCCTCAGAGGCGCAGCTCACGTCGCGACAGGCTGTCATCCCGTTACCTGAGCCCCGGGAAAATATGGCGAATGGGCTGGTGAACGGAATTGTGAAACAGATGGTCAATGGAATTAATGCGATGGGTGAGATGAGTGGATTGAATGGGATAGCGGAAGGGGAAAGTGAGCCAGAAGAAAGAGAAGGAGGAGGAGGAGGAGGAGCGGCAGATCACGAGATCAACCTGTTGGCCTCGGTGCCTATAAACTAAGGCATCAAGCACCAGCCACCGTCTTTCAGAATGTGTATAGTATCGAATAACTCTTTCCTAAGACTATGATCCTCTACATAAGTCAACAATCTTTACATCAGACATTAAACCAAAGACTGCCCTTTGAGAGACCATCTTAAGCCCGTGTAGCCAGCGTTTCAAGGCAGTCATCGACGTAGTACAATACAATATATCAACCAACCCTTGCGAATCCACCAAGCCATACACAGTAAACGCATTCTTCTCCATGATTCCACAATGTCACAACGCCACCAAAATCACCCTTCAAAGCCACAGTGTCCTACCCACAAATTACTTGTCCACAACCACACCGCCACAGCAAGCCTTCTCGCCCCAACAATGCCAATGCAACACCACCTAACACCCCTTGCATTCCTTCACCCACAACGAAATCGGCTGGTACTGGGAGTCCGATCCCTTCCCCAGATGGTAGATCTCCCTGATCTGGCCCGAGTTGGGATCCACCCCGAAGGCGCTGCTCTTTCCGTTGACTGTCAGGTAATTCTGATTGTCGACCCCGAATCCCGCCACGACGGCACCGCTGGGGGCATCGGCGTCGGGGCTCGTCAGCGTCACGGGCGCGTCCGTACTCCCCATGACGTAGAGATGTTGTACGCCGGCGGAGGAGCGGTGTTGCGCTGCGCCGGTGATTTTGCTGTTGTTGTTACCCCCTTTCACTGTTCCTCAATCCGCATGGTTAGTAGTTGGAACGGATGAGGGTTAGATTGAGTGGATGAAGCTTACAGATCAGGACGGGGTAGTTGTCAATGTCTCCGGTGCCGATGAAGGCATGGGCTAGACCGATGTCAGATAAAGAACAAGACTCTCGGATGCTAGAGAATGGGAGGGGAAGGAGGCATACTTCCGTCGGTGACCACAGTCCAGCCTCCATCTGCGACAAGAGTATACGAAGAGGGGAAGGGAAGAGCTGCAGCGCTGGCTGCGAGTGCGGACACGACAGCTGCGATAGGATATTTCATTGTTATGTCGCTGAGGGCCCTGCCTAAGCAAGAGGTAAAAGCGAATGCAATCGACTAGGAAAGATGGGCGGTTTTATAATCAAGTGGCCAATGCTTGTGGCAGTGTCTTCTGCGTCAGTCTGCATCATGATGTTATTCATAGTCTCGGTAAGTGCGAGAGCGCCTCTGTCTTACCCACCTGAGAGCAGCTGCAGGGATTGTCTCAAGGAGCGGCCTTCAAAGATTGTTCCAGATGAGGCTACGTTGGACGAACGAATCTTTGTCTTGCCGTTGGGATTGATATTTGCCCACCCTTTACTTTCCTAGATCCAAGAGATCGGCTTTTATATCTCAAATTTGGTTCAGGTCTCCCGGTCTGAAGATTTCGTCTTCGTGCTGGTAAAAGTCGAGAAGGGCTGATCTCTGGAGTACTGTGCAACCCCCTTGAGCCACGGTATGGAGCGAGCGACGATCCCTGTGGCGTTGACGACCGGCTGTCGATCTCCTGACTGAGATTTCGGGCAACCAAAGCATTGGACTACCACCCACCATACAATTCTGTCGGTTACAGACACCTCTAAGGCTTCAGAGAGAGTTTCCCACAGAATTCTTTCCGTCATGAGTTACAGTCCCTGAGAATGCAGCCACGGCTCGTAGTCCTTGCATGTGTTCCAACATAAAGAAGATTGCACAGACTAAAAGGTGCTGACTGTCAGTTGTGTGGCTGCTGTGACTATCGCCTGTAACAATAGCAAAAGGTATCACATGTGAGTGTCTGCCTTATGTGGCCAAATCATGAACTATCATATCTCTCAGCATGGATGCATCTGAGGATCCAGAGGCCCGCACAGACAGTTGTGCACACACGATGAGAATGCTGAGTCATCTATACAAGCATAACGCCTGCCCCCATTGGCCTCTCAGTGGTATTGTAGGTACCCTGCTGGCCTCACTACAAACATGGATTACCAGTTTCCAGTGGGTTTCAGCATTGGCAATATCACCGTTAGTATCTCATCGGATATTCTAAAGCACCTCGAATTTCGGTCGATACTCCATCATTTATACATCTAAAGAGCAGCAATACTGAATATATATTATTTCACCACCTGGGTATACACGCCTCAGATGACATGAAGTCTGCAGCTCTCTCTTCCAGTACGCACACGGTTGACATAATAATGGCAGCGGAAATCAAAGGCAAGATACTAGTATTACAGTACTGCAAGTTCGTTGTCTCATACACTCGTAGCATCTGATTCATCAATCAGAAGAATTGCCACAGTGCTACAGGAGTGAAAGTCCGTGGTGGCCGCATCGCGAAGATACCTTTTCTTTTTTGTAGACTCAAGATCGGCTAGAAAGGCATTTAGATCTAGCAGGACGAAGTTAAAATCGGCGACAATTAATCAAGGTACAGTAAGTAAAGATTTTCTAGATACCTCGACTAGGTGCAAACCTGCTGACTGTATATATCCCACCTGACAGAAGTCGTCATTGGAGAACGAGCTGGCTTTCTACGCTAGTAAGAGAGGGAGAAAGAGAGATCACCGCATGCTTTCAATGCTATATACAGATAATTCACAAATGACCTAGAGGATGGTAGGATGGTCTCAGGGTTTCAACGTGGCAATACAGTGCAATATAACCTTGAGGTAATTCCACGTCTCCCCGCACTCACAAGGGCGCCTTCCCGCATCGGGAGCCCGCTGCAAAATGTTTTTGCGGGTAACCTATAAAACCCACCCACTTACCCCTGCAGCCACTCCCCCTTCGCCGTCTTGACTGTTTCCTCCCATCCATACCTCGGACGCACAATGTCATACCCCGAGTTCCACGAACGCCACAGGATCTTCGCGTTTCATGACACCGACGGCTCCCCAGTGTACGAGGACGGGTGGGGAGGGCTCTGCGGCCGCATCGTGGCGCGAAACGACCTCGCGGCTCTCCGACTCTATCACGCGTCGCCCAACACGCGGGTGTTCTGGGAGGGATACGAGGCCCCCTACTGGCACCCCTTCTTCGTGGCGGCCGGGTGTGGCAGCTGGGAGGCCCTTCGCGCCCTCATCGAGATCTACCTAACGGATCCAACGTATAATAACCCCGAGCAACTGCCGCTGGACCAATATATGACGCAACTGGATTTCTCGCCCATCAACGAGGCGTGTGCTGCCGCGAACCGGGAGATGTTGCTCTGGCTTCTGCAGCACGATCCCCCGTTGGCGACGCTGCAGGATCGGGATGCCCGCAGCCACACGCCGCTGTTCAGCGCTGCCAGCGGGCTTAGGCGGGGGTGGGCTTTGCGGAGCATGAGGAGTTCATTCACTTTCTACTAGATCAGGGGTCTTCGGTTCGTGGGTCGGATGTTTTCCATGTTGGACAGGAGGACGAGGAGCAGAGACGCGATGACAATGACGGCAATGCTAGTGAGCCATCGCAGCCTGCGAAAGAGCTGCAACAGACCATGCTCGGAGCCGCAATACCGCATGCTAGCTACCGGTTGACATCGCGGCTGATCGCAGAAGATGCAGACGTGTATGCCCGACAGAATTGGTGTGATCCTACCCTGTGGATGACTGATGAGGGTGTCAAGACACTTCGTCTCTAGATTCCCGTGGGCTGTGGACTCCAGCTTGTAGAGAATCCGTTAGAGTAAATTGATATTATGCTCCTGGTTCGAGGAGGATGTTGTTCTCGCCCAGTAGTAGTCTGGGGATGTCAAAGTATTTGGGTAAAAGGATATAGTGTGTACATTCCGTCAACGGTTGGCATCGATTCGTGGCGGGTGGTGATTGGTATCAACCTGTGCCTGAGGCCTCCAACCACCCATGCGATCAGCTCATCTACTTGGGACCGCTTTGAAGTAACTTACTGCACTAGCTCTCTATCCTGAGGGCTGAGTCTACAGTGGCATCCAGTGTCATCTAGCCTGAAGAATTGGCAATCTAGATTTCAAATAAAAACCACAATCCTTAAGTTCCATCTGAAAGCATCTCACAACGAGATGCGCTGCTCTGCTCTCCATTTCATGAGAAAGAATCTAATTCCTCGTTATGATGCATTCAGGACGCCACATTTTAGGAACTAGAAAAATTACAGGTCCCCCAGAGGGTGGTTATCAACCCCCGAACCTTGGACAGAGAATCAGAGCACATAGCGAAAGTTCGGATTCTCCTTGTCCGTCAGATCGTCAAAGGCCAACTCGTGATTCAGATCCGGCGCAGCTTGAGTCTTGAGACGGTTCCGAGCCAGCAGCAACAACCATGTCCCCACCACCAGAACACCATAAACACCGTATATCACGATGTGCGCCAGAAATCCATGCAGGTATCGGGGAGCATCCGAGTTTTGGAAGACCTGCGGAGCCACCAGATTGCCAACCGCCCACCCGATGAAAATCATGGTCATGGTGATGCCTTTCTTGGTCTGTCCCCCGATATTGCGTGTGACCAGAGAGATAATTAGGTTGCCCTCGGCCAGAAAGCACTGCGTGCAGTAGAAGGCGATGAGCATGCCTCCGCTGTTCGATGAGGACGGCGTCACGACAAGGATGCAGATGGTGCCCGCAATGGCGGGGATTGCCCAGAGCTGTTCGAGCATTCCCACGTCAGTCAAGATTTTGAGACAAAGATGGCATAATCAGAAAGGTGCAGGCAAGACTGAAACTTACTAGCATAACCAAGCAAGTCTTCTGGATTCGCTGGGCAGTCCAAGCCGACCCGACCATGACACCGATCGTCCATGCACCTTGCGCAATATTCAGCAACTGGGTCTGGAGGAGCGTGAAGCCAAACTGTTCGATGATGAGGTTGGAGAATACACCCAGACCCCCGATGATGAAATTGGCCACCAGGATCATCAGCACACAGCACCACACAAACGGATCAGTCAGAGCCTCCACCACCTGGTACTTTTTATACTCCTTGTTGGAAATCCCTGTCTCATTATCCCGCACACGTTCAATCATTAATGCCTTCTCCTCTTCAGTATAGCACTTGGCGGAGTATGGTGAGTCGGGCAGGAAGAGGCCGATGAAAAAGGACCAGACGCATGTTGCACATCCCAGAATGAGAAATAAGAGCTGCCAGTTGAAGATCGGCCCTCCCTGGAATTTGGAGACCCCGAAGGATAGCAAGCCACCAACCTTGACATGATCAGGTCCATATATCAGCTGCGTAAGATCATGTAACGTACCATTAGCTGCACTCCATACATGCAGTACCATATTGAGTTTAAGACAGACTGTTCCTCGCGCCGGTACCACATCGATGTCCTAGGTGGTTGTTAGCTCAGACCGAATGTCGATCATATGAGAACGGTGGGACTCTACAATAACATCATTGCTGGTTGAACGCAACTCTCAAAGAACCCCAATAGAAACCGTACTACCATAAGAGATGCGAAGTTGGTAGCTGCTGCTGAACAGGCCACGATGGCTCCCCAGATAAAAACGTTGACGGCTAGCATCTTCGCCACAGGGAGTTTCTGTAGAAGGAAGTTCTGTGGGTACTCGCCCACGAGAATACCGAAATACAGGATTGAGCCTAGCCAAGAATACTGGGAGGAATGTTCAGTAGATGACATCGACGACGGGGTAGGGCCCTTACTTGTTGCCCAACCAAGTGCGTATCAGTCTTGATGCCCATGATGGACGCATAATTCAGTATGCCCTTATCGAGGGATTGGAAAAAATAGGTAACAACTTGAATTACCAGAATTCGGCGAGTGATCTTCCAGAAGAGGCGGCTGTTGGTGGCAGGGGTGATCACAATGGCCGAATTCGTTGGGTGGGGATCCAGCTTCTCCATACGGGTAGTATGGGTCACCTTTTCATGAGTCGTGTCGAGAACCTCATGGTGGGTGAACTCTCCAGTGTCGACTTTCTTTGATGCGGACATGGTAATGAATGGCTGAGGATGGCCAAATGCCGCGTTGGGAGGGAGCCATGTTGCGGCTATATAAGTACGGCAACATCTGCTATCTCTAATCTAATTGCTCGCTAACTTAGTATCCCTGACTAATTAGTTCGAGACTTCATTGCTGAGTCAGTATTCCTGAGTACTAACTTAGTAGTTAATTCACTAGGACGGTCAAAGCCATCTGAGAGCACTTCGAGAGCGCTGATCGGAGGAGCGACCGGCAATTGCCCCGATTGTCCGGTGTTGCTCGGGCTCGCGGCGATCTTGCCCTCCGTTTGGAATTGACGCATGGTGCCACTCATAATTCGCTCTCGGTTCCCTGACTGTAATGGTGCTACTGGAATACCTTTGAGACTCCTGTCAGGATTTTCCTGTATTCGGGGTAATCGAGGATTCGAAGTGATGGAGCCTGATACTGAAGTCCTTGATCAACAAACCTGGCGAGTCGACATCTTCAATGGGATAATACGTGGTAAACTCAATAGTTGTCTTCAAAGAACGATAGCTTTGTCCTCTTTCCCTTTCAAACTACTTTCTTCTCTCTATCCCTTAGTACCCCATTTCTTCTCGTCTTTCTTGTCTTACTTCTTGATTCTCGTTTTACAAAAGAAAATCGTTTTCATGTTTCTGGGGTTTGCTGCAGGCAAAATAACGGCGAACCTTGCCCCGATAGTTCCCATCCTCCTCCCCCTTCGCCAGCCCCGAGAAAAGATATAGGAAGCGCCACATATAAGCCACTTCGACATACTACATTCATCCCGGGTCTGAAAGAAAGAGGCCTCCGGCACGACATTCCAGACCACTGACCTACCTATTCAGCACCTCGTTACAATGCGCCCTAATTTTGTTCGGCTCGTCGTCAGTCAGCTTCTTGTTCAGGTAGCCACCGGACTCAAGAACCCGATTCTTCCAGGATGGAACCCAGACCCCTCGATTCTTCGGGTTGGTAGCAACTACTTTCTTACCACCTCTTCTTTGGAGTATCGGCCAAGTACGCCAATTTACACATCCACGGATCTCGGTAATTGGACGTTGTACGCTCATGCAATCACGAGACCTAGCCAAGTGCAGTTGTACGGCGTCCCTACGGGGGCTGGTATGTTCATACATGCTGAACCCCGTTTCATTCCTGCAGCGCCCGAGACCTTTTGCTGAGAAGTGTAGGTACATGGGCCCCAACATTGTCATATATCAACGGACTGTATTACCTGGCATCCATGACTCGATGGACCTATGACCCTGTTGCTCGTGTATGGCCCCGCGTGATCTGGTCCGTGTCCGAGGATCTCAAGACGTGGAGCGATCCGATCTGGCCCGATTGCTGGGGGATTGATCCATCCTTGTTTCAAGACCCGGTCTCCAAGAAGGTCTACCTCAACCTGATGGCGCCGAATAACGACGTTGACAGAATCTGGGGATCTACCAGTGCGAGGTCGACCTCAGCACCGGGCGATGTACGGGGCAGTATCGCTCCCTATGGAATGGGTCTATGACGAACAATCCCTCTGCGAGACCGGAGGGCTTAGAAATGTTCTGGCGTGAGGGGGTCTATTATCTCTTGATCGCTGAAGGCAAGTTCACTTGAAGTAGCTCGGAGAAGATCCGTAACGCCCCTGGCAGCTGACCTGTCTCTGGAACAGGTGGTACTGATGATCTCCATCGTGCGACAACAGCGCGTTCATCGTCGCCTGAGGGTCCCTGGGAGTTGAACCCAAACAACCCAATCCTGTTCAACGGTCAGTACGGTTATGACAATCTGACGGTGCAGTCCACCGGCCACGGTACCATTTTCGATACGCCGGACGGCTTGTCTTATATTGCGTACCTGGCACGTCGCAAGATCAATGGATCCTCTCCATTAGGCAGAGAGACTTTTTTATCCCCAGTCACTTGGCAACCAGTGCTCCTAAGTGAGCCAATTGGCAATTTGACGGACACATATGATGTGCAAGAATCATCGTCCAGGGATTCCTTTGATGAAGGCATCCTCGACCCTTCTTGGTATCAACTTCGCACTCCCTATACTCGGAACTTTGAGCTCAAGAAGAGTAGCTCCGGGGGCCTCGTTCTCCGACCGAATGTGTTTGGCCATCGCGACACCCCAGCTGCTATTTTACGCAAGCAGAGATCCTTGAATATGACCTTCAGTGCACGACTGCTGCCAACATCCTCTGGCCTCGGGTACGGTGAGATTGTCGGAATCAGCGCCTATCTGAGTGAGCTGCAACACCAGGATATCGGTGTGTCCGGCTGTGTAAAGAGGACAGGAATGTGTATCTACACCAAGCTAACGATGAATGGCACGACCCAGGTGCGTATGCATTGAAAAAGGTGAACTGCACCAAGCTGTTTCTTACATCTGACTTCTTGCGCCTAAGTATACCCAGGTGCCGCTAAATTCGTCGACGATCCCATCCGACCTGACGATTCACATTCGAGCTGAGCCTCTGTGCTACCATCTTGGGTACAGTATGAGTACGAATGGTCCGACAACATGGTTGGCCGCAATATCGTCGTCGTGGATGGCTTTCGCGCCCGAGAATTACTTTGTATTCGCCGGCGCCAGCTTCGCACTGTTTGAGGCCGGGACTGGAATGCCCTCGCCGCCCCATGCACCTGATGTTGGCTTTGCGGAGGTCCAGGAAACGTATTTTGAGGAGGAAATCCCGGACTAGGATGACTGGGATGTATAATCATTGCGAGAATGATTCGGGTATCTGCTTCTGACACTCAATACTTCTGAGTAAGCAAAATTTATTGGTAATGGTTCTTGCTGTAGTGCCTACAGCAGGGCTTATTTCAACATATTGATCCGACTCCATTCCGACTTCAACAAATACATGTACTGCGTCGATGCGCACATTGTTATGGACGATAGATTGTTAAAATCTTTAGGTCGAATGCAAAGAGAGCAGAACCTCTTAACGACTGATGCTAAGACTCTGAGAAATGTGCTTGAAAAACAACAAACGAAAAAGAAAAGGAAGTAAATGTGAGGTACTTTCATCACTTGCATCCTTGTCGAGTATACAGTATCTCGTCCCAGACCTATCCCTAATTCTTAGCAGCGCCCCGGGCCAAAACACGCGCTTTCATGATTGGGCTCTTGCAGACTACTGCACACTTGTGAACCTTCATAAGTAGTAGTCAATGCACGCTACCAACACGAACCTGCTGCACAAGCAGAAGCAAGCAGGTAGATCGCTAGTTCACTCTGGTATCTTGCCTTCCATATTACATTGCAAAATAACACCCCTATACCAATATTCAAGCAAGGGTGTACATCAGGGTGCCATACCCCAACTGGTCATACCCGCCACTTGTGGTTCCATAATCACCGCCACCGCCCTCCGCACCAGAACCATCTTCCACGACCATGTTGCGATAGGCTTCGGTGAAGGTGACATTCAACCCCTTGAGAACCCCGTAGTGGTTGTAGAAGAGCTCCCAGATGGGCCGGATATCGCCACGGCTGCTATTGCTGATGACCGTCTGGTTCACGTCGTCGCTGTTATTGTATGTCGTGTAGGGGACATCGTAGCCCAGGTTATACTTGGCTACGTATTCAGCGCTGGACGATCACCTGTTAGCTGATGAAAGAAGAAGAAAGATATGATACCCTTCGAGGGGAAGGAAAGGGGAATGGGACTCGTGGCGCACCCTGCCAGGATTCGGTTATCCAGATATCCAAAGAGATCGGTTCCCTGATTGTACGCCGTCTGCGCGATAGGGCCGAGCAGAGCGAAATCCAACATGGAGTGGCCCTGATCTCGCCCAGCCTCCTGGCCCTGACCCAGAGTCTCCCCGTCCGCCTGGTACAGCTTCCAGATCGCCGTCTCGATCTGCCCGTTCCCCGCACCGGACTTGAAATACGTCAGTCCTTCGTCGTACATTGTCTGGTTGTCGCTTAGAACGCCGATTGATAAGACAGAGGCGATGTTGCATAGATCCCAGTTGGCCCAGTAGTGGTCGACGGCGGCGCCGTGGTGATTGACCAAGAAATCATGATTGATCGGGTAGAACACGTCGACCATCATGTCGATGAAGCGGGTGACGTTGGCTGCGGGCCAGCCGGAATAGACGCGCATCACCTCGGCGACGTTGGCAAATTGGTACCCGTAGATGCCCGCGGCCAGATAGAGGTCGGTGGTGCCGGAGATGTTGGTCAGGGTGGTGCCCCATTCGTCGAGGATATTCACCACCACATCTGCGTAGCTCGAATTCCCGGTGACCTTCCAGTAGATGGCCATGGCGTAGGCCGCTGCGATGTCCCTGAACAGCGAGGCATAATTTTCCGAGTGGACCCCATCCGCCCCCCGATAGACGGTCGTCTTGGGCGACGGAGTGTAGTCCAAGTTAATGTTGGAGCTATTGCTGAGCTTGTACCAGCCCGTCAGCCACGGCTCAGTCTTGCTTGAGATCTTGTCCACGATGCGCTCGAAGTCTGAGGCTGAATGAAGGAGGCCCGGATGGTTGAAGGTGGCGGCGGTACTGCGAGATGCTCCGTGACTCAAAGCATGAGATGCTGCATGGTGGGAGGCTGATGCCACACCAAGTGACAGCAAGGCAACCGGAAGCGTCAGCTTCATCGTGGAGGCGGGTGTGAGACCAGAAAAAGACAGGTTAAATGAGCTCGATGAGGAAGATGCAATGCAAGCTTCGATCTTATAGGTTGCTGGGTGGCTTCAAGCTTGATGAGATTACAAATTTTAGTGAGGATAATTCCCTGACCATTTTTACCCTATATATTCCCGAGCGAAAAGGAGCACTGGGGATTATCGCGCGGATTTGTTTTTGGTAGCAGATGAAACGGGCCGTTTCCTGGACGGATGTGCAGAAAGAAGAGGATACTGCATTGTAGAATCAGAACCGGCAGGGGTTTATTGAGCTCTCTGCATTCAGAATCAGAAAAGGAGCAAGAATTAAGTGGGGACAGGGGCCGCGTTTGCTCGTCTCGGTGCAGCTGCCGCTACTTGTCCCGCAGGGTTTTCTCTTGGCGACTACTGAGTACCAAGACATCGAGTATCCGGGCACTCGCCGGACCATTGAACGGCCCTTTCCCCATTGGATCACACGAGACTTGAGCAAGTACCCAATTCCTAGATATTTATATATCTACAGTTTTTTTACTCTGTAGTCGCTTTGCAAAGACGAGCAACGCGTGGAAGTGAGTGTCAGTGGAATCATACCCGATCTCCAGCTCGGCAAAGTCGACGACCGGGCCACTATAGGATCCACTATTTAATCTACTCGTCACAGACTGGACCAAAACCTAACTGTGTATGTTCTCTCGTGTTGATCACAAAAAAATGCTGGTGAGTTTGTAATATGCCCCATCTTACCTCCCCGGCGCTTAACGACACGGTCCTAATCGAGGGTAGTCAGATGACACCCAACAGAGATCCACAGGATCAGCGCAAAAGCTCGAGGGCATCTGGCATCCGCCTCATATAAGCAGTACTCTACCTAGATCATTGACGGACAGTCTGTTCTCCGAGTCAGTGGCCGCGAAGCTGTGGTATGTGGCGAGTCAGGCTTTGGGAAAGGCAAGTGGCCGAACTAGCCCTAATATCGCGCGGGAAGCAAATTGCGGGTGTTGCCGCTGGCCTTTGCCTGACTAACTGCTTCCGCAGGCAGAACCACCCACCTTCTACCCAGAATATACCGGTCGAGATGGTGGGAGGTATGTTTATCGAGATCTGAGTTTCTGGACTTCGGGATTCTTCCCCGGATCTCTGTACCTGCTACTCGAGCGGCAAATAAAATACGACCACCGCCATGACGGCGGGAGAACCCCCGGTCCCCACCATCTGCAACTCGAACATCTGTGCCAATGGTGGACTACCAATCTGCACCAAAACGCCCTGCTGAGCACGACGCATGATCTGGGGTTCATGATTGCCCCGTGGGCAATCAAGGCCTGGGAGCTTCAGCACGACGCGCGCGCCTTCAGTACTCTCGTTCTCGCCGCCCACACGGTGGCGCGGCGGTTCTGTCCCCGAGTCCAGGCGATCCGGAGCTGGGACACGTGCATCACCAAACGTTATGCCTTCGAGAATCCGTCGGAGGACTTTCTAGTCATCATCGACAACATGCTCAACCTGGATATGCTCTTCTGGGTTGCGAAAGCGACAAACGACCACCGTCTATTCGACATCGCGGTCGCTCATGCCCGCACCACCCAACAGCATCACATCCGGCCCGATAATTCCTCCTACCATGTGGTAAACTTCGACGATATGGCCGCACAGCCAAAACAGAAATTCACCAACCAAGGATTCAATGACGAGAGCTGCTGGTCTCGCGGCCAAGCATGGGGGATCCTGGGATTTGCGCAGACCTTTTTCTGGACACGGGATCCATCCTTCTTGGCGACGGCGCAGGCGCTCGCGGATTATTTCATCGAGCATCTGCCGCCCGACGGGGTTCCGTACTGGGACTTTCATGCTCCCGTCACGGCTGAAACGCCCTGGGATACTTCGGCCGCCATGATCGCCTCGTGCGGTATGCTCTTACTCTACAAAGCTTTCCGGATACAGGGCAAGGAGGAAGTTGCGGATCGTTACTTAGGAGCTGTCAAGCAGATTGTCCAAGGCACGCTCGCCTTGTGCCTGAACCCCCCGACGTTTCGCTTTGCCGTCTCACTCTCGGAAAAGCAGCTTGAGACGTATGAGGATGGAGCGCCATCCGGGCACCAGCCAAAGCAAGAATCTGGCTTCTTGGTGGTTGATGACGGGACAGAGACGGGGGAGGCCCATCATCCGCCGAAAGAGACGATTCTTGACGGTGCGACAATCAACAACTATGAGTTTGCGCCGCGACGATGGGCAAATCACGGATTGGTCTATGCGGACTACTACTTCATGCTTTTGGGAAATATGTTACTGGAACTGGACTTGGTCAAGCCTGGGTCTTAGGATGGCAGCATGAGCCATCTTATGTTCTTGTTATCATGAAGAAGATGGATTTTAGAACGAGGCCGCAGTTAGGCCAAACTGGCTCACGGAGAGATCAAGTTGCAAGACGATGGGAGGTCTAAACCATACTGTACATCGAAGTATTAGACCAAAGACATAGATAAATGCACATTTTCACGTGCCACGACGGCTGGCCAGAACGCCCTTGGCATACCGGACCCATTACCTAGAACGAGCCACGGAGTAGACCGACGAGGGCATGTCTAATGTGGATTGTGGTCCCAAAATTGAGAACTTTCTGATGCAGGTCGGGCAGGGATTGGTAGTGGTGCTTCCTTGCTCAGGCAGGAAGGGTCTACCATTGGCATTTCCGCCAGCGGGTCATATTGCACCTGCAGCGATTGGGGAAGCGGTGGAAATGCGAGGCTCAGGGTATCATTAAAGAAGTCGCTAGGTGATATATGATTCGCGACACGGTTTTGCTCGCCAAGACCCCCAAGCAAGGAGTGCGTCTCAATCGACATCCAATGTGTATGGGGTTCAGCCGAAGAGCTCTGCGGAGCGTGTGATAATGACCCCGTGGAAGTCCCGACGCCATTCCCACAGCGATCACGGACATCGACCAAAGACGCCTCGGCGCAATCCACAGACTCGGAGTAAGCGGCTTGTCGAATGTCGAGGGGCGTCGAGGGTGATGTCGCATTGCAGCACATGAATTGCCGAGCTTTCATGAGCCTTTCGCCAAACACCGACGCCAGATTTTGGTGATCCGAGGCACCGGGACCAGCCCACCGACGGGATATCTCCAGCAGACTCCCAACGATACTATCGAGCTGATCTGAGACAGGAAGCCTGGCATGCTGAGAGTGTACTAGTAGCATTCGTCCGGCAATAAATAGACAGAAAGAGAACTGCGGGTTGGCAAGAATGGAGGAGTGCTGGAGAAACAGGCTACCCAGCATTACAATCTCTGAGGCCGCCTCGATACACGTCTCGAGCGAAGTTGCCGACGGGAGTCGCACCGGACAATCTTTCCAGTGCGCTGGAGGATAGGCCATACTCTGATGGAGTAGAATAAGTGCTGTGTTGTGAGTAAAATGTGCCAGAGTCAAATTCGGATCCATGATTCCGTCCACGTTGAGAACTGCAGCCGATTGCCACTTTTGGGGCAGCAGCAGCTTCCACTGCACAAGCCGTAAATCGAGTTCCTTAAATCTCAGCAGCCACTTCTTGGTCGTTTGTACGTCTTCGATGTCAAGGGCATTATGCAAGAAGAAGTGGACCACCAGGCTCAGCGACTCGGTAGCCTCGATCGCGTAGGCAAACCCTCCGATGGAGTCTTGCCCAGGGTGCTTACTGTCGTTCAATATTGAACCGCTGGCTCCGTGGCTGAAATGATTGGCGATGCCAAAGAACGGCGTGGTCTGCTCTTGCTCCCGTTGCCATAATGCTCCCTCGCAGGGCAGGCGCCTTCGAACATCCGCGCTCGTCAGGCTCAGGTTCCATCCGGTCGAGACGCTACAAAACCTGTCCATCAGGAACACAGTCCAGAATACCCGTCTTCGCTCTTCGGTCTGCCACCAGTGTTGCGCTGGTTTCAGAAATACCATTCGCTTAATGAGATACTCACCCTTCGCTGTTCTTCCCTCATCATCGTCCCGATCCTCGACACTAAGCTGGAGTTGCTCGACAGTGCGCGTCATGCTGCCGACCACCGACCACGCCGAAGGGCCCCGACCACTCCCAATCTGCATGGTAGCTGTTATCAGTACGAACTGACATATAATGGGAATGAGCATATGCATACTATATCGAAAGCAATAATCACCAATGCTTGCAAATTCTCCACCGAGAATGACTCCATGCTGTTGAGAATCACTCTCTGGCGGCTAGCAGCCGCCATCTCTCCTTTTGATTGGAGACTCCCAGCCGCAGGATGGGATGTGAAGCGAATGGAGGTGGCTAGGATTGCATGTAAAATCGGCAGGGCCTTGTGCCAACCGTCGGGACTGTATAGCTGCTCGCGAAATCTCCTGACATGGAGGATGGGAATCCAGGGGTGGACATTGGCGAAATGGAATTCAACCAACTCCATCATGACTGCATGTGGTAGCAGCCCCTGCGCAGAGGGCTGCGAGGCAGACAAGTCGTCCACCGTCTCGGTCGCCTGCTGTTTCCGAGGGGCGTCAAGATGCAGTTTACGGCGCTTTTCAGGCCGTGGTTCGGGTGGTTTCTGATGGGACATGCTGTTCCTCTCCTCATTTTGCTCTTCTTTGTCGTTGGCCTCTCGTCTTTCGTGTTCTCTTCCTCCCGTTCTTAGCTCTAACCCCAACGACCTCATTTGAGTGCCATCTGGGTCAGCCGTCCCTGCTGCCTCTTGCAGCAACCTTTGCTTGACCTCCTCGGATAAGTGCTGCAGACTCGCCGTAATACCTGCTGATTCGATACCATTCTGGGTCGGAGGGGGAATATTCGGCGACACGCCATTCACCATCGCACTCCACATCTTCTGCCAGAGAAGGCCTTGGCCGAGAAACATATTCTCCAGCGTGTCGACCCGTTGCTGCAGCCTCTCGACGGCGCCAGCGCGCAAACCCGGCTTCGAGCGACAGTCATCATAAAGACAGATGGTATTGAAGCGGGTACATTGTGCGCACGGCTGCTCCCGGTCACATTTCGTCTTCTTGCGCCGACATGACTGACAGGCCAGGGACTTGTCCTTTCCGAATTCTGGCTGATCGGCCTCGTCGGCTGCCATTATCACGGGTGCCAACAGAGACTGTTGCCTGGAAGACCAAGATATGAGATATCGTATCAGGTACCCGGGAAGGTTCAAGAATCGTTCACGCTGCATTCACCCCGGGGTTCGGGTGGCATTACCCCGCCATTTCCCCGCATTGCATGATTCGCAGATACTGTCACAGCCCGGTAACTATGCCACATTGCCTAGAATCCCAGGTAGCACCACGTGTGTTTATTTATTTATTGCCTCCCTATAGAGTCTTGCCGCATTATTTCCTTCTCTTCATGTTTTATCAATCGATTCCTTATTTTTCCTTATCCAACTTTTACTTCAGAAATTGTCCATAGGTACAGTCCTTTTTGTCTACTTGATGTAATAAATTTTTATGTTGCATATTCTGCAATAGAGGGATCCAACAAAAGATACAGGAGATATCTAATAGACCTCGCCAGACTGGCATCAAAAAGATGATATTCGCTAAGAGTTCGGCTTGTGAGAACCTTTGCTAAGGCGGCAATCGAAATGAAGAATTTCACCTCCGTGGGAGAAAACAGCGGCCGGCCTAATCGCCGGTCCGGAGTCCGTTCGCTCCGGAGGAATTTTCATCCTAAAAGAACAAGTATTTTTAGATACAGTATGTAACTTACAGTGTTTATCACTCGACTCGTGGACAATTTTCCACCAATCACTCACTCTTGGTCTGCACAACTGGAGCAGGGACTGAGAATTCCCAAAGGGCAAAAAAGCCGATTCCGTATGGATGGGACGATTCGATGTCGCTCTGCTTCCGCCAGCTTCTCATGCTTCTGCCGCCCAGATAAGACCACCCCAGCTCGGATGATCGTTGCTGGAAACTGCCCCTTCGAAGCCTTCGTAATCCTGGGCCTTGGTAGTCCAGGGTGCAGTTTCCTTCTGTTTGACCACGTATTGGTAATACAAAAGGTCCCAGATCGGAATCTTGTTGCTGACGCCGCGGTTCTCCGCCGAGATGGCCTCCCAGGGACCGTTGACAAGGACTGCTTCGCAGCGTGACCATTTCGGGTCATAGGTAACGGTCGAGTTGAGGTTGTATTCGGCGGCATACTCCGCGGCCTTTAACAGCAAATTGTCCCCTACCTCAAAGAGATTCACCCCTTGACTCAAGCCGACCCTGGCTCCGTATGCCGACTACCCGATTCCTGACATGGTATGGCCTATTCGACACGATCGGTAAGGAAAGAAACCAGCAGGGAACTCTCAGTAGCTGATGCAATACACACCTTGATCCCGACCGGCCTCCACCGACTGGCCCGTTTCGGCGTTGTACTGTGCGAAGATGCCAGCGCAGTTGTCTTGAATAAAGGCATTCATCGCGTAGTTATACAACTGCACATCGTCCAGATAGACGGCAAAGCTGAGCATTGCTTTGACGCTGACCATGCCGTAGTTGGCCTGGCCGACCACCGCGGACTGGCGCGCAAACAGCCAGTACAGTTGCGTGCTGAAGCCCGAGCCCCCTTGCCACCGGGCTCCGACCTCGGTCCAATTTCCCTCCCAGCGCATGATCTCCGCTGCGTTGACAAACAAATCCCCGTCCAGACCGATCATGAGGGAGCGATCAATCCCGATGATGTTGGTCAGATTGGTCCCCCACGCGTCGAGGATCGTGGTGCTGCGCGTCCAGTGGGATTCGTTCTTGGTGATGTACCACATGAGCGCATTCTGCCAGGCCGCGCGCGCGTCGTGCGCAAAGCTGGTGTAATTGCTCGTCTGCCCGCGGGCAATCACCTCCTTTGGGCCCTGCATCTCGTAGCTGGCCTGGGAGTAACTGTCGGCGCTGAACTGCTGGTAGGCGGAAGCCCACGGGTTCTGACCAGCCAGAACCTTGGTGCGGATCAGTTCCAGGTCATCGTGAGTGTGCCAGATCCCGGGATGGACGAAGTCACTCGGTCGCTTTTTCAGGTAGCTGGTGGAATCGACGCCGGAGAACGTCGCGACATTTGGTACGGGCCCGAAGATTGCGGGCACATCTTGTACCGTACATTGAGCCGCTCTGATGGATAGAGCGACTATTGCGGATATACTCAACAGCAATTCCTACCAGTGAGAAAATAGAACGTGAGTCAATGTGCAAGATACCGGTAAGGAGGGGCATTTCACGACAGCATACGCACCTTCATGGTAGTGAGCCCTGTGCTCTACTTGCTGAGAACCAAACTGAGCGTAGCCTGATTCTAGATCTAATAATCCCTTTGTGGTCTCTACACTCCCTGGATGGTGGTCGCTCCTCGGAACTTTGGAAGAAAAGCTCCCCGACTATTCTGACCTTCGCGGTGCCCTAATGCAAGTCTGAAGCCGGAGTGCGGGCCGTACTTTACGCCGTTCCTGCTCAAGGGGAAGTGCCGGGTGGAAACCTGAGTCTGTTGCGTGTATCGCGGCGAACAACCCAGCATATCATGTTGGTCATATCCAATTTCGCGCATAATGGTGTGTTCTCATGTTCGATCGTTAGGCGCATGACTATCTCCGGTATTACGTCTATCTCTTCATTCATCTCAAGAAACAGCGCTGCAGACGACACCATGAAACTCCCCTGCCTTGCGAGTTGCCTATTCCTCCCCATCATCACTGGAGCCTTCGCCACCACCCCAGACCCTCTTAGCTATCGGAGCCTTAGTGGAAGCTATGTCCCTCCCAAGTCGCCCAACGTTACTACGCTTCTGGAGTTCATCAATTCCCGGTCAGATCTGAGTGTTCTCGCAGATGAATTGCAGACAATCGGCGGCTTTCCGATGGCTTTTGATACTGAACCAAGCTGGAGCTTCACTTTCTTCGCGCCGAACAACGATGCCTTCGCCCTTCATACTGGCACATACTTCAACGAATTCAAATCCACTCCGTTCGTCAATTCAATCCATCGAAAGAAATTCGGCCGATTATGCAGAATACTGACATCTGACCAGGAAGGGCAAATGGTGGCTGGGCAACACGCTCCTCTCACATTACGTGCCAAACACCAATCTCAACTCTAGTAGCTTCAATGAGACCTACCAACGATTTCAAGTAGGCCACACGAACCATGGAGCCTTACGTCAAGCTGACAACAATGCACTCCAGACTGCAAGTTACCTCTATGTCGGTTCGCAGGTTCAAGATGGTGCGATCATCCTGAACGACGTGGCCACCGTGGTGGAAAAGGATATCTCAGTCACAAAGGCGAGTCTCAGCTGGTTTGGCTTTGCTCCTTTTCGGTTCGACGCATTAACCGTTTTACAAAGGGAACAATCCACATCATTGATCGCATTCTCGACCCTTCAGCCCAGGTTTTCGAAACGGACCTGCCAAAAGTCTCTCAGAGTTTCATTCCTGGAAGTTGTTCGAATCAGGATCTGTCATATTGCTGATGGATGAACCTCGTGTGGGGTACAGCCAATTCCCGACAAGAGATTGGTTGCATATGCAGGTGTGCTCATTTAGCACCATATATCGTTTGTTTTGCGATGGGGTGTATATTAACCTACAAGATGAGACAAGAAATGCCACTACGGTAATGGCTTGCTAGAGAAAGTCAATGCCACACATCGAGTAGATTTTATACAAGAAGAAATATCTTGCGGCAAAAACTTATGTATAGTCGATGAATATACCTTTCTACTTCTCCGTGTGAAGAGTGACTATGTGACCTTTGAAAGCATTTACTTATCAATGGTATAGAAATGGCTGCCCTATTCATTAATTGACTGATGTTGTCATCATGTAGCTAGCGATATCCTCGCCAAACCCACATTGTTCAACTCATTAACACAATATGGTGCCAGGAAATGCTGAACCCAAAAGCTCCATCACAGCAAGCATTTTTCTTTGTCAAAAAAGTGTTCTTGTGATTTTGAGTATGCAAAGTACAATATGAGCATGTCGCTTAGTCTCCTATGAGGTCATCGCAGATCGTGGTACGGGTCGTTGTCAGTGATGCAGCAAGAGGTCGTGCGTCAAATTAACAATCCTCGAGCTCTACTATTGTCCTTCACATGTATAGTCGGAATACAAGAGTCTGATACGCCTGCAGTGTGCCTGAAAATGACCCGATCTTCCCTAGAGACCTTCCGGACCACAACTCCGTAACGTTGACAGTTCGAGATAGCTGCAATCCGAGAGTCTCGAAATCTACCATCAACTCCTGTGCGTAGCTCCTCTCATTCAGCAGGAGAACAACGTATCCATTGTCCACGCTGCCCGCCCACACTTGCGAAGAACCCTCGGAGCTGGCGCTCTGGACATAATCGACCGGCTGTCCAAGTGGATCCTGATTGATTGCAATGATCTGTTTGTTCGTAAGCACCTTCAACGCGTCGTCGGACAGTTTGGACAAATCTGCTCCGATGATAAGCGGCGATTTGAGCGCCGCCCAGAAGGCAAAGTGCGTTTGCTGCTGGTACAGCGTCATCTCCGCGTTACTGATTTCGAGCATATCCATGTCCATCCAGTGCCCGCGGGACTGGTACTGGCTGATCTCACGCATCTTCCGGATGATGCTCATTACCGAGCAGCTCGCGTAGCCGGTGTTCAAGCAGTAGGCGGTCTTGCAGGGACAGCCCGTTTCGTTCGCGAAGAGGTTCGTGATATCCCCGGACATGCGATAGGAGTGACCAATTTCTAGGACAAATGTGCGTCAATCAGAAAATGTGATTCCACCGCGCACCCCCGCACTGTAGAGTCCATGCGAACATAGGGACAGTACATACCTCCACCCCAGTGCCAGGGAAACTGATACCCCCACTCACAGACGGAATACAGGATCTCCCGCCCAACCAGCTGCAGGGCCTTCTGCATGATCCCAAACCGGACCTGCGGCGCCTCTGCCATCGCTTGGTAGCCTCCGCAGTTGTCGTATTTCCAGTAATCCACCCCCCAGTCGGCCAAGGTCTGCGCGTCGCGCTCTTCGTATCCCCAGCTGCCCGGGCGGAATGCACACGTCAGCATGCCGCTGTCGCCGTACAGTCCTAGCTTCAGACCCCGAGCATGGATCTCTTCCGCTAGAGCGGGGATTCCACTGGGGAAGGAGGTTGCGTTGGCTTGCAGGTAGCCGTCCGCTGTGCGATTGTAGTCGGCCCATCCGTCGTCCACGAGGACGTAGTCATACCCAGCATCCTTCAGCCCCAGGGTAGTGAGGAGCTGTGCACTCTGAACGGTTACCGATTCATTGATGTTGGCCTTGTACGCGTTCCACGAGTTCCAACCCATCTGTGGGGTTTGACCTAGGGTGCTTTTCTGCCCTGCAGTTATGCCCGGCGTAACATGTAGAAAAGCAATAGCAATCAGAATAGGTTTGACAGTGTTCCGCAGATACATTTTGATCCACTGAGTTTGAATAGAATGCGGAACACAGGGTAGACTTTACGGTATCAGCCAAGTAACACAGATTTATGTTGTGTTGTGGAACAATGCTGGAGCATACTCCGGACATTAGGCCGATGGTCCGGAGTCGCGGTGCAGTCGGCCGTGCTGAGGGATCGCAGAATCGATCCTCGGTAGGTGAAGAAAACTGAAAGAAGAGTAGATACAGAAATGCATTTCCAGTTTCTTTCAAGGAATTGTTTGACGATCACCACTGCCAGCAAATAATGTTGTGGTACATTTTGTTCATTGTACTGTACTCTCTCAAATGATGGTGTTTCCGACGCGCCCCCCCCCCCCCCAACCCCCTCCTTCTCCATCAACCCCCCTCATCTGCCCTTCCGTCTTGTGAGCTACGCCGTCGTATGCAGAGATTAATAAGAATAATGAGGTCAAATACACCTGGCCTAGTCTTGCTTCTCATCCCTCAAGCATGTCTCCATCACGCTCGACTGATCTCTATGTACGGACCACACTTCAACCAGCTTCAATGGCGGCTCCACTGTAGCCAGAAGTTCAGCCTACTGCGTTCTAGTCCGCTCCATGCCGTTGCATAAGAAAAACATCAAGATGTCCATGTTAACCCTCGCTAAGATTTCATTGGTATCTGCCAGAACAATCTCTTTTATCAAGAGGTAGGAATGGGGTTCCATGGATTTGGCGGTGTTGGAAAGGGTTCTTCGCGCTGCGGCGTCGTCCCAGTCATGCAGAACCAATTTCAGATATGCGCCCCTATACGGAGTTAGCTTTACCTCTGGTCAAGCATGCAGCGTAGCAACAAAAGCGCACATTTCACTGGCTGCTGCGGCAAGAAGTCATACGCCATAGCTTGGATTCCCGGGGACATGGGACTCGATATCCCTCACAAGGTCTCTGTCAAGTTCTGCAGGATTAACTCGTAGGCGCTCTCGGAAAGCTCTACGTGAAACGCTGAAGGTCGACGCCTTGATTACCACCGATGTCAACTACAACGAGAGGCTTGTCCGCCGCGGACAGCTTGTCCTGGACCGGATATCTCAAGTGGCACGGGATGGAGAGGGTCTTGTTGCGACCGGTCATGCTATCTTTGAATCCTTTCTTCCAGTCCGCGTTCTTCGCCAAGGTTTGCCACACGGTCTCCCTCATAGCATATTCGTATGCTGAGGCGGCGGCAGCGGTGCTGCTTGCCTTTGCTTCAGGTCTGTGATGCTCCCGGAGGTACTGTCTGATGTTGGTCGCGAGCGGGTATATCATTTGATTCCTGGACACAGCAAATGGAAAAAGAAATTATTAGCCTTTCCTCTCTTCCGCCCTGGGGGGTTTGTTGTTCGACCAGTAGTGTAGTGTTCCAGTACATACGATAGAATCAGTCCCCCTATATTCCCTGCGTCGCATTGGCACAGCGTATTCTCGTGGGCGACGTACGTCTGATAGCCGGCTTCATCCGCTCTTGGGCGAGATGCGCGAACTGTATCGTCATCCCACTGTCATTGGACTAGTTGCAGGCATCTCCCGTGTCGGCGGATATGAATGAAAGGGTTCAATCGGTACGGACGGTACCACTAGATACCACATCGGGGAAGGTATCGAGGTCGGCATTTCTGGTGAGACACGTCAAGATCGTAGCGATTATCTTGGTGCGTGTATCCTAGAGCTTCTAGGAGGACGGGGTGGCACATGCCGTAGCGAGTGACGTTATACTTTGGTGTCACCAGCCGTCACGGGATGATCTGAGCTGCGCCTTTATTCGCCTTTTGGACAAATCTCAGAATGCCTTCGTGTCTCTGAGCATGCTACTGCCGGTTTCTGTTGTCAGCCACCAATGTCAAGTTGTTCCTCAATGCGATCAATCAAATATACCTGCTGAACCTCTGGGCGAGGCCTTCATGTTCTGCACCTGCTTGGTCAAGGATTTTGACCTGCAACGAGATATTATACCTAGCATGTGCATTCGGCAGCTTGAGTATTAGGGAAATGGGTGTTCGTGAATATACCGATAATCATCGATTTGCCGCAACCTGGCTCACCAATAACAGCGACATCAATGGATGGCTTGTCCATTCCGCTAAAATAGAGACGCTTTAGCAAACTAGTATATATTTGACCATGCGTTGCGGGTTTACTATGTATTCGATGTCCTAAAAACATAAACCAGATTGGCAGCGGAGGAGAGACGATCTGGAAAGTAGACAAGAGGACAAAGAGTGTGCAAGTCAATTGAGACATCTCAGGCAACCACAGAGGGTCATTCAGTCGTATTCATACAGTGAGATCGGTACACCTTGTCCGTGTGAATCAATGTCATTATCAGCCACGCAGTTCGAGCGATAGGTTGCCCTCAATATCCACAATGTATCAGTGGTTTTGCATTAGGCAAATGCTGGGATGCGCGATCGGGAAGCGAAGACAGAATTCATACACGACGAATAAATGACCCACTCCCAATTTGACTGCGTACACAGTACCTTGGTTCTGCAGATCGAAAACCCTATGTTCAAACATCGCCTTTCTTTTCCCGTAACCGTGAGGGATCACGTGGTCCAGTGCACTCCTCTGTAAGCACTACCAAATCTCAGGGCTGGACTGAATTACATAGTAGTACAGTACTATAGAACTATCCAGGAATGTTTCGTCCTTTCTGCAATATTCTCGACCAATATAGAGTACTCCCTTACTGTAAACAAAGCGCCCATAAAGGCGTGATGCCTAGCAAATCAACTGGCTGACTGTTCCTAGTTGCTATGTTACATTTCCTTTTTTCATGCGATTAGCACGTTCAGGTACCGCGTCATATATGTTCTTCATAAAGTCAATGATGTAACGCACTGGCGAATCTGCGAATCGCAGTACTCTGTATGATGATAAGAGGAAATGAGCCACATGCAAGGTATCCTTGGCCGCGGACCCGCTACACAGACTCTGTTAGCTGAACTGACATGAAAGAATGCTATTCATTAGGCTACTGAACTAGTATGGCACGGTCCTACGGCATGTCCGGGGCCACGTGGCTGAACAGGGAAATGTTTTTCTAGTGCAGTGGCTGGCCTGAACTTAGCTAGGGCTGACTGGACCCATGTACACGGTTACGAGCGAGTACTGATACGAGAAGCTCTGCGGCTGAAGATGCGGGCTTGGCTTGCCCCAAGTGATACCATAAAATCGTCAGGCGTTCTACGCCAAGGTCTTGGTCTGTTCGGGAAGCAATATCGATAATAGCATGGGCCGCGTCTGAACTTGATATAAATATTCCCTGTGCACCTCAATCATCAAATCTCGAACCTACGCAAAGCAGTCTCATCAAGAAGATCCAATATTCATAACCACTGACCTACAGTAACTTTCGCAAAATACAACATGAGACTCCCGCTCTACCTAGTTGTATCAATAGCCGGCATTCAGGCATATGGAGGCCATATTACCCTTTTCCGGCGCGGAGACTGCCAGCCCTCATTAGCAAACGAAGGTGGAAGTGTTCTCGAGATTTCTGCCGAGAACGAAATTTGGTGCGCCCCGATCGACGATGTCTTCCAGTCTGCGGTCTCATACTACAACACTGGCCTGCCCTGCGAGTTCCGTCTCTACAACAGCCACGTCTGCTCCCTGGACTCCCTCAGTCACACCATCCGCACGGAGAACCCCACAGGCAAGTGCCTGAGCGCCACGGGCTCGTCCGGGCGGTACATGGCAGTGACTGCGCTCTGTGGACCTTCGTTTCCGGGTGGCACCAAACGCAAACTAATCAATGAGGCGAGAGAGGGTGAGCAGCATGTACTGTCATCAGAGGCGCTGACCAACGAGGAGACCACTTCCGATATTGACAAACGTGCCGGCTTTGAATGGTGGCACCGTCTGACCAACTACCTGGGCCAGAGATTTGTCCGCTTACGCCCCAATCGACCCGTGATGAACGACTACGCGGAGACCCACCACATCCTGACGACGCACACCGCAGAGCTACCGACGGCGATTCTCACGCCAACCGCAGCGATGACGATTGCCCAACAGATCGTCAACGACAATTGGGGCAATACGGGCTGGGCGGCGTACCCAATCCACCGCGTGGGAACACACATCATCTACGTGGATTTCCTCGGCCAGCGGGTTCACCGCGCTGATGGTTCCTTCTTCCGGGTGCCTTTGTGGCGGCTGGTCCAGGAGTTGCAGACCGATCGTATTCATCAAATGTTGATGGACGGCTTCATGACGATGCGGTTGAGTGGTCGGAACACGTACTCCGCTGAATTCAAGTTCCTCTATGGCGACGAAGTCTCACTCATCATCGAGATTCATGTGGAGTAGCCCTTTCCTTGGTTGGATGTAAAATGCTCTCTTTGCGGTGCTTTGCCGGTATCCAGGGTGGAAACTGAGCAAAACCTCATGTTCTAAGTTCCAAGGGGTAGTACGGAGATGTTGTTCTACTCCTAGTCATTTGTTGTTTTGATTGACCTCTTAATGGCACGATTTGTCTGCTCAATCTTCATCCTATCCAACGATCGGACTTGTCTCGATATGGTGGTTCTTAGGGTTAAAGTCCCGTTTGGGAAGGCGGAATCTGTCCGCATATACTATAAAGTTCGAGACTACACCTGAAAATGAACCCTAAATCTACACCTTAACGCTAGACGAACTGTGTCATGCCTCATTGCATAATGATATTCAGGCTTTCGATGCTACCAATCATAAGTGAAGAGGATATCACTCGCAGCTACGTCCATGGCTCGTGTTTGTAGGGTCAAGAGAGGCTACGCCGTCCACAGCAACAGCGTACTGCTTCGCCAATCCCAGAACCGGCAGAGCCAACTGCTCCAGATGTCTGCTCACGTGCACCATGAGTCTTTTACACTCGTCAGATGTAGACCGACCTGTCACTACTATCAGAGGCTCATTAGCTCTACAGGCAGGAGTTTTGTACGTTGGTATCAAAAGTCTGAAAACTGCTTGTTTCATAAATGCTAAACTGTAAAGCATAGTTCGACCTAATTCACCCATAGCACAGAGGTCTATCTCCATGCCGCGGGTCACGGCAATTCGACATGTCTGCATCAGCCCCCTGAATCTAATAGGCACCTCTACCTCCAAGTGGCAGTCACCGTCGCCGCAGTCGCGCAGCCGGTCGGCACAGTGTACGACCGGTTCGGATCGCTCTCCCACACTACCGTCCCGTCGGACTCCTTCTTGATGAACTTGTACTCGAAAGTCGTGCCAGCGGGGAGGGTGACCGTGGCCGTCCACAGGGGGTTGGAGGAGGTGTACGAGGAGGCCGAGAGTGCGATTGCGGAGGAGGTGTCCCACGAGCTCAGCTGGCTGATCGAGCCGGTCAGGAAAATATTCTCGCCGTATGTCGTCGTGACCAGCTCGTTGAAAGTGACGGCAACGCTGGTTGCGGCGGTGCAGGTCGCGGAAGTAGTCGTGCTGGAGGTCTTCGTAGTCGTGCTGCTAGTCGTGCTAGTCGTGCTACTGGTGCTGCTGCTCGAAGATGATGACGAGCTGGAGGAGCCGGAGCCTGACCCGCCGGTGATGGCGATATCGGCGCACCCGAGATAGACCTGCGTGGTCTGATAGCTATTCCATCTCCAGCGAAGCAGGGTATGGTCGGACGAGTAGTTTGGAAGCTGGACGGTTTCGAGGATTAGTATCTGATTGATGACGAGGTCGCATGAGCCCACCCACCTTAATCTTCTTGGTCACAGTGTATCCGCCTGCGATTGTAGTCGTGCAGGAATTCAGCGCTGCGCCGTCCACCCCCTCACAGCCGCGATTCGTGTCTGCGTTGAACGCATTGCATGTGAACCAGTCGGTGCGATAACAGGCCTGGTCCGACGTGCAGTCGGGGTTGTAGCCGCAGGTCTGGCCGCTCACATCGGTGCACTTCAACTCGCCCGCCAGGAAGCAGTCCTCAGCAGCTTGCTTTTCGTCGTTGGTCGGCAGATAATCCGGGTCAAGGAAGAGGTCGACGAGTGTTTGGTTCGTGCAGATACCGTAGGTGAACATGCCGCCGTGGTCACCGTTGTGGTCGACACACCATTGCACTTCGATGGTATCCCCAGCCGTGTAGGTTGCGACGACCGAATTACCCCAGTTGTCGCTGGGCTGATTGTAGTCGACACTCACCCTGGCATTATATCCGCATGGACCGGAGCGGCCAACCTGGGCCTCTTCGAGATCGGGCCATGCGGTAACAGGCTCGAGGATAGCACACTCGGGACATGTGTCGATACCAGCCTACGTTCCGGTCACTCAGTAGAAGACACAAAAGTAGAGGAGAGCGCTATACCTCAAACCCTAGTCGGGTTCTGCTAGATGGGATGGTGAGGTAGCCATGGCCGGCCACCGAGGTCAGCAGCCCGGCGAGCGTGAGGATGGAAGAACTCTTCATGGCTGTGATTTTTTCGAGCTGGCTGCAGTGCCATCAAGAAAATCCCTGGAGAAAGGTGGTGCTTTATAGGTATATGGTTCCTCGCTTAGAGTCACCCACATCCGGATTCGGCACGGGCCTTGGCCGCTGTTAGCCGGGTCTTGGAAGTCTTGGTAAAGGAGATAGCAGCAAATGAGGTCTTCTGCAGGCTCGCTACCCCGATATTTGACCGAAAGCAAAGCTGCTGAAGAATGCACACTCGGGTCTTGGCACCAGTCGTCTCCGGAGATGATCGAGTCATCAAGCCTAAGCGAAGTGAACTATGCATGTAGGTACAATGAAGCATGCATAGCAAGCATGTGCATACAGAATAAGCCAGAATTGACTAAGACTGATTTCTGCATGGCGTTGTCACATACCGACACGCTAGTCAGCTTTGGGATCAGCCGCCCGCCACCCATGGATTGCTCTAACGTTACCCCTCACTGCATTCATACTCACTCACCACTCAATCACTTACTCACCTTCTGCTCTCTTTACAGCCCTACCTCCCCTACTCTGCTCTCCGATAGCCCTAACTCCCGACCGCAAATCCTGATTCATGGCCCAACCAGAACACTTTGATTGCCTTTGGGATCAAGCCAAAGCGCGCTATAAGTCCATCACAGGCCATGATCTCGACGGCCCCGCATTTCCCAGCCCCGCTTCAGCTGACAACCTGCTCGTGCTCCTCGACGCGAGAAACACCGACTTCCTATCTTTCCGGGAGAAGCGCTCTGTGCTGTTCCACAACCTCAGTACACTGTGTCAACCGATCGAATTACTCACCAACGTCATCTTCACGGGGACCTCGGTGGCATTTCCGCCCAGCGCTGCATGTTTTGCCGCCTTGGCGTTGTTGATTGATGCTGCCCGTGGCGTATCGTCGCTCTATGATTCCATAATTGGTCTCATCGAGACCCTCAAGGTCTACACCCGATCCCCCGACATACGGTATATCGGAACCTGACAGGAGTCAGGAAAACAGGACTTCCTCGCGCGACTCAAGATCTATGCTGTAAATCAGGCGACGCCCGAGCTCCGCAGCACGCTGGTGAATATCCTCGTGATCCTGCTGGAAGTCTTCGGTCGCTCCGCGAAGATCATCCGGGGTGGAACACTGGGTCGCACCCTGGCCTTCGCGAAGAACGTGGTCTTGGGTCGCAATGAGAAGCTGCAGGGTCTCCTCAAACAACTGGAGAAGCTGTGCCAGACTGAGAACCGACTGGTCGCGGCGGAGACATGGGCGGAGACAAAGCGCACCGCGCATCAGATGGACCAGGTCAGCGATGACTTGGGGACGTTAGTCCTGGGACAGGAGACTTTTCGTAATGAGTTCCGGGAGGAAATGCACAAGGTGCGCGAGACGGTGACAGCGTCCTCAGGCAGGCAAGAGAAATCAACGACAGCCATCCGGGAGATTCTCAAGCCCTCGGTACATCCAGCCGATGCGTATCAGAGTCTGGCAAAGAAGAGGGTGGCAGGCACGGCAGACTGGATTCTTGCAGAACCGTTGTTTCAACGATGGGTGGCTGATGAGGGGCAGACACCGCTGTTGGCTGTCTGTGGGAGTCCGGGCAGTGGGAAGTCGGTCCTGTCGCAGCGCGTTATCTCCTTCCTGAACGAGCTGCAAGCTAAGAGCGGAAGCAGCGGTGGCTCGATCGCGTATTTCTTCTTCAGTAATAGTGACACTGAAACCATGTCATTCAGCCAGGCACTGCGGGATTGCGCTCACCAGGTTTACCAAAACAACGCCGCGTATAAGGCATATCTTGAAGCCCACCTCAGCTCTCCAAATGATATCAAGACTATTCGCAGTACGTGGAGATTGCTATACACTCAGCACTACACGGCGCAGCGAAGAGCAACCGGCCGGGTGGTCCTTGTCTTGGATGGTCTCGACGAAGCCTTTCAGGCGGATCGGGAGCAGTTCTTCGAGCTGCTGTCAGATCTACCTTCCGGGAGTGGTGAGTGCTCGCACAAGCCGGTTCTCTTGATCAAAGCTGACCAGTCATAGTCCCTCAAATCAGGATTCTTCTAGTCGGAAGGCCTGAGATCTATGCTGAGCTCATTGAAACGTTGAACGCCATACCTTGCATTCAGGTTGACGCAGCAAAAAACTCTGCTGACATCCGAGCATTAATTGAAACCACCATGCGACGAACTCGTGTTTTCAGTCGCATTCCTCGAGGTCTCTCCTCCAAAATCCAAGACGAACTCATTGAAAAGTCCCAAGGAATGTTTCTGTGGGCCGACCTGATGCTGCGCGAGTTGAGCCGGAAGACGCGAACGAGCAGTATGCTAGACAGCCTACAAAGAGCTCCCAAGGGATTGGATGAGATGCTGGAGCATGCCCTGCGAGGCTTCAGCGCGAAACTCGACCCAGAAGAAGCGGAGAATTTGAATACGATGCTTGCATGGCTGGCTTGCTCTGATGTTCCACTGAGTCTGCGTCAGCTGGACTACATCCTGCAATACGATTCGCCGAGCGGGGATGGAGTCTTTGATCTTGAGACCATGCTCCGAGTACAATACGCGTCGTTCTTTCTGCTCCTTCGAGACGATGGCCTGACTACAGCCGACCTCCAGGGTGCAGAAGTCGCAGCATATTTGGCCGAGGGCCGGACAAGCGATGATCTCCTCGGATTCCAGTCCAACAAAGAGACCACCCGTGTCGTCTTCCGCCACGCGTCGATCGGCGAGTACCTCCGCAATCCCAATTACGGAAAAGTGCGCGATAGCCCTGGCTCTGTGCCTGTTGGCGTGAGTATCATCGAGGCGCGGACCCATATCCTAATACACTGCCTAAAGCTGTTCCAAGACGGCTTTGCGGAGGATGAGAACAAGGACGGAAGGGTCTCACTCATCATCCATGCGCAGAGTCAGTGGCTGAGTTATCTGAGGCATCTGGTCAACAACGACCAGCTCGATCCACACAGCAAGCGCGAGATAAGATATTTGTTCCGCAGACTACTGTCAGCTCCTGACTGCGTACATTGGCTGAACCCGGATGACTGGGAGTTCTTCGCTTCTGGGGATTACCGCCTCATCGAAAGTCTCTTGAATGATACATCGTGTTCAGCCGACCAAGGGGATGACGAGGTCACAGAATGGCTGTCATCCTGTCGCCAGAATCCGGGCGGCCTCTTCTCAGTCATGGCTGAATATGCCGCTGAGAGCTGGCTGAAGGAGAGCGTCTGGTCTGCGTCGGAGTGCTTCCGTCTCGTGTGGGCGGTCAGAATCATCTCCGAAGACGGCGATGTGAAGATTATGCGCGAGACGCCCAGTACAGAAACCGTGCTTGAGGTCGCTCGATGGACGAAGCTGGAAGAAGACGCGCTGTGGCATGAAAGGATCGGGAACTGCCTCTCCAATCTAGGGCATCTAGACGATGCAAAACATCACGCGGAGATGTCGCTGAGCCTGCAACCGAAATCAGTCGCTGCCAATTTGGACATTGCTCGGGCTTACCTGAAACAACACAAGCGCAGCGAAGCAATCAACATATACCTCGAAACCGAGAAACTGTACACGGAGTCACTTCTCCAACAGCAGGAGCCCGACCATGAGGACTCGGATCTCGACATTGTGGTGTCGCCATACAGTCTGTCAAGGCTGCGATTGACTCTGTCGGAGTTATATTCTGAACAAGGCGATTGTCTAGAGGCTGCAGCATGGCTCCACTCGTGTTTACAGTTGGAATCATACAGCATTCGGATCCGCAAACTTGCCGAAGCGCTAATTTACCATCTCAGCATGCCACCATATAGAAATCATAAAGAAATAATGCGCTTGCTGAGGTCGATGGACCGTGAACCTGAACACCATACTGAGACAATTCTGAATGACTGCCTCATCCATTATAGAAGGGCGGACAGTCGCTTTCTCGAGGCCTGTGCGACCGCTGCCCACGCCATGGGGTCCTTAGAATGGCTGGCAGATCGATATCGACACGCAAGGGCGGCTGCGTTGAGGGATCTGCGGTCCACTGTTGTCGTTTGTCTCGACGTCTGCTTGGCTCAACTGTATTGTCGATTCATGAACGAACCCGACAAGGCCAAGGCTATATGGAGGCAGATTCTCAGTCTGCCTCGGGTGGACATGGACGGTCACTGGGAGATGACGCGGTCGAGGTCAGTCGCTGAATCATCCTATGCATACCAACTCTACATGGACGCTTTGAAAGACCCTGAAGATATTGGATCCTTCTTGCACGAAGTCACCAATCTCGCTAGATGGTTGCTGGAGGTACCCCTCAACCGCGACACTTCTATCGCGAACCAAGCCGGTCTGTACCTGGGACGTTGGCACCTGGACCATGGAGACGCCGAGCAGGCGAGGCTCTATTTCCGGGGTTATATCAAGATTTCCCTCGCACGTCTCGAGGACATTGACCCCGCTTGGCGAGCAAATGCATTCTACAAGCTTTTCACGATTCTGGTCGCGGCGGATGACGACGCCAACGCTCTTTGTCTGTTTCACGCAATCCGCGATGAACCACAGAACAGCCGCGATTCCTCGCTTCCAGATGACTGGCTTCTTCCGTGGGCGTGGTGCTGTGATGTCTGTAAGCAAGAATATGACAGTTCCGCTCCCTGCAACAAGTGTCGGGTCTGCGCAGCAGATCTTTGCCCGGGATGCTTCGCGTCAATGCAGCAAGGTACGGCGAGCGCTCGGGTTTGCGCGCCTGATCATGCCTGGCTTTCTACTCCCTTCCCGTCGATCATGCCCGAACAAGGCTTTGTTATTGTAAACGATTCTCCGATGCCCATCGATACTTTTCTCGCGGATCTGGGTCAAGCCTGGGAATGAGGGGTGCGAACGAAGCCTCTGATTAAATGCAGGGTGACCCCTATCAGTCGTTTGAGGACTCTCATTTGCCTACCTCTATACTTTGGGCGGTAACAACAATCTCCTTATATATTCACAATTGCTCTTCTCTCTTATAATAAACAATCCGATTGTTGTAAATACATTTCAGCTTGGTGTGGTACCTGGGATCTGGTCGTACCATTCGGCGACTTGAATGCATCGCCTTTCTCCGTAGTGAGAAATTCGTTTTTCTAGACATATGGAAGCCATGTGATTCTACGTAGCGCAGGTCATCTTATCTCTACTCTAATTTCTCACCAATGAGCCAGTAGGAGCAAAAGTGTCGACCCGGCTCATTGTGGAGAGCGAACCCGCTGCCGGTTAGTCCGCAGCGGGGCTCGATTGCCGAATTCGGGGGTGGTTTGCGAGGGAACCCTAACTTCTACTCCGGTAGATTGCTTGACTGGTTGGCAGCAGAATTGATTACGATATCTGCCATCAGTATCTCCGCGGCAAGAGCCCCAACGGAGATTATTGTCTAGCCTACCTGACTCAGGACTGGACTTCATTCATATCAGCAACAGAGGACATTTGTGACAACTCATTCTTGATAACACGCGAGGAGCTCAGACCATGTCGAGGTACTCGAGTGCCATCTTTCATAAAGTTCTGGACGTTATGGTCGCTAGTCTGCTACGCTAGAGCTATACATTAGAAGAAGCTACTTCGACGCTAGAAATGCACGGCTACGTATCTCCGATCACCCAGAGAAGGCTTTGCCGCGGGTCCCTTAAAAGGGCATTTCTTCCCTATCGCGGCCCCAATCTTTTCATCCAAGCAACAAATACCACTTTCAATCTACCTCGCCTCAAACCACAATGAGGCGACTCACAGCTTTGGTCCTGATTTCAGCCACTACCTTCAACATCGCCACCTTTGCGCTTGGAGCAGCCACATTAGCAGAGTACCTCAACCAACGCAGCTACCTTCTGGGTCTCGTCCCCAAAGCCGAGATCCACGACAATGCCTACATCGGGGCAGCTAGTTACAGCATATGCTCGAGTTTCCTGTCCGCCTTGATTCTTCTCATCGTGCTCATCATCCAAGTGCTCCGGCGCACCATTGCCTACCGAGTCCTAATCGTGTGCGCGGTCGTTCCAAGTCTCATCGGCTTCACTAATGCGATCACCTTGACCATTATCACGGCGACGAAGGTGGTGTCGTTCGGGGATAGTGTCGGGCCGCGCGTTACTACATACTTGGATGACGCTGCTGATAGCGACGGGGTCCCCCTAGAGTATCGAAAGGATGCTGTTTCCATCGCGGCTGTTGTGATTACTTGGGTGGGATGGGCTTTCTCTGTGGTCGGGTGAGTTCCTGCCCCTGCATACTGATTGATGTGGTCTGGTTACTGATCCCAGATAGATGTGCGTTGTTGCTCAAGGCTGGGCAGAGGAAGGCGGTGGAGCAAACATCATCAGCATATCAGGAGGAGAAGGCCGCTTGGTCCGAGGATGGCAGTGAACATGGTCGAGTGTGAAGCACTACTTATTTCTCTCTTGTATGCCTCAGGCAGCACATAAGATCTTTGGGGTGAGAGTCTTCTTAGTTTTGAGAACATGTCGCAACTACGATACAACAAGGATGGTTATAACGTCACCTGCGTGCAAGGTGAAAGTCTTTGCTTACTGTCCAGAGTAAACGGTTGCACGCATCCACCATATATGTGGTTTCGAGACAAGCCGTAGTGCATGGAGTTGTCGATGCTCGTCGAAGAATAAGTCATCGTGGTTGACGCGCCTCTTGTGTTCATCATGGCGAGGACCCAAACCCGCAGCTTCGACGCAGCGCCCGCCTTCCGCTGGAGCTATCCTATACCTATATCTTGCACACGGAAGAAGCAACTCAGCCGGCGGGCTTTGATCGACAAGTCCTCTCGGGCTTATGACGGGCTCTGCAAAGAGCCCGCACAGACCTCGATACGCATTCCCGTTCGACTCCACCTGCTATCCCACCCTTGAGATTAGCCAGGTACAGTACGTCACTTGCTGTCTCTCCGCGGCGGGATTGGGTTGTGGTGTTATGCATGTCTCCACGCTCTCGAACTCTGATAATAGGGCTGATATGAGGCCAGCAGGACAGGAGCGACCGGAGGGGGTCTGTCTTCTACGGCATGCTGGGATAGGAGCTTATCATCCGGTGGGGAAATAGCTTGTACGTAGATCCGAAAGCCATGCCCATTGTCATGAGAGATACATCTCCTCCTTCTAACGACCTGGTCATCTGTAGAGCTCTCAAACAAGGCGGATATCAAAAACCTTCAACCAGAAATGACTCTTCTATAGTCTAAGAGGGGTATATTCTATAATCCAGTATGCAATGCATCGCGAGAAAGAGTCGAAAGAAAGAAGATAAATGGACAACTCGTCCAACACCGAAGCCAGACCTCTCACTCCGACCATAAAGACCTTCAGAAAAGCCTCCACAACGGAGCAGAAATCTACCCACTGAACACCCTCCCCTCCGACCAAACCCTTAACCTCCCGCCCCAGTACCAAAAGCACACCGGCACCGGCACCAACACCACACACACCGCCCCAAGCACCGTCGTCGCCTCCGCGACCCCCAACCCATGCAACATCTGGCTCGCGAACAGCGGAAACGACGCCGCAAACACACTGCGCATGGCGCCATTGACTCCCAGCGCACTGTTCGCCATCGCCGTGTAGCAGTCCACAATATAGCTAAACCCCTGGATGAACAGCAGGTACATTCCACATCCAATGAACAGATTCGAGCAGACGGAACTCGCCCAGTAGATGGCCGGGCTGGCCGTCCAGGCGTACCAGAACATGCCCACAGGAATGAAGATCGCGCCGAGGATCATCGGCGGCAGGCGGGTTTCCGGGATGAATTTGCCGGTGGACGGGTCGTGGCAGTGGTGCCGGAAGTAGAGGGCGTTGTAGAGGATCATGGCGAGGGCGCCGAGGGCGACGCCGACGTTGATTCCCAGTAATGGGAGGGTGTTGAGCCCCGTGCGCCAGCCGCGGAGGTCGCCGTAGGTGTAGGGGTAGGATTGGTAGAAGAGGTAGAGGATGCCGTAGAGGATGGATTGGTAGAGGGTTAGAAGGAAGAGGATAGGTTGAGTGGAGATTAGCCCTGCGTCATATTAGTGAGGGTTGTGCTGTTGTAGAGGTAAACGGGAACCTACAGAAAGGTCGGATGAGGTAGAGTCTCGCGACCTGCGCGATGCTTAAGCTCTCCTTCTCCGCGGATATATCCAGTACTTTGTCGATGCTGGGGGTTTCGAGGTTCTTTTTCTCGGCTGCTGCTGCTGCTGCTGCTGCTCTATCAAGGACAATCGGGGGATGGGTCTCCGGGAACAGCAGCACAGCAATGAGCGACAGGCCCAGCCCGCAGATGATAATCACCCACATCGTCCAGCGCCAGTGCAGCGAAGACGCCACGATGAAGCCGCCGAAGACGGGGCCGAACGTCGGGCCCGAGAACATCAGTCCGACCGCGATGGCCATCGCGGTGCCCCGCTGCGCCGTGGCAAAGCAGTCACTGACGACGCCCCCCATCACCGCCACAGGCGAGATCCCAAACAAACCGGCGAAGAAGCGCCCGAGGAGGATGGTGGTGATGTTGGTGCCCAGCGCGGGCATCAGCTCGAAGAGCGAGGAGACGGTGACGCCGATGATCAGCGGCCATTTGCGGCCGAACTTCTCGGACAAAGGTCCGAAGGTAAGAAAGCCGAAGATATAGCCCTAATTTGCGGTGAGTTTCCCGCACGCATCGATATCATGGAAGCAGAACTATACCACGAGGAATAATGTTGTCGTGAGGATAGCGACTTCTTGGTCGATATCGAACTCTCGCATAATCTCTTTCTGGCCCGGACTCAAGATACTGCTGGCCGCCGTACCTAGGATGTTCATGAGACCGAGGATGATGATCGTCCGGACCTTCTTGGCCATGGTCCAATTTTGAGGGTGGTCAGGGTTGACATGATCAGACTTCCCCAGAGCGGTGTCGAAGCCATCCGTGCCCTTTTCGACAACATCAATTGCCGTGGGAGGACTCATTTGATGCCGGTAAGATGTATAGGTGCGGTCACTGCACGTGACCTGCAACTCTCCACAAAACAAAATGCAGATCAAATCGCTCAGAATGCATGAACCTGATTGGTAGAATGATTATCCCTGCTAGACCCAAGTCACAATGCAGATCACTGGCATTTGATTTCTCCTACACCGACAGCACGCTTGCATACACAGTATACCACTCAAAACAGGTCTCGACCCATCCCTGTCGTTGAGACATTGAGGCCGTATATATTCTGGACCACCAGCATTTCTACCCCAATTCTACACTGAAAATTGCCTGACTCAATTGTTGCCCGTGAGGGGGAGATACAATCCTGTGAGGGGAAGAGAGAAAAATTTTCCATGGCGGGCTTGGACCGTGGAGGCTCGGTCTGCTTTATTCAGCATGAAGAAAACCGGAAGTGGGGCGCCAATGAGGGGGAGAACCGACAACGTGGGTTTTGATGGGGGGGATTTGAGTGTGCGTTGTGCCATCCGCTTGGGTCAGGACAAAAGCCGCGAGGGGAGCGAGGGGGGGACGAGGGGGAAAAATCGGCAGCCCGATCAAATCCCGAGATAGAGCCACGCCAAGCCTCGTGGCGGAGATGTATCGGCGATCCATCGGTCATGTCAACCGTGCGGTTGTCCAATGGTATACATACTTGGAGAGGTTATTGTGTACTTTTTTTCCGAACCAAGAGGAGAATTGGGTTTGCGGAGTGGAATGGCAGCTGCAGATCATCCGATTGCGAGAGTGTGAGTGGATCCGGTCCTATCGTTAGGCATCTGGGAGATTGGGTGCGATGCGCTACCCTTGGGAGCATTGACTTCGACTGTGCTGCAAAGCATAATCATGTGGAGAACTGCCGTAAAGGTATAGGGGGCGACAGACTAAATTTAATGTCGCGGATAGATCCGTTGATTAGACATGGTATAATAGTGGCACCTGAAGTTATCCTGAAACATTTTGTCCAGGCATTTCTTTACTTACCCTCTAATGAGCTAGTCACCAGTCTGGCTCCTCACAAGGACTCCTTTCGAAGTCAGTTGTGATGCATGGAAGAAGGCAGATTCTCTGTGTGACATTAACAGACAGAGACAAGGACGACTCGCTTTCACGAGAATTGCCGTCAAACAACCCATCGTCCTTTTGAACCAAATGAAGAGCTCACTCAGTCCACCAAGAATTGAAAGAATCTCCATCTAGTCTGATTGAACTGAATGACAATTTCAATCCACCATGTCCCCATGCACAAAGCCACGACACCTATAAGAATCATGATGATTACTTTCCAAAAGATAGAACAGAATCACCAGCAGGCTGACCGCAACCGCCGGCAAACATTGCTCAACCCAACACATCAGGTCAACCACCAAACACACAACCAAGCACCATGGACTCGACCGCGCCGCGCCGCAGTAAGCCCTACACCCACGCCTGGCTGGCATCCACCGAAGCCAAGACATCCTACATCCTGGACGATTTGCACATCCCCCACGTCATCTGGGGCGACTCCGTCTTCAGCTACCTAGGCCTGCAGCTAACAATCACCAGTGCGGACTATGTAATCGAAGACGAGTTCTTCGCCGTCGCCGTAGAAGCCCTGTACACCCTACCTCAGGGACTGGACTTCTGCTGTCAAGCGCCAGACCCTAACGACGCCACCAGCACCAGTACCTCACCCCCCTGCCCCTGGCACCCACACCCGCGACCAAAGGGCACCCTCATCCCAGACGCGCACTTCATCGTCAACGACAAACACCACCTGCACCTGTACCGCAAATCCCGACTCCTGTGGTGGATCCCGCGCCTGCAGGAACGCGGCGGCGACGACGAGGATTCCCTGTTCATGTGCACCTGCGACTCGCTCCTGCCCACGCCGCGCGCCACCTCGCACCGGGGCGGACCGGGTCGCGGGCCCGCCGACCTGGCCACCACGCACCACCCGGTGCACATGCTGAAGCCGCACGTCTACGCGGCGGCGCTGGTGTTCCTGGCGGTCCGCAACGTCGCGCACGAGATCGAGGCGCACTGGGACGACGAGCTGGACAAGATGGCCGCGGCGATGGCCGCGTGCCCGCCGTGCCAGCAGCGGAATGTCCCGTGTGTGTTCTTGCAGTTCCTTACGCGCAGGGAGGATACGTATGTCTCGTTGACTATCTTCGCGGCTTTGTGGCGGCGGTTGCAGGAGAGGATGCCCCCAGCGGAGGGGGAGCCTGTCCAGAATTATAGGCGGCGGCGCCGGTGGTTGGAGAAGTGGAGACCGTGAGCTGCCCCTGTTGATCGGGGGTTTTGACCTTGATTGTAGAACCAAGAACTGGTTTCTTGATCGCATAGGCTTTTCTTGTTTAGCAATTTATTTAATCTAGCCAGGTCTATGATGTGGATCTGGTGCTTCAATTATGATTTCTTCCGCTCCGTCTTCCCTTTCTCTCAAAGGTTTCATGCTGTGATAAAATATAAAAACAAAATATACCCTTTTCAGGGGTGCCTCGCTAACCACAGGATTGAGTCATTATCCTATAAATCACCTAAAAACGATAAGATTATCCTCAGTAACACAGAAAATTCCTTGATATCCTGCCAGCGCTCTTCTCCTACACACCAAGTAAGCCTACGCACTCAGCCTTAAGAGGGGCCCGGCCTGCACGGAACACGTGCTAATCAAAACAACACCCTCAATACCGTTCCATACCCTTCTTGTAATCCCGATACAACCCGACCGAAGCATCCAAACAAACCTGTATCAGACGAGCAAAGTGGAGCCCTAAGACCGCACGTCCCGCGCCCATTGGACCAGAAATATCGGTGCCTACGCGGCCGGCCGGGAAAGCACCAATGACAAGCTGCCACCCAGCCCTGTAAGGCTGAGGGAGGGGGGAAGCCCGTCGGTCGTCCTCTTCCAAGGTTTCTTGTCGAGGGTAAACATGCCAAAATGCCTCTTAAGTGGTATTTTACTTGCGTGAGGGAAAGGATGAGGTTGGAGGACGGTCACGTCATATGTGCGGGCTCGGTTCAGCAGATGTTCCGAAGTAAAATCTCATCCTGCACTCTCGCCCTTACAGCAAGCAGTACATTCGTACTCACATTTGCTGGTTTGGTGATATAGTCATCATGCAGTGTATATCAATACTATTTATATCTAGAAAAGGTAAACCACATCGAAAATCGCTTTCCCAACTCAGGCTCGTACCCAGGAAACCTAGCCGCTAGCGAACACAAAACGCCAGCGTAAGGATTGCATACCTAGACAGAAGTCACAAGTCAGCTACAACCACGTCCACCGCTCAATCAATCACAAATGTAGAAAGGAAACTCACATAGCAATCAACGCCACCCCATGCACAACACTATACCTCCCCCCGCGCAGCACCCCGTTCACCAGCAACACCGAAAAGAACAGCACCACCACCTCAAACACATCAAACACCAAACTCATCGGTTTGGCCAGCGCCCACCCCCATAGCACCAGCGCCGGCATCCCGAACAACCCCACATGTACCACGCTCTGCACGACCGCACACACCGCGCCATCGACATCCTGGCTCGCCACACAGCCGCGAATCATCGACATGCCGGCAGCGCCCGTAGTCGCGAGCGGGACAAGCGTAGCGGCCACCAGGGTCTTGCTGAGGTGGAGTCGTGCCGCAGTTATGACCAGGGTGTCGGTGAGGAACTTGGAGCAGATGATTGTAGCCAGGGTCGCGAGTGTGAGTATCAAAAGGGCTTTCGCTTTGCCCGGTGCGGTGCGAGGGAGTTCGTGGGCGGTATCGGCTTCCCCATCCGCCTCATTCAGATTCTCCGTACGCGGTTGCTGTGGGAAGAGATGCCGGTGCGTTCCGATCTGGAAATACAGGTATCCCGCGTACACGCACAGCAACACCGCGGAGACGCCCCGCGAGAAGGCCACGGTGCGGTCGCCGAGTTCGTAGGGGAAGCTTGTGGCCAGCACGGAGGGGAGCACGAGGACCGTGGAGGTTGCGAGCATGAGGGAGGAGAGGGTGTTGGTGGTGGGTTGGTTGAAGTGGAGGATGTCGGTGCGGTAGGAGGCGGCGATTATGCTGCATCCTAGGATCTGGTTCGGTGCGTATGGTTAGGATGGAGACGAAGGAGTGCGTTGTCGGTGGTTGAGGGAGACGGTGCTTACCAGCAGGATCTCGGACAGGATGACCCCGATGGACAGGCTTTGCGCCACATAGATCTCCCGGCTGGCGACGGCCCAGGCTCCTAGCTGAAGTGGTGGGTTAGCTTGTTTCTCGATGATGCATACAGCAGTACAGGTGGGCTCACGCTCAGCCCGACTGCTTTGCGGGGCACAGTGTTGATCAGTGCGCCTGTCAGGTCGCTCGTATTGGTTGCCAGCTGTTGGGAGAAGTCGGAGATGATAGCTGACAGGGCGATGATGGCGAAAAGGTTATAGATGAAGATGAGCACCGGGTTCCACTGAAGGTATCCGGCCACGAGGGCCAGTGGGAGGAAACATATCGGTAGGTAGGCCCCGGATCGGACGGCCGTTGGCAGTTGGCGACGAAGTGCTTGGGGGTTGTGAGTAAGGGGGCGGTCGGGATCGGATTTCGAGGGCGACTGGGAGTGATTCTTAAGCAATGGGTCGAATTCGTCTCCGAAGGAGGGCTGATCGCCAACTGAAGAGGCCATGGCGTTTGCTGCAGCGGCAGCCGATGGATTCGAAGCAGGTCCAGGAAGAAGAAGAGAAGAAGTGGTATCTTTAGTCAATTAATGTCCGATCGAAGCTGGTTTACATAAGTTACCCTAAGCTCGAACCAAAACCCTGGTGACAATACGGACTGTCACGGAACGGTAATTCGGGCGGGGATACTATTTTTGTCCAGGGCTGAATTAACCGTCGGTAAGGCGAACTGCCGTCACTGCCTGCCCTCCTCCGGATATCCGGCTGTTTGTTAAGGCCTTGACTTGGCAGGCTCTGCAAGACGTCTTCCGTGTATTCTCCTATGAATTCTCCCATGTTGCAATTCATACATCGAACGCATGGGCATTCTTGCATAATCAGCGACCTCTGCTACTATGGCACCGGAGACGGTGAGAAGTAGGGTGGGTGAAGGCAAGCAGGATGCAACTCAAGACCGGAGGTCCGATAAAGCAACGGTGCTCAATCAATCAAAACGACGAGAGTTGTCCACAGCCCTACTGCCTAGCGTCTTGGCAAGAGATGATCGGTGTCGGTCTTTCTCCAGTTCTCCCACTTCTAATCAAACCAAGGGGGGAAGTCATTCTTGTCCCACTGGCTGCATCATCATCATCACAACCATCAGCCTCTTTCTCTCTTCATCCCTCCTCCAAGGTTTGCCTCTCGCTGTGCATCGCCCACCGGCCCCGACCCGCTCAAGCCATACCCGATCCATGCTCCTCGAGAAGCTTAGACCCAGTTTAATCCCATCACCTTGACGTCCTTATCCTTTCCTCCCGGATACCCCGTTTCCGCCCGGTCGATTCCCCTCGCGCGACGGTCGGCTTCTCCTGCCCGAATCGTCCTCCCACCCCCACCATCCGCCGAACCACTCCTCGAGACCCCCAAATAGATGGAAGACATTTCCTCAACGTCGATAGCAAACACCTTCCGAAACCTCGCAAAACGATACTGCACCCACAAACAAATAGAGACCGCAAACCAGGTGGAGGCGGTGGTGGACCAAGCGCTGCAGCAGGATCCGGATGACCCGAGTGCGGCACTCGTGCGCTTCGGAGCCCTGGTCCTCACCTTCCTGGAGCAAGGGCAGTGGAGCGCGGCCGTAGACGTGGGCAATGTGGTCGTAGACACCCGAAAGGCGCTCTTGGGCGCGGACAACCCGGCCACCCTCACCGCCATGCATAATCTCGTCTCTGCCTACTGCGGACAGGGCCGATGGGGCGAGGCCATCGAGCTGGGACGGCGCGTGGTCGAGGCCCGCCAGACGGTGCTGGGCATGGACGGTTCGCAGACCATGGCGTCCATGTCCAACCTGGCGTCGGCGTATCGCAACAAGGGCCACCTGCGACAGGCCGAGGCGCTGGAGAAGCAACTCCTCGAGTTGAAGACGAAAACCCTGGGACCCGATCACCCGTCCACGATGACCTCCATGAGCAACCTCGCGACCACGTACACGTACATGGGCCGGTACGACGACGCCGCCCGCCTCGAGCAGAGCGTCATTGAGCGCAGCGCGCGCGTGCTCGGCGCCCGCCACGGGTCCACCCTGACTTACAAGTCCAACCTGTCGGTCACCTTCCGGGAGCAAGGCCGGTTGGAAGACGCCGAGAAGCTGGAATCCGAGGTCCTGAACGCGAGGGTCACGATCTTAGGGGAGCGGCATCCGCTGTGTCTCACGTCGATGGCGAACCTGGCGGCCATCTATCGGGATCTGGGCCGGTTTGAGGAGGCGGAGCAGCTCGAGGCGCAGGTGGTGGAGAGGAGCCAGGATGGGCTGGGCGGCGATCATCCGCAGACTTTCATGGCCATGGTCAACTTAGCGACCACCTGGCGGCTGCAGGGACGGCTAGATGAGGCTGCCGCCCTCGGGGCGCGGGCCGTCGCCGCCATGAAGCAGCAGCTGGGTGATCTGCATCCGCTCTGTCTGACGGCCATGGCGGAGTTGGGGTTGACCTTCCAGAGTCAGGGGCGCACGCGGGAGGCGGAGGCACTGACGGCGCAGGCGTTGCGGGGCATGCAGAAGGTGTTGGGAGATAGTCATCCCCATTGCCTGACGACCGTGGCCAATTTAGGGGTGATCTATCAGTCGCAGGGCCGGTGGAAGGAGGCCGAGGCCTTGGCGGAGCGGGCGGCGCGCGGCCGCGAGAAAGTCCTTGGCAAATCCCATCCGCTTACTCTGGCGTCCATGCAGGATCTTGTCCGGGTATGTCAGGTGCTAGCTGCGGATAGGACGATGGATACACGCGTAAGGATTTCGGGTTGAGGGACATGAGAAATGCTGGCGTTATCCTTCGTTATCTGATGAGACATGATTCAATATTGGGGGTGAGCTTAGTTAGCGATTGATTTGAGTGAACATTGCGTTAATGAAGACAGCAAGTGAAGTAATCATGCAATAGCAGTCAGGCATTATGATACGAGATTGTATGTGAAATAAGAACAAAATTCCACGTTGAAGCAGGAATGTGGCTGAGGCCATTTGTTGGCCTGCACTGCCTCCTTGCCAAGACTGGATGCTGCACTAGTGTTGTAACCTATGCGGAGGTGACCACATGACCACATGCCGGTAGATTCTACACTCAATGACTACATTTCCAAGGACGCGGATATATGGCGGATTCTCACTACATGAGGCTATCTGAAAGGAAGTAGCGAAGGCCACCGAGGTGGGCTGTGAGCGACAGCCGAGCGGACCGCCAACACACCCCCCAGCTTGCCCCGCGCCCCAAAGATCAAGCCAAAGTACGTCTATAGAATTGCCACAGAGGAGAAAGTATAGAGAATGATAGTGGTGAGAAGTGGTAACATACATCGCGGAAAGCCTAACTTATATTAAGCCTAGGAAATCCACCTACACCCCAGCTAATCACCTTGTTCTTCGCCTTGGCTATGTAAACGGTAACAACCACGGCGGTAGGAGCTCAGCGATGCAGTAGAAGGACTGCTGGGCTATTTTAAAGTCTAGGGAACTTGTATACCCACCTGGCTATTTACCTATTACAAAAACCTTAACCTTACATTAAAAAAAGGCTTTAAAACACAGTAAGAGTCACAGCAGTAAGAACTGGGCAACACAGTGAGAGAACGGCTCAACGTATATAAAGCCTTAAACAACCCATCTGTATTTACAAGTGTAAGGAACAAGAGGATTCATTTAAAACAATAGCTGTTCGGCCAATATTACCCACAGTCTTAGGCCCTGGATCAATTATACAACTGCGGACCTATTGATTCTATTGATGCGCGCACATGATTCTTTCCTAAAGGGAATTTGTAGGGCTTCCAGCCCTTACAATCAGAGGTCTTTACCTCTTATTAAACACCTTAACTGTATAAAATCCAGGTTGTAATGAGAGTTGCAAGATGATCAATAAATGTAACATCAGACTATAGAGATAATACAGCGCCAACTACAAACATATATAGGTGTCGTTGGATTGTAAGTAGATCCAGCTCCACCACTCAGACTGCTCACTTACTGTAAGACTTTTGAGACACTCAGAGACGGGCAATATGGAATAACTTCTTGGTTTCTTGGTGGTTCTTGATGGTCAGAACTAGCTGGATTCTCCGCATATGAATATTGTGGTAGTGAGCGACAGCGAGAAGCCTGTGTGGGCTCACCGCCGCCCAAAAGGCAATATACGGCTTTGAAACGGTTTGTAGAGGACGACGCTCAGGAGCGTGATGGATACAAGATCTTCTTGATGAGAACTGGACCTAAAATTATCATGAATACCGAGGGCTCTCTGTATTAAGGGTGTGAATGATGGTGGAATCGAACTATATAAGGCTATCTGAGAGGAACTATCAACATGCGTGGCGGGCGGTGAGCAGCCCCGGCTATCGGAGACCTCAGGGAAGCCGACAAAATCACTACTGTCAAAACAATGTTTCCATCTCAGAATTATATTATCGATTAGGCTAAGATAGAAGCTAACTCAACACATTTCTGCTTCGTAACAGCAGATACCATCGGATTCGATCCACAGGAACACGAATCCCTCCAAAAGTCCATGGGAACGGTTGCAACCGTTTACAGGTTGCCCTGACCGGCGCTGGTAGCAGGGTCGGTGCTGGCAGCACTGGGAGTAGGAAGAGAATCGCCATCGAACGCTTCGAGCGCAGTGGTGGAGGTGCCAGTGAGGTCACCACCGTTGGTGTTGGCGACGCAAGAGCGGCCGATGTAGGAGGAGCAGGTGGAGGAAGCGCTGTCGGAGGAGAAGAGGGCACCCTCGAAGGTGTCGGTCTCGAGGACGGTGTCCACATCCTCGAAGTAGTTACCCTCGGCGAGGACGTAGCCGCCGGAGCCAATCTCGAAGGCGTGGCCGGAGTTGTCCTTCCAGTAGTTGTTATAAATGTGAAGATAAGTGTTGTCCTGGACCTTGGGGGCACGGCCGCTGGTCTTGTACAAGTAGTTGCCGGCGAAAGTGACCTTGTCGCTGGAGCCATCAAAATAGGCATTCCAGTAGGTATATCCGTCACAGGTTGCGGAGTAGTCGGTTTCACCGTTGATGAAGTTGTTGGTGATGGAGACGCGTTCGTCGGCGGAGGTGCCGAGAACGTAGTGCTGACGACCAATGCGAGCAGTCTACCACAACAAGGTTAGATGAGAGAATTTTGCGGAGAATTTGGTCTCAAGAGGAACTTACGGTAACGTGATCAATCCAGACAAGGTCTGCTTCGTCGAGGGTAATGGCATCACCACCCCAGACGTACTCGGCGTTAATGTCCGTGATAGCAATGTTCTGGATGATGATGTTGGAGACACCGCTGACCAAGCGGAGACCCTTGCCCTTGATGACACCAGAGGTGCCCTCGCCAATCAGGGACTTGTTGGAGCCGACGGTGATACCGAGGACACCGGCGTTGTCGTAGGTCACGGAGACGGAGGGAGCATCAGGCTCGTAGTTGGTGCACCAGTCATCCTGGTTAATGGCCACCTGGCAACCACTTGCAGTTCCCCAAGGAGCACATCCCGTGGTAGTAGTGGTTCCCTCAGTGCCGGTGAAGTCAAAAGTCTTGCTGAGAACGATGACACGCTCCTCATCATCACCGAGATACGAGACCAGCTCATCGGTGGTGGACGGGTAGACGGGAGTGGCAGAACCACCGCCGGTAGCGGAGGCGGCGAAGCCGACGGGGGAGCCCGAAACGCCGACAGCAACAGCCCGCTGGGCGAGAGCCGCAACAGCGGTGAGAACAGCAGCGTACTTCATCCTGGAAGTTGGGTCTGGTGTGTAAAAAAGAATGACTGAATCGAACAAAAGAAAGCAAGGAATAGAGAGGAAAGAACGACAGAGAGTGTGTGAGTTGTGAGCCAGAACGGAAAGGATGTGACTTGTGCTGACGGCTGGATACTTATATAGCTTCTGATGGTGGCCCAATTCATCCCCTTGTCCTTGACCTCTCCTCATGAGACCATGATGAGTCTGTCTCAGGCACGCTTGGCAAGCCTCACGGAGTCAACGGGTGAAGCGGAGGAGCAAGATGAGATCCACGACGAGTGGGGAAGCTGATACTGGGAGAATCGTTCTGTGGGTGGGTCCGAGCGAGAAGACTCAATACTCAAGAGAGGAATAAACAATTTAGAGTGCTCCGTCTGCTGAGCACCTTAGCATCGAGTCCAAGGTTATGGGTCCAGAAGCCGGTAATGCCACTGTCGATCGGTGGGCGCTGGATTGCGATCGGCCGCGTAAAGGCAGGAAGCCCTGAAACACACCCACCGACAACGGCCAGTCACCGTGTGCGACGGCTCGGAGATACGGCCAAGAGCAGTAGTGGAGCCGCCGGTGCTTAATGTCTGATTCTGATCCCGTTTCGCATTGATGGCGGCTGCCGTGCGGGTTTCATAGCGCGAGCGCTATCTAACCGCGGACTGCTGGCGGGCACCCCAGCTTTTCCGTGGGAGGAGGCTGCATGACGTGGCCCGTCCAGGCCTCTGCGAGACTAGACTTAGTCTTGAGATCTGGGTGAGATGGAGACTGTCCGAGGAAGGCCGAGGAAGGGGATTCTCTGTGTAATGGACTTCGACTTAGGGCTTGCTGCTTGCCTGAGGTTTCCGTCGAGCGACCCTTCAACCACGAGGAATCAACCAACCATCCACAGCAGATGATGAAAGATACAGATGATGATCCTCCTTAAGGTTAAAATTTCTCTCAACCTCTCTAAGCCTTATCCGGTAAAGTTCTTAGACGGGAGGTGAAAATCCCCATTTTTCCAGTTCCTGGTTGAGATTAGCGGCAGACACTGGGGCCACCCGCTCTCCACTGTGAATCGGTGGTTGGTTCTTTGCTATGGAGATTCTCCTCCCCCTGGCCGATCATCCCAATTTAAGTATGGTCGCATATTTTCTCTACATGTGTATGGATGCAATGCATTAATATCATCATCGCATTATTATCGTCGTTACTTGCATCACTCACGTTATTCATAGTCATGGCTCGGAAGATATGTGTCGAACGTATAACTACCAGTTCGCCTCGAAGTAGGGCTTTGCACCTCCGAACAGGAGCGACAATCACTCAACACCGCATCGCGATAATGATTTCACCTAAAGCCGAATGACTCCTCCTGATTAGTTGATGTGATCAATTCCGCGCGTACCGATCATGCCAGATCCCTGAGCACCACAAGTCCACTCTCGCCTTCTTCGCGTATGCTTAATTTCAACAGCCCCATCTCTTATCCACCGCCACCACTCAAAAATCCCAACAACCTCATCAATATCCGGGAGATTGCGGAAAGATACCGGTTCCAGTCTGCAGCCCACCAAGAAAGGCAGACAGATTAAGCTTCTTCTCTCGACCTTCTCTGGATGGAACTTCCGTCTACGAAAGCCGAATCATTCCTGCACATGTCTCACCATCTCCATCCACTAGATTAAAGCACGTCATGTCTTGGTCTACACGTGGATCGAACAATCAGAGAAAGGGGAGCTTGTTTACGCGGTCCTCGTATCGACTGAGTGCTCTTGCTCTTTGAAGGCAAACTCCCGCATTTGGCCATCAGAATTAATATACGAGCCAACGCAGGCTTGCGTATGCTCATTATACACCGCTTGTTGGTTTGGGGGTTTGTCAAATTGAACATGACTCCGTTCCCCGACCAGTATATCTTGCTGCTGAATCAGAGATTTATCATCACTTCGTCAGACCACATATAGTATATTTGTAGTCAGGTGATATGACTGTTCCTGCAGGAAAGCATACCTTGTGTGAACAATTGGTCGCTACTTCAAATTGCTGATTTTCTGGAGTCTCCAGTCCCTGGCAGTATAGAGCTCCCACTGGTCCCGGTCTGTTATTGAGCTAACATGCAGCTATCAAGCTTGCGCATCGCGCTCCCGTCATTGTATGTGAGACCTGACCTGGTATGGGGCTAGGAACATAGTTAGGGCTAATGACCCAGACACGGGAGCTTGGAATGATCTGTTAGCGTCGACCTCTCACTTCATGGTCTCGACAGCAAGTCATGACAACAAATAAGCAGCTCTCTATCGATCTGAAGAAGGCGTAGTAGGACACTGAGCTTTTGATTCACATTCCCATACCGAGTTACGAGCACAAGGAGACAGACAGATGTTAATGAGTAACAAATACTTTCAGGAGAGTTGTTCGCGAGCATGAAGAAGTCTACTATTTGGAGCCACTAAATGCTCTAGCAAATTGGCCTGTTGATTCTCCAATCCTCTATCATCTATGCAGAAGCCTCCCTCCTCCCCAGCACGACATCGCGGATCGCATCTGCCACATAGTCCACATTCCCCTCAGTCAAACCACATATGCTGACTCTTCCCGACGGCAAGAGATAGATATGATACTCTTCCTGCAAACGAGCCACCTGCTTCCTCTCCAGGCCCGTATAACTAAACATCCCAATTTGCTTCTCAACAAAGGACCAGTCCCCGGGGGTCCCATTCAGCACCAACCTCCTCCGCAACGCACCCCTCATCCTCGCAATGCGAGCACTCATCGTCCGCAAATCCTGCTCCCACTGCGCCCGCAACTCCGAGTCCCCAAGCACTGTCTCAACAATCGTCGCCCCAAAGCGCGGGGGATTCGAGTACTCCGCCCGCGCCATGCCCACCAGCTGCGACCGCGCCCCTTGCACCCCCATTCCCCTGGGTACCACCAAATGCAACGCCCCGACCCGCTCACCATACAGCCCGAAGTTCTTCGAGAACGACTGCGCTACACAGAGACCGGGATGCTCCTCATGGCCCGTGCCAAGCAGCTGCTCGGCGAAATACCGCACCGCCCACGCATCTCCATCGACATCCCCCGTCGCGAACCCCTGGTACGCACTATCGAAGACCACAAACAGACGCTTGCGGCGCACGACCTCCAGCAAGGTCTCCCACTGGGCGCGGGTCAGGTCCACGCCCGTCGGATTATGCGCGCAGGCCTGCAGGATGATCACGTCGTGGGGCGCGGCGTGCTCGTCCAGCACGGCACACATCCCCTCCAGATCGACCCCGCGGGTGGTCGGCGAGTAGTACGGGTAGTCGATCTGCGGCACCGAGGTCTCGGCCCAGATGGACTTGTGGTTCACCCAGGTCGGGGCGGGGATGAAGACGTGCTGCGGCCGGAGGTGCGCGGCCAGGAAGCTCGCGGCTAGGTGGTTGGCCCCCGTGCCAGAGACGGTCTGGATGGAGGCGATTTGGTCGTGCATGGTGGCTGTGAGGTGCGGGCCGAAGATGAGGGTTTGGGCGAGGTCGAGGAAGGTGGGCGAGCCGGCGATGGGGAGATATTCGTGGTTGGGAGGGGTGTGGGAGAGAAGGGATTTTGCCTGTGTTGGGGTAAAGTGGAAAGTTGGTAAGTCGTGTAGTTGAAGGGACTGTGCATTGCGGTGTAGATATGTAGATGTAGGCTTGTATTCTTTGGAGGTGTTCTGGGGAGGTATGCGCTCACCTGCTCGACACTGGGGAGAACCCATGGAGAACCAATCTCGTCGCGGTAGGCTCCGGCAATCAGGGAGACTTTGTTCGGGTGCGGGTCGGCATCGTAGGTGGCCATGAGGCCAAATGCGATGTCTGGGGGTGCAATGGGGAGGTCGAGGTATTGTCTTGCCATGTTGCTTGGGGACGTTGCGCCGAGGGGGTGAGGGTATGGAGTGCGCTGTGCGGTCGGAGTTGCAGGTCGCTTTTCCGTGGCTCTTCTGATACAACTGTGGGCTTTGGTTTGAGCTTACGAGTTTTGGCGGCATCATTCAGCGTGAGATTGTGGTTCTTATCAATGTGCTTGAGGGCCTGGTGGCGATCGGTCTGCTGTCGGGTGGCCGATTCTCATGTCGGCATCTTGACTGTCCTCCGTGCATGTCAGCAGAGGCGACGTCAGTCTCTATGAGGGTGAAGTCTCTTCCAATGAGATAGTCTCTTGCTTATTCCAACCTCTCGTTCCGTTGTAAGATTTTACGTGCAATTGTTTTGATTCCGAGACCCAGTGATGCTCATGGCAAGCAATATGGACATGGATATATATTCATACGGGAGCGGGGGCTGGCACGAGCTAGCTCAACTCAACGCATCCTTGTGAAAACAATGTCAGTTACTCAGCTACTGAAGATAGAAAACTTCGATCTCCTGGGAGACAGACAACAAAAACAATTAAGTCTCAAGAATTTCATGGCCTGAAGCAAGGCTGGCAACGAGATTTCTCCTTTATTAAAGAAACATGTCCCAAAAACTAAAAAATCTGACATAGCAATTCCTCGATGGTCTAACGGTCATGATTTCCGCTTGTCAATCCTGAAAAGGAACAAGCGCGGGAGACCTGGGTTCGACTCCCAGTCGGGGAGATTTCTTTTTTTTGGCTTTGCCGGGTCATCGATATCCGTTCGGATTGAGACTTTGTGTTCCGTCTACATTTGACACACTCCCGCTTTCTGATTGTCCATTTTACCCCATCTTCGCCTTCTCCAGGCGGTCAGTGACCATTGCATGCTACATGTGTACTTTAATTCTCCCATGCCTGAAGTTCACCAAAGAGGAAAGTTGTCAAGATGCGACCGTGATGACTTGGCGTCTCTCAGAGGGAGCAAATCACGCTGTCTGCAGAAAGAGTGGTTTTAGTGTCTAGTGCAATGCATGGAGTGGTTCTGCCATGCTGTAGTGCCAAGTCTAGGCCCGGTCTCGGACGTGGATGGGGGAGTCAAAAACGTGGTGAGTGAGCGTGGGAACCATTAACCAAACCATGGCACGACTCTTACCCCGCTCCGAGGCTGACTGACTGACTGGCGGCCGACCTCGGGCGCTCCGTCTCCGACTCTCCGACTCCGATTCAACAGGGGCACTACCGCACTATTTAACTAACTATATAGATAGATAGTACTTTCCCCAACTCACTATCCTTTCCTGAAGATTACCTTGAAGACAATGGATGCCCTTGAAGTATGCAGCCAATCAGAGATTGCGATTCTGCCAGCCCTACAGACCCTGAGACCTCGAAATCTCCCTACTCCCGTAGTACGGGGAAGGATCTATGACGATGTCGGCTGAAGAGGGCAAAAGCGGCGGGAGGCGGAGTTTCTGCAGGATGATTCAAAGAGGAATAGCACTGCAAACCATGTGACTGAACTAGTCGGGGATGGACGGTCAGCTTCGAATACGACTCCATCATCCAACGTGCACTCACTCACTTACTCATTCACTCACTCACGCACTAATCCAACTAATCTCCACTAATAGTCTCTCTCTCTCTCTCTCTCTCTTTCTGTTTTTCTATTACTCTAACGGCTATTTGCATACTACCCCCCACAGCAGCTGCAGGGACACTTCAGACTGCACGGTTCACTCCCGGGCCCGCTTTTCCAGCCTGAAGAATCCAATCTTCACCATCCCTGCTTATCATTCTTCACCCTCCCGCATCCTACTCCGCTCTGGATAATCAAACATGAATCGAAGACAACCCCCGAGACGCCATGCTTGCGTCCGCTGTGTTCGACTCAAAGTGCGATGTCAGCCTGTCGAAGGCACTGGCACTTGCGTCCGCTGCACTAGACTGGGCCAGTCATGCAGTCTCCCCGATAGCTTACGCGCGAGTAGTCGGCCCAGGTACTATCTGCCTTACGCACCCCCGTCTCATCATGAACTGTCACCTCACTGACTGATTTGTTTCAGGAAAACACGCATCGATGCCTTGCAGGAACAGATCGATAATCTAGTCACCCAACTTGCCAGCAAGGTATGCTTTTTGGGTCCATCTGATCGTGCGGGAAGGTACTGATGGAGACTCTTATAGCAAGCGGCCAACTGCCAGACCCCGTCGCGAACTGCCAGTGTAACTAACACAAACGACTTGCCCGATACGTACCAGAAGGATTCACCGTCGCGACTTGCCCGCAGTGAGAGCGAAGGCGACCCACTTTTCGGTCACCTGCTCACCCTCGAGGAGGCCGACGAGCTCCTGGCCAAATTCCGGACCCAGAAGATGCACCACTTCCCTTTTGTCATCATACCGCCGGACATGGACATTACCTCACTGCGCGATCAGTACCCGTTCCTGCTGACATGTATCGTCTGGGCTTCTTTGGAGCACAATAACTCTTTACAGCTAAAGCTGGAAGGCATGATCAGACAGACGGTCGCGAATCGGGTCTTCGTCAACAGCGAGCGAAGCATGGACCTGCTGCAGGGGCTACTGGTGCATTCGGCGTGGTACCATTACCACTGGAAGAGCATGCATGCGCATCAGTACCTGCTCCTCCAAGTGCTGCCGATGCTTGTTTATGACCTCGGTCTGGATCAGGATGAGACGGTCAAGATGCAACTGCAGTCGGGACAGATAAGTGAACCTCGGAAGGAGCAGTTACACAAGACGCCGGCGGCTCAACGAGCTCTTCTGGGCTGCTACTATCTGACCCACAAGTGAGTGGCGCATGAGACCAATACCCCTGCTACCAGCCGAAGCTGACCCCGTATTAGATCTTCGATGTTCCGCCGACATATGAACATGCGACATACCATGTGCATCGATACCTGCGTGAAGAACCTCACAGAGAATCCCGAATATCCCAGCGACGCGCTGCTGAGAGCGCTCATAGAAACACAGCCACTGATGCGCAAGTCTCATACGCTGCTCGGCGATGAGTTGAACTACTGCACTGACCAATGCCGAGACGCGACCTGGGAACAGATTCTCGAGGCGGTGGCGAGAAACCAGAAAGAGGTCGATGAACTGAAATCACGTCATAATCTACAGGACAATTGTGAGCATCTTTCGTGCACCCGAGTGAGGATCTACGTATTCTAACCAACCCAGGGGCCTTGCGCATGGAGCTCGACGCCTTTCCCACCCTCATGTTCGGGCACTTCCTACGCCGGCAGAAGGACGCGTTCTACCTACGCGACATCAACCAGCTGCAGGCGCTCGCCACGTCCGCCCACCGCGTGGCGGCCACCTTCCTCGCGACCCCATCCCCCGTGGCAGTCCACCTGCCGATCTCGTCCTACACGACCTGCTGGTACGCCATCGTCCTGCTGTGCAAGCTGGGCTTGTCCTTTGGCATCTACAGCCAGCTGCCGACGGATCTTGGCACGCGTAGCGTGCACGAGGTGGTGCTCGCCACGGTCCACAAGATCGAAGGGTTCTCGCTCGGCGATGATCTGTGGGCGGGCTGCAAGAAGGCCATCGCCAAGCTCCTCAGCTGGCTGGAGAAGACCAGCAACGAGACCCCGCGGCCCATGCTGCCCACTCCGGCCGTCGCCACGTCCGAACCACCCAGCCTCATGGCGCTGCCGCCCCCGATGCACTGCCCCCCTGGACCGATGATGCCGCTCTCGCAACAGTACCACGCCCCAGAGCAATGGCAGTCGCCTCCGATCCCTGGCGGCCTGCCCACGGGGTTCGAGACGGATATGATGATGGGCATGGAGAGTAACATGATCGTGCAGCACATGATCGACGAACTCAGCCTGTTCGGGTGGGCTGGACAGGGTCCCTATCTGCCAAGCATGGGGGTTTGAAAATTGGGTCTCAACGACAGTAGTGCTGACCTTTCTACTGGAGAGTTCCTCTGCCGCTAGACCATCGGCCGTTTTTGTCTTTTGATGATCGCCACGCATTGTGTACCTGATTTAAAGCGTTTCCGCTCTGTGTCTCAACCAGCGTACTAGATTGGGTTTATGATCAGGGCGTTGCGGTTTTTCTTTCTGACAAGCGAGTTTGGATTGTTTATAACATTCAGGAGCGGAGATATTCTTCTTCACAAGCATACCAATATGCACGAGTGGATTTGTGTCTGTCTGTTTCATCGTGTCTATATGATATTCGTTCGAGTCACCACCTGTTGTATGGTTGTGATATGCTCTAATGGTCTAACCCTTAATGACAGACTTAAGGAGAATTAAGCCACAAATGCGCGTTATCATCCAGGTCCAATGCCGTCGCTCACAACAGAGGCCCTTTATATTGATATCTGCTCAAGCGCAGGGCATAAAGGGCGTGGAGCTGCGGTCGGATTCACCAACCATTGCCTAGAGCTGGGATCGCCAGGGTCGCATTTTCCCTGCAGCACGGACAGTATACCACGGCTTACCCCACTCCCGATGTTCCTTACCCATGCAAAGAATGCATATGACCCTGTGGTGACAAACGACCTCAAAAGAGGCCGAAAGTGACGTCACGGCAGCTCAGGCTAGAAGCCCGCAACCTGCGACCGTGATAAATGGCTGGTACCCAGCCTTTCTCTGCCCCGATTCAAAACAAAGCCCGAGGCCGACCGAGCGTAGACCAAGCCTTTGCTCGCACCTCAACAGTACGTACCAGCACACACCACCGCCACCCACTCAGAAAATGACCTTCTCAAACGCATCCCCCAGGCCCCTAGCATGAAGCCACTGCTCGAGCGCCTGCATATCCCCTCGATTCGCCCGCTGCCCACTGCGCTCCCCCAACGAGTCCGTGATCTCCTCCATGCCCGCAAACACGCGCCGCACCGCCTCGCCGGTCTCGCGGAACCGCTCGCTGACCTTCTTCTGGTGGCTGGGGATATCGCCCCACGAGTGCGTCTTGATGAACTTCATGTACGCATCAATATCAACCGACGCGCCCTCGAGACACAACACCCCCGGTTTGCCGGCCAGCACGAACCCCGTCAGCGCGTACTCGGGCGCATGGTTCACGAGGTCGTCGCGCTTCGCGCGCGTCGACAGCGACGGGAAGTAGAACCAGACGCGCACTAGCGGGCCGCGGGCTGTGGCCGCGATGGACTCGGACTTGGTCGAGCAGGAGGCGTCTTGCTGGGCTCCGGCCTCGGCTAGGAGCCGCACGGCCGCTTCTTGGATGTAGGTCAGTGCCTCGAATACGTCTGCGTCTGCGGGCATGGATGCCGCCAGCTTGGCGACCTCGGCTTTGGACAGCCAGTCTGGGCGCAGCGAGTAGGTTGGCGGTGGGGGTTGGTGGTCCACTTTTGGGTCGGCCTGGGCGGCGCAGTGCAGCGGGATCGTCAGGTTGACTTGGAAGCGCTTGTCGCTGTCTGCTATGGGCAGCGAGACGTAGAGTGAGATGCTGGATGGGATGCCGGAGGGTGGTGGTGCGTTGGTGGGGTTGGGGTCCTCGCACCAGGCGCGCAGCTTCTCGAGGCATTCTGCTGAGGCTGGGGGGATCTCGAGCTCCTCGGGCGAGGCGTACATCGCTGTGAGGAGGTCGATGGTCGAAAGTTGCATCTCCATGAGGTCGATGGGGAGCACGGTGGTGGGCTGTGTGGCCATGTTTGCTCTGTGTTTGGCTGTAGCACTTATGTCGAGACAATGATGAGGTGGGTTGGCCAATAGAAGGGGTTATAGATTGCCAGCGTCGTGGATATTAGATCGGAACTGCAATTGGCTGGATACCTAGGTATGGCTGATTGGTTTATGGTTCGAAAATGCATGATGCATGCAGCAGCAGCAGCAACAAGCGGGGTTGGAGCCATTCTGTTCCTCCGACAGCGGAGTCGCGGAAGATGGATCTTCCGTTATCTCTGGCTTCGGGGCTCCGCAATTCGGAGGGGCAGGGGTCTTCCAGTTGCCAAGCATCGCCTCCAATTGGGGGAGTGTTTCGTTTGTCTGTCCCTTTCTTTGCTGTGGAAATCAACTCTCCTCCCAGGTTGAAGCTAGTTTCTCCGCTGGTTATTGAAAAAAGCTCATGTGCCCAGCTACCTACGTAGCAGTCTGAGCGTTCATTCACCGCGCACAGGCGCACAAAGAGCCAATCACCGTCACTTGCATCTCGGGGGTTACGAATGCGCATTATGAGTACCGCCGGAGCACCGCAACGAGGAAGCTAGCCCTCAATTCATGGTATGGAGCTCAGATCCACCCTCCGTCCCTGTTGCGGCTTGCAGAAACTCAAGCTCGGAGGTAATAGCTCCAAAGGGTTTAGACGGGGGCCTTCCCCGCAAGTTAAGGCCGAGATGAACCAGGCTGGATATGCAGATCACTCGAATGAAGTGGACTGGCCGCACAATTCTGCCCGTCTACCTTGTTCCAGTAGCCCTATCAAGGTAGAGAGTTGACAAAGCCACGTGCGCTAAGGGTGAGGGGTATCAAGCTCTTGAGGCCTGGGTTGCAGACCGTTCCTGTCGATCGTCGAAATTAGGGAGGAGGATTCGTCAGCTCTGCGTCTCCATGAACAGGGGAGAAAACATGTACTTGAGTAGGTTGGTGCCGGGGTATAAATTGGCCCTTCTGTTCCTGTTGATCCTCTATCAGCAGCAGCAGCTCGTCTCAAGCCTCCTCTTCTCTTGTCTCTACAAGCCACAATCCCTTCTTCACATAACCCCAAATCAAGTAAAACACAATGCGTTCTCTCCCATCCACCTCCGTGACCCTCCTCACCACCCTCCTCTCCCTGGGTGCAACGACAACCGCCACCCCTAGCCCTAACTGCGCCAACAGCACCAACCCCTACACCCTCTACCCGGTGACCACCAACATCACGATCCCCGAGATCGCCGCGCGCACCAACCGCAGCCTCTGCGACATCGCGCGCCACAACCTCATGGCCGACCCCCTCATCCCGCCCAACATCGGCCAAACTATCGTCATCCCACCCCTGAGCTGCGCCTCCTCCCCACCGGACAACGAATCCTGCCTGATCCCCAACATCACGCGCACGGCGCTGTGCATCAACGGCGGGCCGCGCCTCTACTACACCGTCCACGGCGACACCTACGACATCATCGCGCGGCGGCTGAACATCTCCACCGCCGCATTGATGGGCAACACTTCCACCTCCATCGCCGCGACCTCGTCGGCCGATGCCCTGCTGGAGGTCGGGCAGTTCATCAAGGTGCCCCTGTGCGAGCCCAGCCAGTGCAGCATCAAGCCGTTTACGCTGGAATACGGCGTGTACAAGGACCTGGCGGATGAGTATGGCACGACCGTGGGCCAAATTATGATGCTGAGCCCGACGTATAATTACAGTACGTCGTTGGTGACCGGGAACACGCGGCCGACGCTGGATTTGCCGTTCAACTGTTCGGTTACCGGAGATGATGTGGTGGTTGTGGATTAAGGGGTTGCTTGGAAGACTAGCCGTTTAGGCCAGTAATCTAAGGGAGGATTGGTGTCTGGAACAACTATATTCTAGTGTATATAAGGGTCGTAAAACATTACTGAAATTTAGTGGGACTCGATCGTGTATGTTGTTTTCTTTAAGGATGCGAACGTGTGCTCTAATAGGGCATTTATCCCTGCCGACAATCATCTCGAGATCCAGAAAGTCATGTAACTTCGCTGACAGAGAGTATTGTATTGACTACGAGCTAAGAAGATAGGATAGTCCAATTGAGTGGGTTGTAAAACCACCATTGGCAGCTGGAGACAGCGGGAGGAGCTCCATGGGAGGAGCTCTTGCTATCTGCCGGTGGTTTCTTGGCATTGAATACAGCAGCAAGACACAACAATCAAAACCTTCACAGGTAAAGCATACACCAGGTCGATGATATAATCCCATTCCATCTCTCAGAAGATCTCCGCACCTTCAAAATTTCTTCACCATAACTTATTCTCACCCCCATAGTAAAATGTCCCTCAACGAAATCACAGGCAAACTCGCCCTCATCACCGGCGCATCAGGAGGGTAAGCCCCCAAACGCAAACACAAACCCCCAATCCAATCCCAAACCCAACCATCTTACCCCAAAAAAGTATCGGAAGCGCCTGCGCCCGTCGTCTCGCCCAGAATGGGGTCCACCTCGCCCTGACCTTCTCCACCAACCGAGCCGCCATCGACCAGCTCGTCGCCGACCTCCATTCCACCTCAACTGCAACTCCCCTGTGCATCTCCACCCACCAAGTCGACGTGAGCAGTCCCGAGCAGCTCGACCACCTCTTCACGGAGATTGAGGAGCGTCACAGCCAGCGCCCGGACATCCTGATTTCGAACGCCGGGTACGGCCACCGCATCCCCAACGTGTGGGACATCCCGCTGGACGAGTTCGACCGCATGTTGACCGTCAACCTGCGGGCGTCTTTTGTGCTAGTCAAGGGGGTGGTCGAGCATATGAAGGCTCAGCGGTGGGGACGGATCGTGTTCATGTCGTCGATTGCGGCAAGAGGTGGGGGGATTAATGGGTGTCGTATGTCTTTCGCCTCTATCTAGAATGCTGAGTCTGCGTACTATATTGTTGTGTTTGAGTGAATGCTGATGAAGAGGGGGTAGATTACGCCGCTTCAAAAGGTGGTCTGACGGGGATGATGATGAACCTGGCGACCCGGTTGGCGGAGTACAATATCAGCGTGAATGATGTGGCGCCGGCGATGATCGGGGAGACGGGGATGGTGGCGAGCGCGGAGGCGATCCCCCGCGAGGTGGTCGAGGGGATCCCGGTGGGGAGGCTGGGAAAGCCGGAGGAGGTGGCTAATGTGGTCATGTTGTTGGTGACGACGGGGTATATGACGGGGCAGAGTTTGTTGCTGGCGGGGGGGTTGAAGTGATTCTTTGTTTGCGAAGATTGAGGTTGGTGGTTGTGTTGATGATCATCGAAGTTGATATGAATAATGTATCAGAGAGTTATTCATTCTAATGCCTGTGTTTATCGAGTCAAGGCTGTGAGTTAGGGTTAGAGTCTATGGAAGATTGCCCCCATGTCCAGCTGAATTATATCCCGGCATAATAATTCGAAATCTGCTGGAACTTGGGTAGTTTTTAAACAAACAGCTCTGTTCCGAATATCCGACTTTTGTCAACTCGCTTTATACCTAGGTAAAGTAGTCCAAAACTTTGGCATATGGGTCTCCCATCATTGTAAATGTGGGTAAGTTGTGAACTAGCTTGTCATGGAAAGACACTTCCGCACCATAAAGAAACAGTACTCTGACATGCTACTACCTTCGGGACCAAGGCGACATGGTGAGATACCCCAGCTTCGTTGGTACGGACAGATTTTATTTGAAACATTTTTCATAAATCTAAGACGCAAGTAACATTCTGGAAGCGTACAAGAAAGAGCCACAACAAGCCATTTATTCCACCGTAACAATCCCCCTCTCCCACTTCCTACCCAACAACACCCTTTTGTCCCACCTTTCACACCGGCAAAACCACCTTGACCCCCATATACTCGCGCTGATGCATAATCTTCCCCTCGATCAACACCTGATCCGCGCCCACCGAGTTCCGCACCGAGTCCGTGGGATCCGTACACGTGGCGATCTGAATTTCGCGCCACTCGCGATTTGTAGGGACCAGTTTCCCCTGCGCCGTGAGGTTTCGGAATTCTTTATAGACGCCTTGCTCTTCGATGCAGCCCTCTCTCTGAATCAGAGGTGATTCTGCACAAACCATTAGCTTCATCCTCACTTTACCCCCCCTTGTCCAGACCGAATGAAAAAGAACTCACCCAAAGCAGGCCCCATCCTCAAATCCCCCACCGAACTATTAAACAGCACCAACGACAACCGCTCCTCCTCCAGCTGATCCGCGGGCGGAGTGAACACGCGATGCCGCGTCGCCTTGAAGTGCCCGCCCGAGACGATCTCCAAGGTATCCCCGATGTTCACCACCAGGGCACCCGGCCGGTACGGCACGTAGTACCACTGCTCGTCGCGGCCCCAGATCTGCAGACACGAGATGGGCACGCTGAAGAGGAGGGTGGTCAGTCCGAAGTCCGTGTGGCCGTGCATCTTGATCCCCTTGGAGGCGTCGCGGGTCTCCTTCTGCACGGGCCGGAACAGCGCGTGCCGGAAGTACCCTTCGCCCGTGGGGCTGCCGTGCGACTGCACCTTCTCCCAGAGGTAGTCGTCCGGGAGCTCGAGGACGCGCGAGAAGAGGGTGAGGAGGCGGCGGTTGACGGATTGTGTGAGGTAGGTGCAGAAGGCTTCGATCTCGTCCATGAAGGGCTGCAGGCATTGCGGGACGCGGGTCGAGGGCGAGGCCCATTCGGGCGTGTACCAGTTGAATTGCTCGATGCCGTCGGCGGGGCCGCGGTGGCGCTGTGCATGGTGGTCAGCTTTGAGGTTTTCGACCTTTCTCTCTCTTCTCCTGGTGGAGAAGAGTCGGGGTGGTGGGGACCTACTTTGAAGCCGTAAGGGTGCTTGTAGCCGGACCAGACGCCGGTCTCGGGGTGGAAGAGCAGGCGTTGCTTGTCCTCTTCGCTGATATTGTTGTAGAGATATTGTGCTAGGCCGAATTGGCGGTGGAGCTGCGGAAATTATCATCTTGTCAGCGTCGTTTCGATTAAGGGCTGGGCTGTCCCCGGGTAATGCCTTACCTGCTCCAAAGAGACGCCGTAGTTCTCGAGGAACAAGAAGCCATCGTCACGGATGGCCACTTTCACCTGCTGAATCAGATCGTTGACAACAGCGGGGTCTTCCGAGTCAAGCAGGGACAGGTCAATGGATTTCAGCTCGGCGAAGTTGTGCTTCTCCTTGGTGACGGGGGGAGGAGTCCAGCTGGGCACGAAGGGTTTGCCTGCAAGTGTAGGCGAAGGAGGGTTGAAGGGGGCGCTTGGGGACATTTTGATCTTGAGTTGTATTTTCTGAGGTCTCTCTTACTGTACTGATTGAAGGAAAGTTGACTCGATTGCGATGGGTTCATTTATATGCGCGATGTTGGACGCCGGGATACTGTATACGATGTGCTCCGTGGTCATACGAGATTCCATTCCTCTGCCTACCATTGTTTCTCACCATCAGAGAAAACGATAACTGCTCCTCAGTAAACTCACCATTCTCTCGTCCTTGAGCTCCTCTATCAGACCGCAGAGCTCCCGCCAAGACGCTGATAAGGAATATCACAATGGGCGCTCTCCACGGGTGGGAGGAGCTCCTCCCGCTTGGCACTCCGGGAGGAGCATCACCACTTCTACCGCCAATCTTCAATATTTAAATCCCCATAAACTCTACTTGATAATCCCCATGCTCTAACCAACCAGATCAAGTTTCACAACGCCACATTCCTCCCTGTCTTCTACAACCACAACCACAACCACCAATCCCCCGGAATCTATCCCATCCCAACCAAAATGTCCCGCCAACTCATCTCCAGCGAGAAGTTCCCTCCCAAGCCTCACAACTGTGCGTCCCAACCTTCTCCCCCTAACCATGCCCATACCTACCGAAAACTAATCCCCCCGCAGGCCCAGCCGTAAAAGTCCCCGGCCTCGTCTTCTGCGCCGGCCAAACCGCCACCGGCGAGATCAAGCAAGCCACAGTCAGTATCCACCCGTCTTCCCCGACCCACAGGATAATCTGTCTAACACGGAAGGCAAAAACAGCGAACCGTCCTCCAAAACCTCAAAGAAGTCCTCGAGCTTGCCGGCTCCTCACTGGAGCAGGTCGTGAAGTACAACGTCTACCTGGCGGACATGAAGGACTTTGCGGCGATGAACGAGGCGTACATTGAGTTCCTGCCGAAGCCGATGCCCTCAAGGTCGTGTCTGCAGGCGGTCGCGCCGGGACAGGGGACCGTGATTGAGATTGAGTGTATTGCGCAGGTTTGAGCTTTTTCTGGATAGACCAATAGATTTGTTTTACGTTGTGCAATTGTTCTAGGGGCTGACAGCGTAGAGTGGGATTTGGAGTAGCTTTGTGAGGGTTATTTTGTGGGTATTGGCAGGATGGTTTGCTTTCCCTCCCCAAAGAAGGGGAATTTAGTTTTACATTGAGTTAAGACTTTGCAGATGGGGCAGAGAGCGAGAGGGGGAGAGAGAGGCTGTGTGTGGATGTGATATACTGTACTTATCACAAAACCGATCATCTAGGAGCGGTAGGGCCACGAGGTCATCGCTGCAAAGCGTTCAATTGTACATGCTCCGCGAACATACAGCCCTCACACCCCGCACATTTCCCAACCCTACCCAACAGCGAAGACCTACAGCACAGCTAAATCAATACATCTCATACCGCCACCCCAACCGCACCATCTCCTCCGTGACGCCCCCCTTCATTGCCTTGCGCACCTCTTCGTCCACCTCGGAATCCAGCCGCCGATTCTCGCGCAGCACCAACCACCGGTACGCCGTCATCGTGGCGGCCAGTAGCACCGCCGCCCCCATCAGCGTGCCAAACGCAGCATAGAAATGCGGTGACGAGTAATACAGATACGAGGCCCAGATATTCGAGGTCCCGCCGATGGCGTTCACCAGCGCCGACGCCGCCGCGCGCTTGGCCACCGGCCGCGCCAGGTGCAGGTTGATGGTCTTGTAGAGGAGGAGCTGGGGGCCGACGGAGGCGAACGGCAGGATCATCATGGCGAAGTAGCGGGCGCCGGTGTTCAGCGTCGCCAGCAGGATCACGTACATCGCGATCGCAATACCAATGCACCCCAGGATCAGCGGGTAGACGGTGTTCCGCCGGTCGGAGTAGAACATGATCCCGTAGTAGACGGCGCCCGCCAGGATGTACGGCGGCGCCGTCAGGAGCAGGCTGACCGTCTCGGAGAAATTGAGGGAAGAGACGAGGGTCGGGAAGTAGTTGGCGATGGAGCCTTGGGTTTGGGAGAGCATGTTGGCGAGGATGAGGAGGATGAGCTTGGGGTCGGATAGCGCGTGCAGGAAGCCTTCGAGTGGGTTCTCTTTTTCGGTGTCCGCGTTGCCCTCGGCCGCGCCGGCTTCGGACTCGATGCGCCACACGGCCAGATCGCGCTGCAACGGTGAGAGGAGCCGGCTGTTGTGCGGGAATTCCGGCATGATCAGCCCGCACAGTAGCCCGATGCCCACGGTCGCGCTGCCCTCGATGATGAAGAGCCACTGCCATCCGGCGATGTTGTGGACCCCGTCCAGCTGCAGGATGGCGGCTGCGAAGAGGCCCCCGAACGCGTTGCCGACCTGCTGCGCGATGTAGAGCCCCGCGATGCGCTTACCCAGTTCGATCTTGGTGTACCAGGCTGACAGGTAGTAGATGGCCCCCGGGAAGAAGACGGCCTCGGCGATGCCCAGGATCGCCCGCACCGCGAGGAGTTGTCCGTAGTTCTTGACTGCCGCCGTGGCGGCGGAGATGCACCCCCAGATGGCCACGGCCACGCAGATGTACAGCCCCGGTCGTGAGATGCGCGTGATCAGGATGTTGCTGGGCACCTGGAAGGGGAGGTACCCGACGAACAGGATGGAGACGGCGGTGGCGAACTGCTCCGAGCTCATGTGCAGGTCGTCGGTGATGCCTTGCAGCTTGGCCGAGGCCAGGTTCTGCCGGTCGATGTAGTTGAGGATGTAGAGGATGCCGATGGTGGGTAGCACCAAGAGGTCGACCTTGCGGACGAGTCGGCGCTGCAGGTCGCGCAGCTCCTCCTCGCTGAGGTTGCGGAGGGACTCGGGCATGCGCTCATCGTACTGCGAGACTTGACCCTCATGGCAGGAGGCTTTGTCTGTGATGGACGGTGGGGGTTTGTTGACATCCATGTCGGGGATTGAAGCTGCGGCAGGGGGTTTGTGTGTGTCTGCTGGGGAGGGAGGGGCTGCCATTGTTCTGGTGTTTGTCTTGTGCATGGATGCAGTTATATGTCAGTCGGTCAATGCATAGCCATTGAGAGGATTCATGATAGCAATCACACCCAATTGACCGTATCAGTGACTTGTGAGTTGTGTAGTGGAGATAGCAGATAAGAGGGAGGAGGGGAGGAGGAGCGGAGGAGAAAGAAGACGAGTGCTCCTCCTCCTCCTTCTCCCCCGCCTTATCTGTCATGCCCTAAAATGCGGAGCTCCTCCCACCGATAAGCGCAGCTGCTGCATTACCCGGAGATCCACCCCGAACACTGCCCATCTGAACCCACTTCCGTCCTTGGATATTTAAACGCAGCCTTGATTGACCATAAAATTTCTCATTTTCACTCACACTCACCCTCAAACTCAAATATCAATCGATCAATACTCTCCTCAACCAATCACCCCTCTATTTTCCCCAATCCCCCCAGACCCATCACAACAACCACCAAAATGACCCAAAAGACCCCCCCAACAGCCCAAACCACCACGATCCAAAACCCTCGTCTCCGCCTGCTCAACAAACTACGCACCTCCGACTACCCCGTAATGACCTTCATGGCGCTCCCCTCCGTCCGCATGGCCCAAGTCGTCGCTCTCACCGGCGTCGACGGGATCATCATCGACTGCGAACACGGCCACATCTCCGACGACGCGATGCACAACAGCGTCGCCGCCATCTCCGCGCTGGGGGTATCCCCGATCATCCGGGTACGGGGTCCCGCGCACGACATCCTCAAGCGGGCGCTGGACACCGGCACGCACGGCATCATGGTCCCGCAGATCAACACCGCCGAGGAGGCGCGGCAGGTCGTCGCCTCCTCGAAATTCCCCCCCTACGGGGTGCGGGGCCAGGGGTCGGCGTTCCCGGCCATCGGGCACGGGCTGACGACCCCCGAGTATATGGTGTCGGCCAATGAGACGATCATCACGATGGTGCAGATCGAGACGAAGGAGGGGGTGGAGAATGTCGAGGAGATTTGTGCGGTGCCCGGGGTGGATTTGGTGTTTATTGGGCCGAACGATCTCGCGCAGGCGCTGTTGGGGTATGTTCCTGCGCGCGGGGATGAGCCGGTGTACTTGGAGGCCATTAACAAAATTGTGGAGGCGGGGAGGAAGTATGGGAAGTGGGTGGGCAGGATGGTCAATAATGGGGCGTTGGCCAAGGAGGCGAGGGGCATGTATGATACTGTGGCTATGACGGGAGATACTAAGGCGGTGCAGAATTGGTATATTGCTGAGTTGGAGGTTGCGAGGTCTTAGATTTGGGGATGGATTGGGAAGTTTAAGGGGTGGTAGAGGGGGGTGATGGAGGGATAAAAGGTTGTACATATTCAATTCATTTCAGGTTTGGTTTAGAAGGATCTTGTGTTCTGCTTAAGCGAAAGTGACAGCAGTAGGTTTGAAGGCAGTAAGGTAGTTTCAAGTACACCCCCTCCTCAGCTCGTCCAGACATCTTCCGATCAACCGCCCTATCTGCCACCTCTCCCGCCGCCCAAACACCGTCCTGGCCCAGCGCAGCGCCCCCTCCCCGTCGCCATCCGCCACCCCAACCACCCCCATCGCCCCCGGCACCCCCCACCGCACCAGCTGCCACGCCACCAAGAACGCCTGGTACGCGTACAGCAGCACCCACGGCGCCTCCGCCTGCAGGGCCGCGCACCGGTCCAAATACCCCAGGAACCAGTCCACGTGCGGCTGCACTGCCTGCACCACCGTGTCCACCTCGCACAGCACCTCGCACGAGGTCGGCGCCAGCCGCGTCGACTGCTGCAGCCACGTGTCGATGCTCGCCCCGACGATGCCCCCCGTGTGCAACGGGGACCACATCTGCAGCTCGAGCATGGCCGTCTCCCACGTCGCGGCACAGGTGATGGTGCGGACACTGGACGCTCTGGGCATGCCTTCTGCAGTAGAAACGAGATCCTCCTCCGGACGGAGGTACGGACCCAGCGCCGTGAGCGACGAGCGCAGCGCCCCGAACCGCTCCATGCTCAACATCCCCGTCATCGTGGACCAGCCGGAGATCTCGCGGGCACTGGAGATGAGGAACTGCGCGATGTTGATGGCACCGTAGGGGTCGAAGGGGGCGATGGGTTGGACGTCGGCGGTGGAGGAGAGGAAATGTCGGATTGCATCGGCATACTGCAGCGTGGGGGTTTCGACGGTGGTGGTGGAGCGAGAGGTGAGTTGGAGATGGGCCCATTCGGCGCTCGTCGAGGCGGACCACTGGTTCTCGGGGCAGGGGAGGTCGTGCTTGATTTCCAGGTGGGAGATGCAGCGTGGGATGGAAAGGAGTTGGTAATACAGGGCGTCGATCTGGTGGACGGCGAAGATGGTCCGCTTGTGCGATTCGGCGTGGATGAAGGCGCGCCAGAGGGAGTCGAGGTCGGAGGTTGAGGCTAAAGAGGAGGTCGGGGTTGGTTGCATGAGGCCCGCGGATCGGGCGAGGGAGATCATTGCCGTGTGCATCTTGAGGCCCTGGGTCGAGCTCTCGCCGCAGAGATACATCATGGCGCAGACCTGAAGGAGGAGGTAGGATTGGATGGTTATCAGGTACGAGGAGGTGGCCTCGGTGGTGTCGTCGGCGTCGTCTTCATGGCTGGGAATGAGAGCACGAGCGCGATGGAAGCATTGCACAGACAGGGTGGCGCCAGACCCGGATTCGTCTTCTCGTTCCGGATCGTCACCATATTGGTACGCAAGACTGAGAATACTCAGGATCAGATGTGCGGATACCTGCGTAGTATCGAAGGTTGCTTGGTGTAGAAATGGGAGAAAGCAGGAGACATGGTCGAAGAAGAGATCGCGTCCCCGACGGATCTGCCGGTCGGACGGAAACCAGTCGTCTTGTACGACTAGCGAGGCATGGGATGGAGATCTTGCTGGAGAGTCTGAGACACCGGGTGACTTATTGCTGGAGATGGGTGAATCTGCATGCGCAAAAGAGGGTGGTTCTGGTATTAGATTCCAGTCGAGTTCGAAGACTTCCTCCATCGCGGCGTGACTCGGACTCCTCCGGAGGGATCGTGCCGAGGGCCGACGTCGGCTCGCTCTGCCCGTCTCGTATTCGTCGCCAGACAGCTGGAGGCGAAGCACAGAGCATGACCGGTCACCTTCCATTCTCGAGTCTCTTCTCTTGACCGTCCGTCTCTCGTGGTGCTCGGGGTGCTTCCGCTTCATATGCCGATGGCGTAGGTCCGGACGCGAGAAGGTCGCGCTGCAATGGCCACAGGCCAAGGAGACTTCGTCCGAGGAGCGCGAGTGCAGGGCAGCATGGCGCTTGAGGTTTTCGTGTCTAGTGAAGCGGCTCTGGCAGATGGAACATTGGAAGGGCTGGTAGGGTGGGACCGGTCTAGTAGAGTGTGCGACCGACATAATGTATTGCATTCGATGCTGAGCAGGTGCAGCTCTCCTGAGTGAGGAGGCTGGTGATGCTAACAAGGAAGAAATACGCGGGGAGCGAGAGCATTTAACGCTTGTCCTGGCGTACTTTACCCCACCCCCGCAAAGCAGATCGCTGCTTGGCGTCAGATCGGCTATTCGGCAATTGGGCTGGGCGAATCACCGCGACGCTGGCCTGACAGAACTGTGAGTCCCTGAATATGCTTGATTCTTTGCTGGAAGCAACGTAAACAGATACATAAGAGAAAACATCGACTGCAGTCACGAAAAGCAGATGGAAATATGGATGCTGGGCTTATCTGATAGCTCAATGAACCCAGTCTGATTGGACGATGGAATCCGCTGTCGGCCTGGCTATCTTATCTCTGATCGGCCGCTAATTGGCCAGCGACTCCTTTATCGGCCGCCGTCAACATTCCCCCACGTCCAGGGCAAGACCAGGGAGGTTCTGTTATTTTACCTCGTGCTGGGGAATTCGCCAAGGATCATCGGCTAGGCAAGGGGCACACCAAAGGGGTCCTTCAGATGTGAAAGAGAAGATGATGACGCGGACAGAACTAGGGTGCTGAATGCCCCGTAAACAAGCTGCTACTTGTGTTGCATCCCACTGACAGCCGAAAATCTACATGACCATTTCACAACAGTATGGAGGCCTTGACTGTCCACAGTGCAAGTCAGTCTTTGAGTCTCATATCTCGTGATATTTGTAAGCGTCCTATTCACATTCCTCCACTGCAAGGGCTCAGCCAAGCACTCCACTTGTATATATCCCCTACAGGTGGCACTGTCCGTGCACGTTCCGCGAGACCGATGTTCCGTTCAGAGTCAACTGGGAGAAATGGTTAGAGTCGAGTGATATCATCAGTCAAACCAGTACAGAGACTTAGACTTACAGTCCAGTGAGCGTGCTTCTTGCAGTAGACCGGCTTCAACCCGTCCGTACAATTCTCGCGCTCGTAGCTCCAGTCCGTGGGAAAGGCGGGGATGCCTAGTCGGTTTGTAAGTGACCTATTCCAATCTCATCCCTTGCCACAATGGGGGCTCGTACATTCTCCCGCAACCCGATCACCCAGGTCCCAAGCGCCACCGCCCGCTCCGACAAAAGCACTGGTTACTTGCTGGATGACGTCGTCACCTGCTTCCTCGATTTTGTCGGTATTGCTGCAGCAGAGAGGGATGCCGTCACTGTAGTCGAGGACAGACTCGGCCGTAGCCACGGCGGCGAGGAGAAGAAAGGCAGGAAGTGTGAATTTCATCTTGGTGGCCTCGTATGACTCGCTGGGAAAGGAGGTGAATCAGGACGCATTCTGAAGACGGGACCTGAGAGCGTTTTTATGTTCGCTGTTGTGCCAGGAGATTTACCCTTGCCGGACGAGGAGCAGGAAACGAGGAAGGAAGAAGCTTAGAGCTAGGCAGACGCCGTCCCTGGCATGTGGAGCTGAGACGCAGCCATTCGAAAACCCGGTGTCAGTGAGCTCCTTGCGCCCGGTGATTCATGGTTGTCTATTTTTCTCATCAAGGGATAGAGTGAGATGGCACCAGCAGTAACTTTGTTGACCGGCTCAGAAACTGTGCACTCGAGGATGTGTTCATTGTTCCGACTCGATCTATATGCTGCCGGTAGATCGAGCCCATGATGGGTCTTTACGGTCGGGATTCGTTTTGTTTGGAAAAACACCGAGTTACAACTCGAGCCTTATTGTTGCCTGGAAAGTATTCGGTGATTGTCGTATGGAACAGCACCGAAGGCGAATCATGCAGCGTCCATGGCCCGTTGAGCGACCGCGCAGCAGTCAGTACAAGCCTTGGATAAGCGCCGGATTGCTTCCTGGGTGGAATCTCGAGCAGTTTGCGATAGATACGACTCGGCTTGGTGGAGCATTTTCAGGTTATATATCTCCGAGGCGGGCCGCGGGTTGCGAATAATGCTCGAAGCGAGCGTTTTCATCGCGACAGAAGGGTAGTGATAAGCGATACTGATGGTAAGTCAGAACCTGTGGGATCTTGAGAGAAGCAGCTTGGTCTCACCCGAGATTTATATCATCACGTGGTAGGTATTTCAACAAGGCGAGGGATGCTCTTGCAGCCTTAGACATGAGTGACGTAGAAAGCAAAACCCGAGGGTTGTCGGAAAATCCGGGTGAGGCGGAAAGGCTGAGGCCGCCAAGAAGATCCTGCGCGGTGTTTACTTCTCTCATGGCCACTAATGAGTGGATGGCAATCATGCAGTCGTAATAGGCATAATGAATAAACAGAACAGTCGGAAACACGGGCATTTTTCGGAATGGTGGGGATGCTCCGCACCCAGGCTGCAATTCGCGGGGAAGTTTTCGCAACCACGCCTGCAGCTTTTGGTCGAAACCACCCGTCAGAGCAAGTAACTGGTCGAAAGGTTTGTTGACCGCGGAGGCTAGATACAGCTGTCGAACAATCTGGCTCCTGATTTGCACAAGCTCGGCGGTGGGGTGGAAGAGATTGAAGGTATCCGAGTCATTCCTTATTGGCACGCTGTAGGCGTTTGAGGGAGAACTGATGTGCAACGCCGCTCCAACAATGTCTTCTTTCTGTGCTGGGGGGACCCCGAATCGATAAGATATCCTGTAACAGTTAAAAGGGCCACCAAGAGTAGAGGGCTTGTCGCACATACTCATTATCTATTGCACAAACCATCCAGAAGAGCAAATGTCGATTCTGCCTCTCTTCCACAGAACATGCGAGCAGGGCTTCTGAGTTGCCCAAATCCAATTGGTTACAGATTTGCACAGCAATAGCGATAAGCGAACTGCAAGGGTGAGCAGCAGACAACGACAAGAACAGAACAGCCATCACTAAGGTAGATTTGCATGCCCAGAGATCAGGGGGTGCTAGTAGAATCTCATTTATGGCCTGCAAGGCGCCCTTCATGAAGAGCGCGCTAGTCTGATGATCAGGCCGACCTGTTGTGGATGGAAGCATGTAAGCGACAGCCAAGATGACATGAAGGCTGGCCCACTGGCCTGGGCCGTGCACCTGCGGGTCTGTGTAGTTGCCAGAAAACAGAGTGTCAACGTCTGCCTGAGTGAATACCGGCAAGGTAAGGTTGAAGTACTCCATGTAGTCATGTAGGAGTTGCTTTAAAACCTCTGCCCGTGGGAACGGGCAAAATAGCTTTCTGGGTGGCAACAAGGAGCTTAATTGAGGTTCGGAAGCCACACTCCCTAGAAGATAATCAAGATGACTCGAATCCGTTCTTTGTGATATCCAGTCTAACCCTTCATTGGTTAAGACCGAGAAACCTGCGCCAAAGTCAGACGAAGGATGCATCTCAGGCTGCGGTCCGACTTACACCCCGCACCTGTGTTGCTTATACACCTTGGGATGTAAAAGCATGGGGGTTTCTCTTGATGAAGACCCAGTCCGTTTTCAACGCGCACGGGACGAACAACACTCTCTGAGGGTATGCTTGCAGAGACTGGTTCCTGTTGATCCAAAAAGACTTCAATATCTAAATCATCCAGAGGATCGAACTCGACTCGGTTGGTTGCCGAAACAGGTGGATCGGTGCCATCAGGAGGCGTGTCTGGCATAGAACTGATCTCTCCCGCACCGAAGATGCTGCTTAGATGGGTCTCCAGTCTCTCCAGCTTGCCTTCGAGGTGGTTGATCATTGCCTCTCTTCAAGCGACCGATCAGTGAACGGAATCCCTGGCGAATGATGCGTGGGGCTCACCCACCGTCGCAGGATAGTTCTGTATCTCTGCTCGTTTCTAGTGCAAGAGATGCCCATCTTCTCGCAGCGGGAGCATCTGGAGTTCATGGAGGAATCGCATTTGGTCTTGCTGCGGCGACATGCTTCACAGGCCTGGTTTCTCGTCTATCAGAAGATAATATAGCTAGCAATGAATCATTATCACGCATACCTTCCTCTTTTTGAGGATGTCATTATGCTCGTGGCGTGACTGCGAGAGAGGCGACCCTCGCGTGTTGGACATGGATGATGATGATGACGAAGAGGAGGAAGGCCGGTCATGGTGTGCGTTGAGCATGGTTATGGAGAAGGCAGCAGGAAGGACAGTCCTCGGAGGACTGATTTGACTTAGTACCTTATTGGGTTGCAGTACGTGGGTGGCTAGGCTCAATCAACTTGACTCCACCTCTATCAGCGTTGATACCCCTGATGGCTGGACACGATCGAAAGCTGTGTATCGTTCATACTGACAAATTTCACCTACCATGACCAAGTCTGCGCTAACAGGATAATACCCAATAGAAAGGAACAACTATCAATGAGCTAAGCCTCATCAGGGTCTTCGGAGGCCGGATGTTGGGCAGAATCGGCAGGGCGGTAAGTATTGGACATGTAACAATACAGCAGCTTCTCCGGACCGTTAGACTGCCGATCATCTTCTGCTTCTCCACTTGCCTCATCCCTCATCCCCTCATCCCCTCATCCCCTCATCTCGACTCTCATCCCAGCCCGGTCATTCTACCAGTTTCGCCTTCGGACAGCGCTATGGCCACAAATATCATGCTCTGCATCTTTTTCCGGATACAGAACTGCTCGCCAAAGGCCGCCCCAGTGATGGCTGGGTTATGGTGTTTGTCGTTAGTCTGACGTACAGTTCACAGTCTTCAGCATACCAAGAATTCAGCCCATTGATTGACTTTGATCATGGCTCCGTGGGTCCAGCTAGATCCATCCACGCTTCTTTCGGCTCCCGGACGTTCACTCAATTTTTGACTCGGGCTCAGGGACTGGTCTCCGCCCCCCTTACTCCGGGTCATACACGCTTTGGTTGGCCCGGATGCCGGACACTCACTGCTGACGCCTAGCTGGTACTTCTCATTTGCAACATGTGTCACGATTTGGATCATTTTGTCTTGCTTATACAATCTTGTTCGGGCCCCCGGGTGTTCGCCCTGCACGATGAGCAAATACAATCGGATTCTCAACGCTCCGCAAGCGGGTCGTTCTAGAATCCGCGCAGTCCATCAACTATATGTATATCTAGCACAACCTTCGCAGGCTCCTCACCTCTGCTCTGGATTGAGTGTCTTCCAAGCGCTGAATCGGTGTTTGTGATCCAAACGTTCTTTTCTGTCAATCTAGAAGCCTTAGAAGGACCCAGCGCCTTCCGTAGGCTGATCGGACGTCAAGGGCCTGCACCACACTGCAAGGCACCCTTTACTTTCTCTTCGCCTCTTTTATTGTTTTCAAGCTTACTCAATTCATGCTAAGGGTTTTGTGAACACAATTCCCTCTTAATATGTCGTTCGTCCCTACTACCAGCACCAACGCCGGGCGGGCGCAAGAGGTGATCAGCCACAACCTGCCGCAAAATGGCGGGGCAGCCTACCATGACGATCCAGCTTCGGGACCAAAGGAATTCGACCAGGAAGCCAGCGAAGATGATGCGACGCTTCAAGGACGGGAAGACAAGATGGAGGCTCGTGTGGGTGATCTCGCACGCCGGCTTACTCGACAGTCCACTCGCTACTCAACCAAAGCCGACCTTGAGAACCCCTTTGTCACCACTGACCCGGAATCGAAGCTGAATCCACACAGTCCCAATTTCCAAGTCAGAGATTGGATTAAGATGCTCCTCGCCATTCGCACGCGTGATCCTGAGCGCTACCCGGACAGGACTGCAGGCGTGGCTTTCAAGAACTTGAGCGTACACGGTTACGGCTCGCCCACTGACTACCAGAAAGACGTTCTCAATTCGCTTCTGGAATTTGGTACCCTTATTCGCAAGCTGATGGGTGCCAAGATGCAGAAGATTCATATTCTGCGCGAGTTTGATGGGCTTGTCAAGTCAGGAGAGATGCTCATCGTACTTGGCAGACCCGGCTCGGGGTGCACGACCTTCCTCAAGACGATCTCTGGGGAGATGAATGGTATCGAGATGTCGGAGGAATCTATGCTCAACTACCAGGGTAAGTTCTCTCCTCACAACATTCGTCCGGTGCCCTCATGTATGCTTACGGTGGGTGCTTCCTTTAGGTATCCCTGCGAAAGAGATGCACAACGCCTTCCGAGGCGAAGCCCTCTACAACGCGGAGACAGATGTTCACTTCCCGCAGCTGACTGTTGGTGACACGCTCCAATTTGCCGCATTGGCCAGGGCTCCCCGAAATCGCCTTGAAGGTGTCAGCCGCCAACAGTACGCTGAGCATATGAGGGACGTGGTTATGGCGATGCTTGGTCTTTCCCATACGATCAACACCCGTGTCGGGAACGATTTCGTGCGTGGAGTTAGCGGTGGTGAGAGAAAGCGCGTCAGTATCGCAGAGGCTATGTTGAGTCAAGCACCACTACAAGCATGGGATAACAGTACTAGAGGTCTTGATTCTGCGAATGCTCTCGAATTCTGTAAGAATCTGGCCTTGATGAGCAAGTATACTGGCACCACAGCGTGTGTTGCCATTTACCAAGCCTCTCAAAGCGCATACGACGTTTTCCAAAAGGTAACCGTGCTGTATGAAGGAAGGCAAATCTATTTCGGACCGACCTCAGAAGCCAAGCAATTCTTTGTTGACATGGGCTTTGAGTGCCCTGACCGGCAAACCACGGCTGATTTCCTCACATCCCTGACTTCGCCTTCAGAACGACAGGTCCGCCCGGGCTTCGAGAACCGTGTCCCTCGCACTCCGGATGAATTTGCGGCTGCCTGGAAACAAAGTAGCGCGAGAGCCAGACTCTTGAGAGAGATCGATGAGTTTGAAAGCCAATACCCACTCAAGGGCTCTTCATACGAAGCCTTCGTAGATGCGCGACGGGCGATGCAGGCAAAGCATCAACGCCTGAAATCATCCTATACCATTTCAGTCTGGGATCAAATCTCTCTCTGTACGACCCGGGGCTTCCAGAGACTCAAAGGGGACATGAGCTTGACTCTCTCTGGCTTGATTGGTAATTTCATCATTGCCTTGATCGTCGCATCGGTTTTCTTCAACCTTCCCGACAACACCTCGAGCTTTTACTCACGCGGAGCATTGTTATTCTATGCAGTCCTCCTCAATGCATTTTCCAGTGCCCTCGAAATCCTGACACTCTATGCGCAACGTCCAATTGTCGAGAAACAGGCACGATATGCATTTTACCACCCATTCGCGGAAGCAGTAGCTTCCATGCTGTGCGATACTCCTTACAAGCTACTGAACTCGATCACCTTCAATCTGCCTCTATATTTCATGACCAATCTACGTCGGGATGCAGGAGCCGTCTTCACGTTCTGGTTATTCTCTGTGGTGACCACCTACACCATGAGTATGGTTTTCAGAACGATCGCTGCGACCTCTCGTTCACTCTCGCAAGCCTTGGTACCCGCTGCCCTGCTTATTCTTGGCATGGTTATCTACACTGGATTCGTCATTCCCACTCGGAACATGCTCGGCTGGTCTCGCTGGATGAACTATATCAACCCAGTGGCCTATGCGTTCGAATCATTCCTCATCAACGAGTTTTCCGGTCGCACTTTCGAATGCTCGAGTATCGTTCCGTCTGGTTCACAATATGACTCAGTGTCCATGGATTATCGCATCTGTTCCACCGTCGGTGCCCAAGCTGGATCAACAGTCGTGGACGGATCACTGTACCTCAAGCAGAGTTACCAGTATACCACCGGGCATGAATGGCGCAATCTGGGAATCCTTATTGGGTTCATGGCTTTCTTCGCCTTTGTTTACCTGGTCAGCACCGAATACATCTCGGAGCAGAAGTCCAAGGGAGAGGTGCTGCTGTTCCGTCGAGGCCATCAGTCTACCCTTCCTACAGAAGGAGACGTCGAGGTCCAACCCAGGCCCGGTGGTGCTGTGAAGACCGAGACCAGCGGCGACCAAGAAGGCGTTCGCATTCAGCGGCAAACCGCGATCTTCCACTGGGAGGATGTGTGCTATGATATCACCATCAAGGGCGAAGACCGGCGGATTCTGGACCATGTGGATGGCTGGGTGAAGCCTGGAACTTGCACGGCCCTGATGGGTGTCTCCGGAGCAGGAAAGACCACATTGTTGGACGTATTGGCCACTCGAGTCACGATGGGTGTCGTGACCGGTGACATGTTGGTGGACGGAAGGCCCCGCGATCAATCGTTCCAAAGAAAGACTGGCTATGTTCAGCAGCAAGATGTGCACCTACCTACGTCGACGGTTCGCGAAGCACTCCAATTCAGTGCTTTGCTGCGCCAGCCAGCCCACCTTAGCCGGAAGGAAAAGCTAGACTATGTGGACGAGGTTATCAAGCTTCTTGGTATGGAGGCTTACGCCGACGCAGTTGTTGGTGTTCCTGGCGAGGGCTTGAACGTCGAGCAGCGTAAACGTCTGACTATTGGTGTTGAGCTGGCGGCCAAGCCTCAGCTCTTGCTCTTCCTTGATGAACCGACGTCCGGCCTCGATAGCCAGACTTCCTGGTCGATTCTGGACCTTATCGATACTTTGACTCAGCATGGACAAGCGATTCTTTGCACCATTCATCAACCGTCCGCCATGTTGTTCCAACGGTTCGATCGTCTTCTGTTTCTAGCAAAGGGAGGTAAGACCATTTACTTCGGCGATATTGGTGAAAACTCGACGACATTATCCAACTATTTCGAGAGAAACGGAGCTCACACCTTGAAGAATGGAGAAAATCCTGCCGAATGGATGCTTGACGTCATTGGCGCAGCCCCCGGGTCCAAGACCGATATAGATTGGCACAAGGTGTGGAGAGAGTCTCCAGAGTACACCGGAGTGAAGCAACACCTATCTGAGCTCCGGTCAACCCTCTCTGCCAAACCCAAGGATGAGTCCGATCCGGAAGCCCTGAAGGAATTCGCCGCACCATTCCATATCCAACTTTACGAATGCCTGGTTCGGGTCTTTGCGCAGTACTACCGCACCCCGACATATATTTGGAGTAAAACTGCTCTGTCTGTCTTGACGGCTCTCTACATCGGTTTCTCCTTCTTCCACGCGAGCAACTCGATCCAAGGCATGCAGAACCAGATGTTTTCCATTTTTATGCTAATGACAATTTTTGGCAACCTCTGTCAGCAAATTATGCCGCTCTTCTGTACCCAACGTTCGCTATATGAAGTCCGTGAACGGCCCTCCAAGGCCTATTCCTGGCAGGCATTCATGACTGCCAACATTCTGGTCGAATTGCCATGGAACACCTTGATGGCGGTCTTGATGTTTGTTTGTTGGTATTATCCCATTGGCTTGTACAACAACGCCAAGCCCACGCACGCAGTGAACGAGCGCTCAGCACTTATGTTTCTTCTGATCTGGGTCTTTCTCCTCTTCACGTCCACATTCGCTCACATGGTCATTGCTGGAATTGAGTTGGCTGAGACTGGTGGTAATATCGCAACGCTTCTCTTCTCTCTCTGCTTGATCTTCTGCGGTGTCTTAGCTACTCCAGAGGCGATGCCAGGATTCTGGATTTTCATGTACCGTGTATCGCCCTTCACATATTTGGTCTCAGCGATGCTGAGTACGGGTATCTCCGGAACAAAGGCAGTTTGCGAGTCCGTCGAGTATTTGACTTTCAATCCCCCCAACAATCAGACGTGCGAAAGCTATATGAAGGCCTACATCAGCGTCGCGGGTGGGTACCTGGAAGATCCCTCGGCAACATCGAACTGTCAGTTCTGTACCATCAGCAGCACGGACACATTCCTCGCATCCGTCTCCAGCTATTTCTCCGACGCGTGGCGGAACTTTGGGCTCATGTGGGTGTACATTATCTTCAACATTGCGGCTGCGGTGGGGATTTACTGGTTGGCCAGAGTTCCCAAGTCGGCTGGCAAGGCCAAGAAGGCGTAAATTTGCTTGCTATAGCTTCACGCGGTACTTTTCACTGCTACACCACTGCCTATCGTTTGCACCGAGGGCTGTCCTAGAATGGTTTTGTGGATTATTTTCCACATTCCTTACAGCAAAGCCCCGATATACCACCACCTTACCTTTGTCGTCTAGACTCATTTCAGCTACTCGGCTCATTTATTTATTACTTTCCTGACTCTCGTTGAATCTCTTCCGGGAGTCGCTTATTTTTTTTGATTGTTTTTCTTTCTTCGCAGGCCTGCTGTATGCAAATGTACCACCAGGATATCTCTGCTTCGACTCTTCTGTCCTTATTCTTTTCATGTTACTCTTCTATTTGGTTATGCCACCTAGAGCTTAGAGTATAGATTACTTTCTCTGAATACTTATTACACACTTTCTTCATATAGATGATCTTACTGGAAATTTTCACCCCTAATTGTGCTTTGACATAGAATACAATGTAATACACAGAGCAAATGAAGATTATACTTTGTCGATTAGTCCTGCGACAGGATTCTATCAATAAAACGAACATGTCACCCGAAGTTTCCGTAGCGCTCAAAAACGGAATCTGTGAACCAAGAAGTCCTCCATAGGCTTTAGACCGTCCCAGTAGGAGAGCCTACCCAGTGAACAGGTTGCCATTCATATATTTAAGCCCCGTATCCACCGCAACCGTCACGACGGTCTTACCCGGCCCCAGACGCTTTGCCAACGCAATCGCCGCCACGACAATGAGCCCCGTCGACGTCCCGACCAACAAACCTTCCTCCCTAGCCAGACGCCGACACATCGCGCGCGCTTCCTCCTCCTCAACTGCCCACGCCTCGTCATACAACTCGCGCTCCAAATGCGGCGGCACGAACCCAATCCCGATCCCCTCAACACTGTGCTTCCCCGGCCGTCCCGCCGAGATTGTCGACGAGGACGCCGGCTCCAGCACCACGACACGCGTAGACGGCCATTGCGCCTTAAGCACCCTCGACACGCCCATCACCATCCCCGCGCCCCCCACCGCCCCACAGAACGCATCAATCCCGCTGGGAAACTGCTCCACCAACTCATCCCCAATCCCCTCATACCCAATACTCGCATCCTTGTTGTTAAACTGATCCGCGAGGTAGTACTCCTCCCCCTGCGCCAATTCTTTCGCCCGACGAACCATCGACGGGATCAGATCCGGCGTGATGCCCGCCGGGCTGGGCACCAGGTCCAGCGTGGCACCCAGCGCCTCCATCGTGCGCAGCTTCTCCAGCGCAAACGCGTCCGAGGACACCACCCGGAAGGGATATTTCTTGGCCGCGCAGATGAACGCCAGCGACGAGCCCGTGCTCCCGCCTGTGGCTTCGACGACGGTCATTCCTGGGCGCAGGGTGCCGCGCCGCTCGGCCTCCTCGATGATCGACCGCGCCATCCGGTCCTTGTACGAGCCTGTCGGGTTCAGGAATTCCAGCTTGATGTAGATCGCGGCGCTATCCGGGGGTGCCACGTGGTTTAGGCGGATGACGGGGGTGTTGCCTATTGCGTCGAGGATGTCCCTTGCGGGGGTGGGATGTGTGACATTTTGATATGAGTTTGGGACGGTGTTGATATAGTTCTGAGGATGCACCGGATCAGGTGGGTAGTGATGGTGGTGACTGTGGTGCTGTATTGAGGCTGCAGCTCTCATGCAGGATGGAGGTTGGATTTAAGTAAAGATGGTTTCGTAACTGGCAGATCTGGTATTTTTGGTCATATTTGACTAGATCGAAGTATGAGCTCAGATCTCGACCTCCTGCGGTATCGGCCGGATCCACCGCATCCGGACCGCCGGCTCGCTAGAACTGTCCTAACGCGGTAACTTCTTGGACTAACTGGAGGGAGTCTGGGCGGGAGATTTTCCCTAATGCCCAGCACAGTGTCACCTGGAGCATCGGGGTACTTACCTTATTTGGACCTCCGCGGAGATGTGGACTACAACAACACCTGTTGAGTTTCATAGACATAAACTCGGTGCTGTTCGCAGGATTGTTACTAATCCAGTCACAATGACTGAGTCTTTTTCACCTGTTATGAACACAAAGATATATTTCTTATAAAAGTATAAAAAGATATTAATATGAAGATTTTAAGTTGCATGAATATAATCATTATGTCAAAAAATTAGATAATCGAGGACACCGTTATAACTTTATTCACAAGTATAAAACTTATTAGATTTCATCCTTAATTTTCATTAGTTTAGACTATATTTTTACCTTAAAATATATATATATAAGATTTACTAAGGTATGTGCTCCAACCAAGCACTTCCTTCGGCATATTCCTAGAAGAGCGACAGGATCTTCGTCTCGAATCGAATGTCCTCAAAATAATATACTATGCGTAGCGAAGGTTGAGGACCATACAATCTACCACCCAGGAACACATCCTAGTCATCCCAACTTTGGCGCCACGGCAATGGCAGACGTCGATGTAGTCTCGTCACTATTTCGCCATACCTTGGCTCTATCTCTCGACTGATCATACCATGTCGAATGAGGAAGTCGATGATAGCAACCGCGCTATTCGGCTTGAACAGTCCTCTCCGCAACGCGTCAAGCACTTGGTCCACATCCCAAAGCCGAAAGTCCTCCACTTCTCCATCCTTTGGCCGAGGCACCGTCGCGGGGTCCAGTTGAAGCTCATAGAGGTATTCCACCTCGGGCAAGAGCAGCACCATTGAATCATCACCCTCGAATTGTGGTCTGAGACCTTTGACATGGAAATACAAAATACATCCGCTGCGTCGCAGGCCCTTTTCCAGGACCGTACTAGGAATCGACGCCTCCTCTGCAGCCTCCAGCATGACCGTACTGCGCGGCGTCTGCCCAACCGTCAGGGCCCCGGCCGCAGTACAGTCCAGCATCCCCGGGTAGGTCTGCTTCCTCATTGAGCGTTTCGCTATCCACAGTCGGATTCGACCATGCTCATCATCATCATCGTCGATGACATATCCAAGCATCTGCACCCCGCTAGTCACCACGCCGAAATACGCACTGGCCGAGCGTTCAACCTCAAAAACCACGTCGCCGTCCGGCCCGTAGACCGGAAACCGCTCATCGCGCCAGCCGTCACGAATATCGGTGCGTCCGGCGCCGATCATCCGGTGAACAACAGTTTCCAGGATCTGCGTCCGCATAGAGCAAGAGGCGGGTGACTCGGGAGAGGCCATGAGAACGACTGCGCGGGGACTGTCGACCACAAGCCAGTCCTTTTCCGGCCAGGGAATGCGCCGCACCAGGGTCGTGGGAATGTATCCCAGATCCGCATCGATGCCCTCAACTCGCAGCGCATGGTATTTGTCGAGAATATCAGCGTACCGCGTCGGCTCTGTATCACTGGACGGGACGCTGGGAGGTGCAGTACAGTTCGATCAACAATTTATCCGCGATGCAGGCAGGAAGATCTACATACTTATCTAGGTCGGCGACAATGTCGTAGAGAGGGTTGGTCATAGCTGACTGTATTTGCATCAACTCCGCTGTAAGTGGGTATTTCTAGACTGGCAGTCCCAAAGTTGGTTCTCCAATGGGCCACGTGTGGTGATATGCTGCTACAACCACTGCAGTACACGTATTTACTCCTCTCGGGCGAAATCCGGGACCTGATCGGCTGCCAAGGCCTGTGGGGCAAATCGAGCCAGTCGGGAAGCTTGGATCCGGATCCGAGTGAGTGGTTTGGTGATGCTCCGGAGTTCGCATGAATTCTGCCCCGAGCTGCTTACCGCCCTGGGCCTTCAAGTAAACCATATCTATTCAAAACCAAAGATTAAATATTAGTTTCAAAATCCTTCTTGGATCGATGCTTTAGGATGAAGTTTTGTAGAAACCAAGGCAGGAATGTATATACATACCTTACTACTTCGAGCGATGGTATGCTCGGATCTCCGACATATAAATGTAGTAGCGGACAAAGGAAGCGTTTGTTTAACGGGCAACCTGGTAATACTGCTAGTCTTTCATACAGCGTATGGAGCTACATATAGAGGTTATATCTCCACAACTATTCTCGTGCTCGTCTTCTGGAAAGACCTTCTGCTTTTCCATAAACCCTTTTCGATTGTGGCCGATATAGGCTAGCTTAAGAAGCCTGCTACTTCTACCGGTAGACTGGAAGGGCGCGGACTCAATGGTCGATGAAGCTATTGCAGTACTAGCTTAGTTAATGGATGAGTTCCCAAAGAACCATGAAGGAAAAATGTGGGTGATTTGATTATGATCAATCTCAAACGATACGCGACAAAGTCATGAAAACAGGAAATACTGAAAAAAACCACAGGCCATCATCTCGTACCAATCCGGGTAACAGAGGGTATAGTAGCACCATAGAATCCGCAGAAGAAACGCCAGTGCAGCTCATAAACCTGTGAGACTTGACAAAGTGAGCAAAAGAAAAAAAAATAACCTAACAAAGTGTCATCTGCAGCCGCTATTCCAGCAAAGCCACAAGCAACCTCTGATAATCCCCACTTGTCTCCCCCTTCACCCTTTGAACCAGATCGGTCTGAAAGCGGTGGTGGTAAGCGCGCTTGACGGTTTCCATATGTTGGCGATTCCAGTGGAGGCGCACCACGCGGATCACCAGCTGGTTGTCCTTTGTCCCCATCCCTTTCATCGCCTCTTCCAGCAAGACCGCGTCGCGCATCGCCGGATCCAAGGCCGTCCGGAGCATGTACAGTAGCGCGTCCTTCATGTGCCCGGAGAACTCCTTCTCGATGTGCGATTCCAGCGAGAGATGGTATCGGCTGGCAAAGGCCTGGTTGAGCGCGCGAAGTTCGTTGTCGGAGCTACGCGCAAAGAGGGCGGTGACCTCGTCCGCGTTGTTGACGATGCGGGCGGCCGTGGCGCCGTGCAGGTTCTGGGCTTCGCTCTCGATGAGGCGGTAGTCGACGGGCATGCTTTCCTCGTGGCGCGCGGCGCGCAGCACGGCGGCGAAGAGGGTTTTGGTCTTGAAGGAGAGGTCGTCGGCGACGTCTTGCTGGAGCGAGCGTCCGCGGTAGGTGCGTTCGTAGGCGGATTGAATGGCACGGAGATCGGCGTTCGAGCGGCCGAGGAGGACCTCGTTCAGGAGCCATTCCTTGGTGCCGATCCCTTGCACGGCTTCACGGACGAGCGCCGTGTCGTGGGCCAGCGGCCCGTCGATGATGGCGACGAGCCCCTGGCGGAAATAGCCGCTCGTCTCAGACTTGACGTCGGCGTAGAGGTCCCGGCGGATGTGGGATTGGTACGTGGCGCGGACGGCGGCGACCTGCAGCGGATCCAGCCGGGCCAGCACGGCAATCAGGCCCTTCTCGTCGGTCCCAAAGCCTTTCATCGCCTTGCGCAGGGCGTCGGCTTCACGACGAAAATCCCCGGGGGCCATTTGGCCGGGCGCATAGCCTAGCGATGGAAAGGCGGGAGGGGGGCCGTACCCTTGCTGCTGTGGAGGTGGAGCTGGATATTGATAGTTGTTGTGGGCGGGGTATCCGTGCTGTTGAGCTACCCCTGGTGGCGGCAGCCAACCTGGCGCCGATGGTTGTTGGCCATATGCACCGTGCGGTCCGGGGTAAGGTGCTGGATGTCCTTGTCTTTGATTGTAGTCCCACTGGGCTGGTGGGCCTTGGCTGTGCATCGCCGGTGGCTGATGGTACGGATTGTAAGACATAGCTGTCTGATAGCTGATAGTCCGGGAACGCTTGACTTGACTAAGATGTGGTGGATGGAAGAGAATTCACTTTGAAGCTGCGTATATTTGCAAGTATGAGAGGAGAGGAGGAGAGTGGAAGGTAGAATCATCTTCAAGCTGCGAACGTTTTGCGATGACGAAAGGGGACGCAGGCGCCTTCCGGACCGAACCATGGTAGCCACTGTGGCGCAGTGTAAGGCCGACCTCGCAATGTGGCTGAGCCAGGAGTGCCAAGGCAGCCATGACATCACTCCGGTGGTACATGACCTGCACCAAGGAATAATTGTCAAGTAAAACTACGAGTGAATATTTACAGTATATATATAGTACATATGGTCAACCCCGCAGAGTTCAGAGACCAGATTGGAAGATCAGCGGCAGCCCCGCAGATGCAATGACAGGCGGTGCGGTTGGCCGCAGCAGGTCGAGCCCGCCCGTGCACTGTACAGTTCCCACTAATCAATCTCTATTCTTAACGCAAAACAGATCTGGACCGTATAACACAAAACTATCATGTAATCCATACGTCTGGTGTACGTTGCGGTAAATACACCCGAGCAATATCACCTTTTAATCACAAATGAATGGCTTGAAGACTATCACTGGCTGTAAGGCTCGGTGCTTCCCGATTAGGGCACTTTCGCATCGAGCTGAGGTGTTCCCCGTAGCGATGGCCATTGGTGGGTACTAGTAGCTAGGATCTGATGCTCCCTCTTTAGAGCTCGGGCTAGACCTAATACGTGCGCGTCATGCATCAGCTCTCGATGGTTGTGTGTAAATGTGCTTATCGTTCAGGGGTGGTTGGCTGGAGATATATTAGCTCCGTACGGACCTCCGCCAGCCACAGCCCAAAGCGCATAGACTAATGCAGCTTTGTCATAATTATAAGCTTGACGCCTCCCCCTGGAAGCTTCGAGTTCCCCACAACCTGTCTCAGTACTGACTTACGGACCAATGGAGAATATTCATACCTGTGGAGACAATGAGTTCGGTCCTCAAGCCAGCCATGGTTGTCGCGGCGGGTTTGACTTCACCTTACTCTTCGAAGAATGTTTTTTCTCAATTGCGCCCTCAATTCTGCTCTTGCTCATTCTTCCCGTTCGTTGGAAGCAGCTGCAACCAGGGCGGATTCGTAAGGTCTCGCAAAGCTGGCTCTACTGGGCCAAATTGGTACGAATGTCTCGTCCAGATCATAGCCGTAGGCATGAGATTAACACAATGTCATTTCTAGGGCCTCGGACAAGCATTTGGGGCAACTCAACTAGCATTACTGATTATTTGGCTCTTGCCGCATGCGCCACGAACACGAGCATCCCTACCAGCTGCGGCCTTGTCTTTCGCGACCTCACTTGGCCTATTGCTTCTGTCGCATTGGGAACATCTCTTCTCTATCCACCCTTCCCACATTCTCAATCTTGCTTTATCTGTGTCCCTTCTTCTCGATGCGGTGCGCGCCAGAAGCTTATGGCTTGCATCCAATACTGCTATCGCGGGACTATATTCAGCAAGTATCACAATCAAGGCAATTTGGTTTTACTTGGAGTCGCGCTCAAAGCGTGCGCTACTGAAACATGGTGAAGTTCAGTACGGCAATGAGGAGATCACTGGTCTCTACAGTCGCGCCTTTTTCTGGTGGACAAATCCCTACCTTTTTCTAGGATTCAAGTCTCTGTTCTCCATCGACGATCTGCCGCACCTTGACAGAAGCCTATCCGCTGATGTACTCCATAAGCAGTTGAATAGGTCATGGAATCGTGGTAGGTCATACTCGTTATGATTGAGCCAGATGCTCGTGTACAAGTCTCTGATTCGCGACACAGCCTCAAAACGTTCGCACAATGCTTTGGCTTACTGCACGATGTACACTTTCAATTCCTCGATCATCTGTTCTTTCATTGCAAGACTAGCAGTTATTGGACTAAGCTACTCGCAGCCGTTCCTGATAACGGCATTGACGGACTATGTCGAGGACACCAAGCCTGACCGGAACAAGGGATATGGCTTGATCGGCGCGTTTGGACTAGTCTTTTTGCTCAAAGGGGTAAGAACCACAATATGCCCATTGCGACACATTGATAGCTAAGCCCGTGTCGAGTTGACTGGCTTAGATCTTCAGTTGTCTCTATCAGCATCACAATTACCGCCTGATAACAAAAGTCAGAGGCGCAGTGGTGTCTTTGATTTACCAGAAGACCCTGACTCTGCGATTCGATGAGTACAGCGAGTCAGCTGCCTTGACTCTAATGAGCAATGACATCGACAATATCGCGTTTGGGATTCAAAACATGCATGAAGCGTGGGCTAGCCCCGTGGAAACCGGTATCGCTCTGTACCTGTTGCAGCGGCAAGTCTCCTGGGCAGCGGCCGTTCCTGCCTTTGTTTCTCTCGTGGCTATGCTATCTACGCACCACCTCTCTAGCTCAATGCCTGGTCGGCAGAAATCATGGATGCAGGCCATACAGCAAAGAGTATCGTTTGCCTCTAGCTATCTGAATGCCTTTGTCCCCATCAAGATGTTGAACCTGCATTCCCGTCTTGGACTCATCATCCAACAGTTAAGGGTCGATGAGTTGAGCAGGGGGAAGAAGTTTCGCCATGTTATGGTCAAAATGAATCTGCTTGGTATGTTTTACATAGAATGATCTGGGAGTTTAGCGTGTGAAGGCTGATACGCGCTTCTAGGTGGTGCAATCACAAATTTGAGTCCGGTGGTTACGTTGAGTATCTATGCTGCCATTGCCCTTCATACGGGTCGTGCCCCCTTGGATGTGGCTGCGACATTCACCACCCTCTCCATTATCTCTCTTTGGAGTACCCCGCTGTCAAACCTTGTTTACTCAGGACCTCGAGTGGCGGGAGCCCTGGAAAGCATCCAGAGGATTCAAGCCTATCTCACAGCAGATACCAAGCCCGATCATCGTACTGTCCAGCCACAGACCGGCACTGCCGCATCCAAATCAATCCCAGTTGAAGTATTAGCTGAAACTGCAGGATCCATCGAGCTTTTTCCTAATCCAAGAAAAGGAGAGACGACGAATGTTTCCACGGCTGATCTAGTTCATGCGTCTAATGCGGACCTCGGCTGGACAAGCGCATCGGATCCTACACTAACGAATGTGAACACCAGAATTCCTGCTTCCTCCTTGACAGTGGTCGCTGGACCAATTGGCTCTGGTAAAAGCACACTACTGAAAGCATGTCTTGGCGAAGTGCCTTGTCTCAAGGGCTCTATCCACATCAACGTTGCCAACGTCGCGTATTGCGGTACGAAGACATGGATCCGTAACCGCTCGATTCGGGACAACATCTGCGACCCTCTCCCGTATGAAGAGGAGTGGTACCGCACTATTCTTCACGCGACAGCTCTCGATCGCGACATCGATGCTCTGCCTGAGAAAGACCTTACGGACATTGGCAGCAACGGCATCTCAATGAGTGGTGGACAGCGGCAGCGAGTTGCCATTGCTCGTGCAGTGTATGCGCGGACTAAACTCGCCATCTTTGATGATGCATTCAGTGCTCTGGATGCTGCCACCGCTGCTCAGGTCTTTGCCCGCGTGTTTGCCTCTGACGGTATCCTACGTCGCAACGGAGTTGCGGTGATATTGGTGACACATGAGTGGAATCATCTAGCTCATGCTGATCATGTCATTTTCATTGATCAAGGAACGATCGTTGAGCAGGGACCTCCTCAGATCCTCCAGAAATTGCGAGATCATGTCATGCAGAAAGAAGCCAACGACAGATCCCTTCTGCAGAACAATTTGTTTCTAGAGCAACAGAAACCCCGGTCCAGCAATCCAATAGACTCTGACGACGTCTTAGCACGCCATAAAGGAGATTTGCACGACTATGCTTACTATTTTCGCACGTCGGGCGGGTGGTCAATGGTGCTTTATGCAGGAGCGCTGGTTGTTGGTCTCTTCAGTGCGCAATTCACAAGTGAGTACACCTAAAGCGAGGATGCACATTCCGTCTCCCACTAATCCATTTCTGCAGGTCTCTGGGTTCAGTGGTGGGCGGAGACGAACGAAAAAACCCCATTCGGACACCTGGCGCGGTATATCGGCATTTACACTTTCTTAGCAGTGGCCGCAGCAGCCCTCTGGGCCTACTGCATGTGGCTCGTCTTCTGTCGCATCGTCCCCACGTCCTCAAGTCAACTCCACGAGCATTTGGTGACCAAAGTCAAAGATGCACCGCTATACTGGCATACATCAACCGACACTGGTGTCATCCTCAACCGCTTCAGCCAAGACATGACAATGATAGATCGGTCGCTTCCAGCAGACTTCTTGAAGACATCCAATTACCTCGTCCAGTGTGTCATAAGCGTGGCGTTCATTTGCGTTGGAGCAAAATATATGGCCACGCTCATCCCTGTCACCGTGTTTGTGATTTACTGGATCCAGAAGTTCTATCTTCGCTCGTCTCGGCAGCTCCGACATCTGGAGCTGGAAGCCAAGTCACCACTGTACACCCAGTTCACCGAGACTCTCAGTGGTCTTATAACTATCCGTGCCTTTGGCTGGCAGGATAACTTTGAGGCGGAGCACAGGGACTTACTGCAGATATCCCAGCGACCGTACTACTTCCTGTTCGTCATTCAACGCTGGTTGACTCTTGTTCTAGATCTGCTTGTCGCGGCCCTGGCAGTCATGTTGGCTGTTTTCGCGGTCTTTGTGCCCCATACTGGCCCAATCGGAGTCTCCCTCATATCCCTCATCACATTCAACGAACAACTCGCCGAGCTTATCAACTGCTGGGCATCCCTAGATACGAGCATAGGCGCCATATCTCGGATACGGAGCTTTGGAAAGGTGCCCACCGAGCATCTTTCTCACGAAACCCAAAATCCCCCTCTTACATGGCCTTCAGAAGGCTCAATCACCTTTCAGAATGCGACCATGGCATACGCACCAACCGCCTCCCCCATTCTCCGAAATATAACACTAACGATCCCCGCTGGTTCCAAGCTAGGCGTCTGCGGCCGCACAGGCAGCGGCAAAAGCTCTCTCCTCCTAGCCCTCCTGCGCATGATCGAGATCCGAAGCGGGGATATCAGTATCGATGGCGTGAGTCTACAATCCTGTCCGCGAGATAGCATCCGCAGCAAAATCACCGTGATACCTCAGGAACCAGTCCTATTTCCCGGCACGGTCCGTGAGAACATTACCACGTTTCAGACCATGGATGATGACAGGGTCCTCCGTGCTATGGAGAAAGTCCAGCTCAGGGAGCACATTGCAGCCCATGGTGGTCTTGACACGGGCATAGAAGACTTGCCGTTGTCCGCGGGTCAGAAGCAACTGCTCTCTTTAGCGCGGGCTATTCTCTCGAAACAGAAGATTCTCCTGCTAGATGAAGTAACGAGTCATGTGGATGTTGAGACGGACCGGCTTGTGCAACGGGTTATTCGGGAGGAGTTCCGCGGATGTACTGTTATTGCCGTTGCGCACCGCGTGCACACTTTGGTGGATTATGATCGAATTGCGGTGTTTGATGGTGGTTGGGTAGTGGAGTATGATGCTCCGTCGGCGTTGCTTGGACGTTCGGGGTCGGTGTTTGGGCGGTTGTATGATCAGACGCGATCTGCAAGTCATTAGCTTCTGGCTGTCACATACTTGCATAATAAACTGTATCTAACGCCTCGCAGGACTACCGTATTTGCCAGATTGATTACACTCGGTGTCCATATTGGTTACGCTTGACTGAGTAAATTGTAGTCAATACCACACAGCAATCCTGTAGCCATTTCACTAAAATCTACCGATCAACCCTCGAACCTGAAATTTCGAAGGGGTAAGAGTTTATCATTAACATGAGTAATAGCAATCACATAATGTTACACTCCTTTGTACTCCCCTCTAGTTCGCTGTTCTCATCAGAAGAAACTTGATGGTCTCGGGTCCATGACGTCGGGCTAGAAAGGCATCCCAACTGTTATCGTCAGAAAAAATGAAAGGTAGTTGAACCAGCTTGAGCAATGCTTGGCGTAGACGATATTCGCTATCCGGGTTGAATTTGTGATGTCGATAGGTAGATGAATGTTGACTTGTTCAACATTGTGACGATTGGGCAAAGATTTTCCCGTGTCTGCCAGGTGCAGCTGTGTTCCACTATATCATAAATCTGTGGATAGGAAGCTATTGCCGATGTACCATGTGCTCACCACTGCTGCTCAAGGATAGCTTAGATCATGGGCTTTGCTTGACGCACTTGTTGATCGGTGCTGAAGTGCAAGAGACAAGGCTATAAGCTTGAGAAAAGGTCGAGCTCTGTGCAAGGTATAAAGGGTCTTTATGAGTGAGACCTGAAGTCAACGCGATGTCCGCATTAGGATGAGAGACTGAGGGCAGATAGAGTAACAACCATACATTGAATGTATGAGAAGAGTACATTAGGCACCCCCTCACTCCTGAGATGGGGTTTGTTTACATATCTGACCTCTCTGTTTGCCATTCTCATCAACCCCCCTGCCCCACTAATTCTCCCTAACATCCATCTCCTGATCTCCCTCCTAATCTTTCTCGCTTTATCTTTCTCCCTCATCATCTCTCCCTCTTCATCTATCTCCCTTCATCTACTACCCTGGCCCTCTGTTCCACCACCTATTCAATTCGAGACATTTCCACTCACTACAAACTCCAATCAATCTAAATCCAATCCCTTTGTATCCTCTTTTTCGCATCCACTTTCTCAGAGAGTGAGACCTTCTATTCCAACGGCTTGAGCTCTGAGATCTAACGGACTTTTCCATCAGCTGAGCCAAAATTCAGTCATCACCCTATCCCCGGAGTCACTTCTCAATATCGGCGATCATCTTACCCGAAAGGAAGACATCGGTGCTCTAGCTCAAGCCAACCGCCACCTGCAGCAAGTACACGAGCCGCTACTCTATGGACGCGGAAAGCAAGACACGGCGACGCCTGACTTGCGCTTGAACATCTTTTGCTGGGCCAGCTTTCATGACAAAGTGGAAATACTCAAACTCGTCAAACATGGAGCCGCTTTCCCGACTGATGAGTCCGAGGCTAAAGAGCCGAGGTGGCCCACTGTGAAATACCACCCGGTTTTCGTGGCCGCCAGGAAGGACCATCTTGAGATCGTCAAATTCTTTCTTGACCGAGGTTTTGAGATTGAATGCAGGGACTCTAAGGGCTGTTCGCTGTTTCATCTGGCCGCGACCATAACCATAAACATATCGTTGACGAGCTGATTGCAAAGGAGGCGAATCAAAATTCCTTGAATGATGATGGTCTGCCAGTCTTCGATTTTGCCGAAAAAAAGAATATGAGCGCTGTCCTGCCAGCCCTGCTTGAGGAGGGATTCGAATCGGACTTGAATCATTTTTTGGAGTATCGATTGTTCGAAGCAGTGTCTCATAAGGATGCAGATACTGTTTCATTTATACTGGTCATCGGGCTTCCAGCAGATGATCATGATTCTTCCGATACTTGCACGCTGAGCTTCGCCGTTTTCCAGAACAACTGGGAAGTATGCGAGCTTCTGTGTAACTACGGTGCTGTTCCTCACGGAAGCCTTTCTATGGTAGCCTTTTTCATGGGGGGTTTCTTTGTAAAGTGGACAGTTGTGAACCTAAGGAAAGATATCCCTTCGTCATTCAAACAGTCTACCATGAACATAGAGCATTCCATGAGACGTGGGACGCCTGTAATCGATGCTTTGGCTTTCTCGCGCGTCGACACAACGACGGTAGCCTGTTCAGCACAGCTGTTGGCTTCAACACCCTCCTCTGTGCAGCATATCATGGGGGACGATGAAATTGCTCAGGGCTTTTTGGACAGGTTCCCTGAGTTGGAACGTAGCGTTCCTGACGCAATGATCATCGCAGCCTTTAGCCATCAGAACGACGCGATGAGCTATTTTCTCTCCAAGGGGGCTGATCTGACTACACACTGGACGGGGCAGTGACGGCCCTATCGCATGCAGGTTACGATGGATGGGTGGATCAGGTCCAGCTGCTTCTTTCCGCTGTCGCAATTATCACCTTGAAAGACGGTGCTGGCAAGACTGCCATATGGTACGCTGTTCAGGCGCGCCGGACGGAGGTGTTGGCGTTATATCAGGAGCATTCACCAGCAGACTTTGACGCTTACAAAAACAAAAAGGGCTTGAAACGCGATAAGATCAATAACGCCCAAGATGCCGGCTACTGAAGACTTGTTCATCTTGATGGGAGGATAAAATCAATATCTGGATGTGGTGGGAGTATGCTCAAAGGGCAGATGCGGTTGCTAGAGCACACAGCGGCCGGCGGGCCGGTATTCATGAGTTTCTGGTCGTGGCTCGCTGAACGAGGAAAGCTGTCATCGGGAATTACTCTCCGCCATTCCTCCCTCATTTTTTGTGTTCCAACTTTGAATTAATGTGCCTCTTAGGCTAGATAGTACTATGTAATACACTCATCAATTATGGGTCTTTGTTTCATGCTATACAGCCCGACAAAAAATGCTATCATCCATCTACCTCATCATCCTTCAGTCATATGTCTAAGATCTCATGACTGACTTTCCTGAGAGCTGAAACAGACCATCAACTCAACCACTAACAAGCCCAGAATGCCCAACCCCAACCCCAACCGACCCACCAAGTACTCTGCCCACCAAATGACTAGCACTGGCCTACGCACTGCTACCGTCGCACCAACCGCTCCCCAACGCCCACGTCCTCCGCCCTGCCGCAGATGCAACGCCATCACATCCCAGAACACTGTTTCCGAGACCAACGAGAATGGCAACGCTGGACGACCTTACTACCGCTGCGACCACTGTGGAACATTTGCGTGCTTCGCGGATCTGCGAGGTGTGCACCCCGACAACCCCGCGTGTGACTGTTGAGGGCCAGCTGCCCTCTCGTCTGCAGGTAGCCAGCCAGAATGACCGCCGGTGCTTTCCCGGTGCCTTGTTCTACACTTGCGCGGTGGGGGAGTGCACTTATTTTCAGCGGCTAGAGGACGAGGACGGAGAGGCTTTTGTGATCTTCGAGGAGTCGATCCCAGCGGGGTTGCAGGGGGCGAGGTATATGGAGGAACGGGACTTGTGAAGGGATGATCCCTTCAAGAAAAGGGGTCGGAAATGAAGGTGCTGGGTCTATTCTTGCTATGTCTGTTGTCTATCTTTACGTAGGGTTAGATTGGCTTTGTTCTTGTTCTTGCTGGTTTTAACGAAGTGTGAATTTGATGGGTTAAGGTCGGGTTCCTAGCAATCTAGTTTGATTTCGAGTTTGATAGATCTTTGTACGCTTTTCTGACTACTGTCGGATAAAGTACTGTCTTGGGTAGGATCTAGCTTGTTCTTAGCAAGCAGGAATACCTGCGTAGCCGATAAACCCCGCATTTCTGACGTACTTCTGCCTAAGTTAACGTCACAGCTGCTGATGTAAGAGTGACTTTAAATATCGTTACCTTCAGCACTCTTGTTAAATCCTGGTTTATGCGGCACCCCCTTGCATCTTTCCCTTCACTTCCTCAAAGTAGACAAAAACAAACTCTCTGAAAACCCGCCCATACAAACCCACCCCCCATTCCTAATCCACCACCTCTCTTTCACCACCAACAACAAACCATGCCCTACACACCTCCACCTCAAACAATTCCCCTTCCGCAAACCTTTCATCACAACACCACCACCCACAGCCACACCATCCACTGGACCACCCTCGGCGACCCCTGCCGACCCCCCCTAGTCTTCATCCACGGCACCCCCTGATCCTCCGCCGTCTGGCACGACTACGCCCTCACCCTCTCCCGCACCTTCCACGTCCACCTCTTCGACAACCCCGGCTTCGGCCACAGCCCGCTCGGCACGCCGCTCCCCTCCAAACAACACAACCGTGAAACCACCAAGCAAATCGCCCTAGACGCCGACCTATCCGACCAAACCGCCGTCTTTGCCGCGCTGTACTCCCACTGGTCCGAGACCTGGCCGGCCGTCTACCAAAAACGCGCGCATGTGATCGCCTACGACCACGGGGGGTTGATGACTCTGCGCGCGCACCTGCTGCATGGACTTCAATATGCAAGTCTGTGTTTGATCAATGTGGTGGCGCTGGGGCCGTTCGGGCAGCCTCTCTTCAAGCTGGTGGCTGAGAACCAGGCGGTGTCTGAAGCGTTGACTGGGCCGGTGTTTGAGGGGGTGGTGGAGGCGAATATTCGGGATGCGGCGTTTACTGAACTAAGCGAAGAGAGGATGGAGATGTTGAAGGAGCCGTGGGTGCGAATGGGAGAGGAAGGGCGGAAGGGGTTTGTGAGGCAGATGATGCAGGCGAATTTTCGGATTACGGAGGCGGTGGAGGGACGGTATGGTGAGGTTGGCGCCAACGTGCCTGTGTTGGTGGTTTGGGGGGTGGAGGATCGGTGGATTCCCGTCGAGACGGCGGAGAGGTTGAAGGAGAGGTTGAATGCCCGGGAGCTGGTGTTGATTGAGGGGGCGGGCCATTTGGTGATGTATGATCAGCCGGGGAGGTTGGGGGTGGAGCTGGGGTTGTGGTTGAACGAGGTGCGGGGGTAGCACTTGTTTTGCTTCTGGGGGTCTGGATCTGGGCCGAGGGGTGAATTGCTCGTTGTCATATGGCTTGCGTATACGTTGAGTTATATCATAATTCGTGTTATGTGCAACTAGGTAGACACATGTTGAGGGTGTTTGGGAGAAGACCAGGATCAACCGTTCCTACTAGCTGATTACCCACCATATCACGTCAAATATCCCCAAGCGGCAGACTGCTGAGGTCAGTGGGATTTCCTGCGTCGAGAAACATCCAGGACACATCATTCATGCCCGCGAACAGGTCCATGACGGATGACAAGGCTTCCACCGGGCGGTCCACCGACCCTGTGGCTTGGGTCGGGTCAGTAAGTCTAGTATCAATGTCCGAAGGCTGCGGTTCTGTACGGCCATTGCGGTTGACCCGAAGCACGTCCAGGCTGGGCAGTTCGATCAGCGCGGTGAAGGTTCGGTACTCCAGCGACGCCATCGCATCGGCTGACGCCCACGTGCGGCGCAGCGTCTGCAAGACGTCGCAGGCGGTGTCAAAATCCTGGCGCGCGTCTTCCTGGTCGGATCGGAGTCGACTGTACCGCAGATGCTGGTATGAGACGGAAAGTGCCAGCGAGATGGCGTAGACAACGATGGGAACCGGGCACAAAGCCCGTAAGACGCGCGGGATCCCGCATGCATCGAATCACCTGAAACGAGGAGAGCTGCTGGCGGAAGTGCGAGGGAGCGGGAGCTGGCAAGGAGGTGAAGGTCTTGAGACGATGGGAGAGGATGGCCGTGGCGTGGTAAAGATGTGCAGAGTCGCTGTTCGGTTTGATTGGTCAAGCTCAAAGATAAGGGTGGGACTGACCTCCTTCACGGATTTGGAATGGAACAGAAATGGCATACCAGTAATCTAGAATGAAAACTGCCAGCCATGCAATTCATCCATCATCTGTTCGAACTCAGGGAATCCCAAATCTAAGCCCGAAACCAGATCTCCGGTACCTGGTCGATACAATCCAATCACGCTGCAGAGACTTCGGGCAACGTGGAATAGAACATCAAACGCCACCGAGCCGGACACATGAGGCGTGATTTCGGCGACAGCAATGTCAATATCGGCCAGAGCGCACAGTCTTAAACTAGTCGCAGCGTTCGACCGATAGTAAGAGCTTCTGAGCGGCATCATTCTTGGCCGCTGGAAGGCACACCATATGCAGCAAGGGCGTGGGGATCGTGCGCTGCGTAAGTAACTGCCAATATTTATCCCCATTCAGGTCATCTGCGGTGTTCACGGCATTTTCCAGTTCCAGAAACAGCCGAGTCTGGCTGCCTGCCGTCCGATCCGAGAGCTTGGCCTGTGCAGCCCCACTCCGTGCCTTGTCCAGCCCTATAGGGCTGACCGTCCCTCGCATGCGCAGATTCTTAGCTAAGCCACCACCTCTCTTCGTGTTGATTGCATTGGCCAATTTAATTTAAATTGTGTGTTCTGACTTCCAGAAGAGTCCTCTATCATGGCCTCAGAATGGCTATCTAGCAGTCTTTTAACGCGTCTGTCGCTCCACTCGCACACGCAGCGTTGCCAATCTTCAAATATCTTCAATAGACATCAATGACAATTGTGCCTGATCTGACTGACACCCTCCACGTGATGAGGTTTCTAGGGTGTGCTGAGGTGGTAGCAGTGTAACTGGCGCGGAGAACTCGCAGTCGCACTTGTTCCTTAGTGGAGAATGTCTGGGGGTACCCACCCCGGAGACCTTCCCCAACAAGCCGAAAACCTGTCTGGTGCACTGGAGCAGGGGACCTTGGTGTCTTTCAAATTTCCTTTAAATCAGGAGAGTATTCCTGCAAGATGAGAGTAGCACCCAGAAACATCTGAGCCCTCGTCAAGCACAAGTTGTGCCATGGAAGCACCATTGACACCATCACAATGCGATGCTTTGCCCCCCAAATCATCTGCGCCATGATCGGCTTCGGACTGCTGGGATCCGCCAAAGGGCTTGACGAAGGTCTGATTGCGACTACTGTGGACCTGCCGTCTTTCATTCGGGAGTTCAAGCTCCATGCCAGCAGCCTCAGTGCAGCTGAGCAAGCCAACCGGTTGTCGAACATCACGTCCATGGTGAACCTCGGATGCTTACCCGCAGCAGTGCTAGCCTTTTTGCTTAGTGATAGCGTGAGCCCGCTGTGGATGATGCGGCAGTTGTGCGTGCTCTGGATCGTGGGAGTGGCGCTAGTGATCTCGTCGGCGGGTAACTATGGCCAGCTGCTCGCGGGTCGCTTCATCGTGGGGTTGGGTATTGGCCAAGCTGGCATTATCGGGCCCATTTATCTTGCTGAGATTGCGCCGGCCTCGTGGCGGGGTATGATGGTGGGTGTGTATGCTGCTTCGGAGTATGTGGGTGTTTTAATAGGGGTGAGATGCGGAGGTTCGTCGGCGGTGGTCAGCTAGTTGCTAACTGACGGGCTATAGTATTTTGCTGGGTACGGCGCGTCACTGCATATCGCCAACAATAACGACCAGCAATGGATCATTCCGCAGTCGAGTCAGATTATGATGGCCGGCTTCATTCTCATTGTGTCTATCGGCTGTGTCGAAAGCCCCCGCTATCTATGCCAGAAGCAGCACACCGACCGGGCCACACGAGCCCTAAGTCGGCTGCGAACCCTCCCCGAAGACAGCCCCGAGATCCAGGACGAGATCGAATCTATCCTGCAGCAGACAGCACAAAATACATTTAAAAAGCTCGGTCAATCTCTACTGACCTCATGGAAACTTTTGTTCGGCCAGTCAGCCAACCGCAAACGCTTTTTGTTCCTGCTCTCAGCCCAACTCCTGAGTCAATGGTCCGGCACCATCGCGATCACAAGTCCGAACCCTCTTCCCCTCTGCCCTCCCCATCACACATCTCAACAAACTGACATCTCAGCACAGCATACGCCCCCAAATTCTTCTCCCTTCTCGGCATGACCGGCTCCTCAGAGAAACTCTTCAAGACCGCCATCTTCGGCGCCGTGAAACTGGCCTCCGCCCTCCTCTGCGCCGTACTGTTTCTTGACCGCCTCGGCCGTAAACGCTGCCTCATGCTGGGGATCACCCTGCAGGTGCTCGCCCTGCTGTACGTGGCCATCTACCTCACCGCGCTGTCCTCCAAATCAGATAGCAGCGCGTCCGCCCATCGCGCGGCCATCGCCGCCATCGCGGCTATTTACATCACAGGCGTCGGGTACGCCTTTGGCTGGAACTCGATCCAGTACCTGATCACGGCGGAGATGCTGCCCACCGCCGTGCGCACACTAGGGACGAGTCTGCTGATGTGCGTGCATTATGCGAATCGGTTTGCACTTACCAAGGTATGCCTGCGCCCTTTGCTGTTTGTGTTTTTGTAAATGATGGTCTCTCTTGCATCTGCTGGTGATCCGGGGTTAGTTGTAGAAAGGATGGTTTGGCTGACTGACGCAAATTACCAGGCCGTCCCGACGATGATGCTGGCGGACGCGCTGCAACCGAAAGGCACCTTCTGGTTCTTCTTCGTGGTGGCGATGCTGGGTTTTCTATGGGGGTTGTTCCTCTTGCCGGAGACGAAGGGGAGGAAGTTGGAGGAGACGAGTCGGTTGATCTCTTGATCTCCCCTTCTCTTGGTCGACTGAAGAAGTCAATGATGCTATTACATTGCACGGAAAGATTATTGGCCGCTCCCAGTGTAGTAGCATGGTTCTGCGTTTCTTCTGGTGCCGTTGTAAGCGTTGCCAGGGGCAAGCGTCAACCTCGCTTACCTAAAGTCCTCCACAAATCAGAGAAGGCTGTGGAGTTGGATAATCCACTTAGTGGTTGAGGCATGCTAGTGCAGGAAGGTGCATGTCGATTCGATTTTCCCCGTATCTTGTTTCCCCAAAACCCAATCCTGGATATTTACAATAGTACAAATGAAAGGGTCACCTTATAAGATGATATCGAAATCATTCCTCCTTTAAGTTGCGCCGTTTGAGACATTTGAAAAGATAGATAAAAGATTTAAGACCGTGGCATCTTACTTCACGCGGCGCGACCCTGGCAATTTAAAGAATTCATTGTTCCCAATTACACCGATATCTCCGTGTTATCAGACGTCAACCCAGTAAGAGCATACCGTCTATCGCAGTCATAACGAGGAGCTGTATTAGATCAACGAGGCAAACAATTTCATTTGAAACGCTGGACCCGTTGCCCTGGCGCTGAGCGTCGTGCTCTGCAAGCTCATCTCGGCCATGGCAGGTGCTAAGTCGTATGAGCATGTGTAAAATTGAAGCGGTCATTGACCGTCGCCTTTGAGTGGCCAGTCCTCTGTGGTGCGTCCTTTTATATGGAGCTTTATGACTGTAACAAAATGAAACTAACCAAAGTCGGAAGTTCCAGACGCTTCAGGTGAGTATCGGACCGGATTGTGAAGAGTGACGATGTTGGGAAAGTATTGTTGGCATTGCTTCAGAATTCCAATATGATAGAAGTTTTAGAAAACAGACTCTCTTTCTAAGTATGTTTCATGTGGTAAAATCGATTGATATTTGTGATACTCTGATGCCATTTTTATTCAAGTGTCCTGGTTGATACAGATATTGATAATCATTTTATGGTGTAATGTATCTCTGAAAGACAAGTAAGAAGTAGTAACAGTATTTCACAGTTCACATGGCAAGAAGAGTTTAAACGCTACCTGTGATCCTTTTGGAATCGAATGCTCCTATCAACTCTCTGTAGAGATACTGTTCAGCTAGGAATAATACTCTAGTAGGGTACCAGCTTGGAGGGGGTCAGACATTAGTGCCAGGGGATCAAAGATTATATAACTATACTCTAACCCCTACAAATACCGTACTTTCTAACCCCCCAAGAGATTTCTGACCCCGTTGAAAACATTTCGAATTATATAAGCCTTAAGCAAAAGCTTTGAATGTCTTTTAACAAGAAAAATATCACAACCTTGAGAATCCGAAAATTTTTGCATTAGAATTCTTTATTAGAAATTATCTTTACTTATATCGTTTATAATTCAAGACTAAGGGTTTGTATCACTTCTAAAGTCGATGTTTAAAAAGGGCTTAGAACAATTCTAAATTACTTTAGGTTTTTGTAAAGTTATAGGTTCAGCTTTTCTAAACCCCCTCCGAGCTGATAGCCTAACTCTAGTAATAATCTTACAACTTTGTACATAATGAGTCAGCGGAATGTCGGCTGTGGGTTAGGCAATGGATGGAGCCCACTAAGACCCTCTAGGGCTGGTTGGGAGGCACTAACAGATCTGGTACAGCAGAAGAGTAAACTTAAGCTCTTCTGCTTGGATCATCGCCAAAAGAGTATAGTCTGTTGCTTAGCCTGTCTAAGAGATTGAGAATATCCACTTCTTATCAGCATTGACCACCCAAAATCGCAGTGGGTACTCACGGCTCAGCAGATCCACCTGTTGGGTCTGCGATATAGGCTTCAGACTTTTGGTTCTTTACTCCGTACACTAGTAGTCCTATGAGCAGATTGGACACGCCTTCGTGCTTTTGGTTTCCTTTTTTTTTTGTCTTTCTTCCTTCCTTCCTTTTTGTGTCCAATTCTTTTGGTCAATTGTAATTTATCCTATCTTCAACATAGGTGTAAACTAGATCATTCAAGCTATCAGGGGAATAATCAAGAACGGGGGTCTCCCAATCTGCAGGCCCTATTCATAGATCGGACAAAACAAAGGATATTCTGCGGTGTTCGAATCAGTTCGCCGCCCAGGAAATAAACGATTGATAAAAATTGGTTCTCTACGAGACAACGCACAATTTCGCCTGTCAGCGAAGTTGAGTTGTGGCTAAATCGCGAAGTGGGTGGCTTACCTGCTAACGAGGTCATGAAGATTGGCATTCTTTCGTGGGAGGATTCGCTCTAGCATTAGCTACTCCAATAGTATTTCTTTTTGGCTAACTCTAAGCGAGGCTTCTCCTGAGAAGGCATCCATCCTTCCAGCAACCTCTTGACATAAATAGCAGGACACAGAAGTCCATTCCTCTGAACCGGTATCTCTCAACACTACACCTCAATCCTCTAAAAGCCTTTTCCGTTGTTCTTGTGTGTCCTTTTGAGTCGCGATGGTCGGGCTACAAATCCTAAGAGCCATCATTCTCGGCGCGGTGATGACCCAGGCATCGTCAGTGAGCATCCACAATATCACCTTCGCGCACAACTTCGCGACGGAGGCGCTCAATGCCGCGACGCCATATGTCAACCTCTCCGAGTTCGGCTACCACGGTGGCCAGCTGCCCAAGGTCTACGCCCTGAACCAATCCAACCACGGGGTGGACTACCTGCCCGAGGAGAGTTTTGCGGAGTTCCGAGGCATCATCGCCGGCATAAACAACGCCAGCGCGGCATTCAGCGCGGAGCAGGAAGCTCTGGTCGGGACCTCCTCTAGCACCACCACCACCACCAAGCGCACCACTACCAATGCCATCAGCATGCTTCTGCGCAATTCCGCGGGCGAGGGCAATACCTACGCTGTCAAGGCCAACCACAAGATTTGCCATACTGGGACCCATGCCCCGTGGCACTACGTTGTCGTCTACTGGATCAAAGAGGCGTATATCACCTTCTGGAAGAGCGATGCCTGCAACGGCAGCAAGGGCAGCTTCAATCCAGTCTGTGACTACTATGATGATCCCTCCGAGGTCTGCGTCTTCAACTTCAGCCCCAAGTCCTTCCGCGTTTACTCGGGTTGCCACCATAGCTATGGCTGGGGTGATGGCTGTGAGGCGCACACGCTGTGATGGAAGCTTTGGACTTGTTGATGTTTGGATTAGATCCTGAAAAAAAACCCGGAGGATAGCAGGGAGAGGAAGGGTGGAGCAGAGTTGACACGGGATGTTGAAGTTAAGCGAACCAATATGTCTTAGTGAATATGTGTTGCGACTATCCGTTTGTCTTGCGATGTTGTAGACATTCCTTTGTCGTGAGAATCGTGAAGACTACATAGCATCCGATCTTGCATCATGAGCTTGCAGCAGTCTGACCACTGCGTCGTAGCCGAATTCTGCCGCACAGGACAGAGGCGTCTGACCATCCGAATTGGGCACATCTGGACGGGCTCCCTTAGCCAGCAGCAGTCGAACCACTTCTGCGTGCCCGTTGCGTGCTTCCCACCAAAGCGGCGTCTCCCCCATCGAGTCTTGATAGTTGACATTCACACTCTCTGTCGCAAGCAGAAGTTTGGCCACTGCTTCGTGTCCGTTTCGGGCAGCCCACCACAAGGGCGTTTCCCCGTCTTCAGTTAGGCCACCATCCGGGTCTGCCCCTTTCTGGAGCAGAAGCTTCACCACGGCAGCGTGACCATTCTGTGCTGCCCAGAACAAGGGAGTCTCGCCACTCAAGCTTCGAGATTCAGGGTTCGCACCCTGCGTGAGCAGCAACGTGACAATTGTCCCATGTCCGTTCCGCGCGGCCCACCACAACGGGGTCTCTTGATTGGAATTCTGTGCTTCGGGATTTACTCTGTTGGTGGCTAGCAGGAGCTTGACGATGGTCTCTTGCCCATGTTCTGCGGCATACAGCAGGGGCGTCTGTCCGTGTGGTCCCGCGGTATCAGGATTCACTCCCTCCATGGCGAGCAGCCCTGTAACTACATCTTCATGTCCGTGAAACACCTCCCACCAAAGGACTGTTCTGCCCTGAGAGTCTTGGGAAGTTGGATCTATCCCCTTGGTTGCAAGCAAGAGCCGTACCAACGCATTGTGCCCGTTTCGCGCGGCACACAGTAACGGCGTCTCGCCGTTTGAGTCTGGGGTATCCGGGGATACCTTCTGCGTCAGTGCGATGAGAGCTCGAATCACGTTCTCATTTCCAGCCTGCGCAGCCCACCAGAAGCTCGTGCGGTCTTTAGAATCAGCGGAAGTCGCATCGATACCCGGCGTTGTGAGCAGCAATTCGACGACAGCCTCATGTCCCGACTCCGCTGCTAAAGAAAGCGGCGTTCGTCCATCCGAGTTCTTGGAATCTGGGTCCACGCCGTCAACGGAGAGCAGGAACTCAACGATCTCCAGATGACCATTCCGCGAAGCCCACGCGAGAGGCGTGCATCGACCAGCCCCCGCATCATTTGGGTCGACGTGCCTTTCCGCGCAGAGCAGCTTCACCACGGAACAGTGACCATTCCGCGCCGCCCACAGGAGCGGCGAGTTCCCGTCTACATCCTTCCTGCTCGCATCCACGCGATGCGTCGCCAGGAGCGCCGCGACGATTGCCGTATACCCCCGCTCGGCGGCCACCATCAGGGGAGTCTCTCCCCGCAGATTCGGCGTGTCAGGCTGAGTCCTCGCCCAGCCCAGCAGCCGCCGCACGACCGCCTCATACCCCAGTTCCGCGGCGACGAGCAGCGGCGTCTCCCCCCACTCGTTCGGGACATTAGGATCGTTGAGCCCCTCGTGCGCGCGCAGGATCTCGACGACGGCGTCATGGCCGTTGCGCGCCGCAAGCAGCAGTGGGCTCTGGAAATCCCAGTCTTCGAGGTTGGCGTCCACGCCCGGGGTCGCCAGCAAGAGGCGCACGACCTCCGTGTGGCCGTTTTCCACCGCGGAGAGCAGCGCCGTTTGGCCGGACCAGTCTTCCTCGCGGTGGTTGGGATCGACTTTCTCGCCGCCGTCGTCGGCGGCGAGGAGCAGGCTAACGATCCCTGCGTGTCCGTTCCGCGCTGCGAGGGAGAGGGGCTGTGGCTCTTCTGAATCATTCCCTGCGGGAAAGCTGGAATTGCTGCTTCCCGGCGCGAGGAGCAGCAGCCGCCGGACGACTGTTTCTAGGCCGTGCTCTGCCCCATACGATAGCAGGGCGACTCCGTTCGTGAACCCGTCGAGAAAACTCTGCAGCGTCCTCTCGAGCCGTTGGAGTCTTGCTTCGCTCCAGCTGGGGAGGGCTTCGAGGTCTGATAGAGCCCGATCCGCACTGTCATCCTCCGGGCGGGGTGAATCATTGTCGTGCTTGAGATGTGCACGGACATGGGCAAGGAACGAGGTCAGGAATTTTTCTCGGGAAGCGGCATCATTCGCCGCAGCATAGTCATCGAGAAATGCACTGAGGAGTCTCGCTAAGTCGACGATTCCAGTGGTCGTTGTCCACGGGTCTGGAAATTCCTCTTCCTGCGCCAGGCGTCGGAGAATCTCGGCGGTGGACTTCACCTGTTTCGGGCTCAACGACCCCCACTGATTGTTGTTATCGGTATTTTCTGAGAACATCTTGGATTTTCAAATGACTTCTCCCGCGTTCTATGGCTATCTGGGAGGGAATAGACGATAATTTCAAGCGTTGCTGGCTGGTATGTTTTTCGGAATACGTGGTTGAGGCATGTGGTACAGTAGGTAATAGTTACTTATCGATGACTCACTTCCCAGGAGTGGGTGGAGGGGTCTCTTTGAAACGATAGAGCAAATCAGTAACAGCAACAGATCCTTTTCCTTCTTCCAAAGAAGAATGGTTCTATTCTTTGGGGTGAGTCTAAGCAGGGCTATCAGTTCTTAGCTTCTGCTTCTGTGCGGGGCTTTGGAGGCCAAACGCTTAATCGCTAATCCCGTGACAAGATGCTTAGATGGGCGACGCGCGGCCCATGGTAGAGTATGCGGGTTTGAGATACTTGGCAGTCAGGTGGGTCCCCGGCGAAAGAAAGCAATATGACTAGCATGTTGGTGGGTTCACTACCCAGTAGTGCGATATTAGCCCACTAATCACTCGTTATGGGAAGAGGGTTCAAGCGCACTTCCGGATGACATCTGAGAGCTACCATGATTCACCTCCACTGAGCTACTCAAGGACTACACTCAAAGTCGGATATGTGAACCTTCCTAAGCGTGTACGGGCTATCCTTACCAAACGCGCGGTTATAAAGTACATGCATGGTTGACAGAGAAAGTCTACAGATTATGTATGTGTAGACAGCATTTAGTTTTCAACTCTCGACATTCATGAAAAGACCTGTCCATCAGACTGGAAGCAGTGAAGAAAGAAACAAAAAGAGAAACAGTAACGGCAGGCCCTCCTTGTTAAATCATCAATCAAGCTCATAGGTTGCTCGAACTTGACAACCACGCCAGCGCATTTTTCTTGCCTCTAAACCGTCCAAAAAACGAGTACGTATCCCGCGTATGGCACTCATTCATTTCAAGCGGATAAATCACCAACTTCCGCCCATTCCCCTTGATACAGCGATGATGGGGCCAGATCTCCATCTCCAACCACAACGACCCCGAGGGATTCTCGAACTGCACGCTCTTGAACTTGGAGTTGTAGTTGTGACACTCGCCGGCGTATTTCACCTGAAAGTCTTCACTGGCACATTTCTTGTAATCAGACAGGAAGGCCCAGTAGTGCGAGAACGATCTCGCCCCGAGCTGACTACTACTTGCCTGGTCCTCATCCCGCGCCTCCAGGGTCGTCGTCGTGGTATCCGTCTCGTTGGCATCGGATGACGGAAGCGACGAGATTCTGGCGAGCTTCGTACCCACAGGGTGCAGACCCTGCGCGCCTTGCTCGACCAGCCAGGAGACATTGGCCCGGGCTGCGGGAATGCTGCCCGTGTCGTACTCGTGCACCACCGTCCAATCCTCCGCCACCAGGGACATGTTGCTCGCAAAGTGCTGCATGCATCCGAGCAGCGGCTCGTCGGGACCATCGAAGTCGATGGTCCGGTTGCTGGAGGGGTGCACTACCGTCGCTCCCTGGTCGATGTAGAGCATGTATGGAGTGCCACTCTCATCGGTGCTGCTGTAGTTCAGGCAGACGAGGAAGGATTCTCCCACGTGCTCTTGGAGCTTCGTTGGCCCGAGGACGGTGATGATCGTACCGTTCTGCACATTGTCTTTGGTGGCGGCGGTGCCTTGGATGGTTATCGCCGTGACGCCGAGAATGGCCGTCCAGGGTTTGAGCTGCATGGTGGGCCGTTTCGGTTCCTACTCCTGCAGCAATTGCTCCAAAAAAGGTCTCTTAGTACTCTTAAGCTGGACATAAGGACCCGATAATAGTAGAATGGTACGTACAATATGCTGGATCTAAACTTCGTAGAAACTCGGGGACGAAATGCTGCGAGGGGCACAAAGAAAGGGGATTTGGCGAAAGTTATACGGTTTTTTACCGATTCAATTCTCTCTCCCTCTTCCACTGGCCAGCTGCCTCTACCGAAAGAAAGATATGAATGCGGGCGATAAAGCTGGCACTCGCCTAACAAGCTAGTGCCGAATAAATTCATCCTGGTATCGCTGGTGCCGAGCTGAATTAGGGCTGCGTGTTGCGAGGAATCTGGATAGGGGGCTGCTTCCAACTGTCGCGCAAGCACTAAATCCACTCGCTTAGGATGCCGAAGGAAAGAATGCTATGCTAGTGGATATCTGACTGTCGTGAGCTGGATGAGACCTTTCGAAGCTATACTCTAGCGTGGGCGGGTCCTGGGGAGTCTTACGTAACTCACCGTCCGGTGATCATTGACATTGGTTGTTGTAGCTGACCTAGATCGGAGTTCTAGATCTTATGTACATTTAGTCTTGCTGAGCAACTTTCATATACCTTGACCTTGACTGTAAGAATGATCTTTGTCACCCCGTCGATGCATCCGAGGGTTAAGATGTGCCATGCAAACACCAAAAGCTTAGCGTTGACCTTCACCGGTCTCCATATCGAGCCCTGGGTGCATAATCCGGCTGAAAGCTTTTCGCGCTTTCCCTAGAGTTCCTCTCCCTGTTGCTCCGGGCGCAGGGAACAGGGGCGATTACGTGTCATTTAATATCTAGAGTAAATTAGCTTAATCCAGCGTCATTCTTGGAGCCTATCCTTGGGGTAAGTTGACTAATGAACGTATTCGGTAAGCGGGTGGTGACCATAGCTCACGAAGGAAGTGTATAAAGTGAGTGAGGCACCGAAAATGGGATCAGCGTACCTTTGGGTCCGAAAGTAAAGCATCAACATCGACTATTCCACTTTGCTCAGCGTCGCCGCATGCTTTCGACAGGGCATCAAGCATTACATTGCCTTCATATAGGCGCATGGCGATACCTGCTGGAGGAAACTGCTAGAGCCAAGACATTGGCCGAATTATGCTAGATTACAGCAAATTACTTACGCTTCTTTTTGTCTTGTCTAAGACCATCAGGCAGAGACTCGTCGCGGTTGATTTCACCGCTGAGCAAGTTGAAAGGACAGGGCCCATACTTTGCTCGTCGGTTTTTAGCGACAAAGGACCGCGTCAGCTGCGAGTTTGCTTTTTTCTTTTTTCCGTTTGCCGAACAACATCTAAATTATATAGTCGCCGCGCTATGCTGATTTGTAGCGCCTGAATATCCTGCTAACATTGGATTTATCACATCATGAGTTAACAGCCGGTCATGGTGTAGAAGGAAAGACCATAAGGAGGAGGGGGTATAGTGATATTCTTACTAGGTAAGAAGGCCAAACGCGAGATTATATAGAAGCTTGAGATCCCTAATCTTCCTAAAACTGTTTCCCAAATTGTTATGTTACATTTTATAGAGTAGTCAACTGTAGGTCAGGTAAGGTAGAAGTGCCATCAATCTTACTATAAAACCACGCTATACCTAAGCTTGCAGAAGAATCGCTATTCTGTTAGATCAGTAAATATCAATCAGATCTAGTATTCTCTATTTAATTTCCTCTTTAACTGTAAGACCAGATAGAGTTTAAAGAGAATTTGCCACTTTTATATAAATAGTCAAGTAGTCTACATACTAACTCACTACTACATAAATAAAGCAGGTAATGTAGATTTTCAAATTAACAAATCCTGTTCTGTATCATACCAAAGAAAGTAAGATCTATCTGCAGCTTATAGTTGTGCTTACATAGTAGAATTTAGGACTGCTGTCGGTAGAGAACTAGTAGTGGCACCTGTGTCGCCGTAGATGGCCTGTATAAGCGGCGGTCACATGATGTGAGAAATTACCTTAGCTGGCCCTTCTCACCACCATCTTTCTCTTTGTGGAGGTACTTTACCAATCAAATCAACAAGTTGAATGGCTCTAATTCCTCGCTGCTTTGGTGTACAAACCCCCTCCATCGAGAACCTGGAACTTTGAGCCGTCGGCCGGTCCTTGGTCTGTCACACTGCCTTATGGGACAAAAGGGCAAAGACAGTGCTACCAGAATGTCGTGTTTTCTTACGACTGTATTCAGGGCTCATCTGTTGTATATAGGAATTCCCGCATGCATGACAGCAACAGTCGAAGGTTAAATACCCCTCCCTAGCTACAGGAGTCCAAAAACGCAAGACGGTCGCGCTACTCGTCCTCATTATGGTCATCAAACGGCCAGTGTCGATTCGTTATTTCGCGCTCCTGGTCTGTGTCAAGTGAAGCAAGGCCATCAATTTTCGCCTGGCGGGCACGAGCACAGGCGGCTTCATTTTCTTCCAGAGGGGTCCAACCGTCCACGCCGATGCCAATAATATTGCGAATCTGTTTGTGAAATATCAACCTCTTCCTGCTCGCGTTGTAAGTGCCTGATGGAATCAACCTTGCTCGTGGAGAATGATATCGGACACGGGCGGTGTGAAAACGTGTGCCAGCATCTAGTAATTAGAAATCGTTAACACAAGGTTGAGAACTACCTAAAAAGATAATAAACAAGAAAAATCTTGAGTGTTAGGAGTATATTACATGAAAAGCGTTACGTCTATATACCATTTATACTGTTTCAATACAACGATATCTACTATATAACGATTCCAAGGGGCCTCACCAATTATATCGGTTATAACGAGGGTTTACAGTATGAAGTGCTGAGGATGATGAGACCTCCGCTATCCGAGGTCGGGTCTATCCGTTGTCGGATCGGATCACGGCTAGTGATGGCTTGGGCCATTGCTCCAAGCCGAGGGCTGAAGGTGCTCGGCAATTATCAACATGCCTTTTGCATCTCAATGTAGTCCGAGGTGAGTTCCTGACTAGCCGCGCGTTGGTATAAAACAACGGTGGTTACCATGTTATCCGACCGGCATCTGCAGAAGAGAGTTCACACGCAGTATTGCATGCCCTTCACACTTTCTTAGCATCCTTGCTACAATTTGCCATTTGAGGAACACAGCAACACATTACCATTCAAAAGACAAGCACCATGCAAACGAATGAGCTACAAGAAGTGGCGTTGGCCCTGCGCACCGCGCGCGACAATCGAGCCCCCATCACACCACCCACCAAGACCTGGCCCGCTCTTGACGCGGACTCGGCTTTCGAGGTACAGCGACTGAATGTCCAGCACGCCGTCAGCAATGGTGATCGCTTGGTCGGTTACAAGCTCGGAAACATAGCCAAGGTCATGCAGGACGCGTTTGGCCTCGATCAACCCGACTACGGCTTCCTTCTGGCCAGCACCTTTCTCTATGAGAGCACCACCCTTCATCTCGACCACTATATCAAGCCCTACGTGGAGCTGGAGCCTGCTTTTGTGCTGCGCAGCTCGCTCCGCGGTCCCAATGTGACGGTAGCCGATGTGATCAACGCCATTGACTATGCTATTCCTGCCATCGAGATCATTGACTCTCGGGTGGAGAATTGGGCGATCGATCTGCCCGACACTCTGGCTGACAACGGCTCCACTGCCAATGTCATTCTCGGCGGCACTCCTCGGAAGCTTACAGATCTAAAGAGTCTGCGGGATGTGCGGGGTACGCTTCAGTTTAATGGTCGGGAGGTGATGGATGGAAACACGGGGAATGTGCTGGGTAACCCCCTGTCGGCAGTGGCCTGGTTGGTGAATCGACTGGCTGCATACGATATTGAATTTCAAGCCGGCCAGGTGATTCTCCCTGGCAGTTGTCTCCAGGCCGTTCCGATGGATAAGCCGGGGAAGTGGAGGTGTACTTTTGAGGAGTGGGGCACTATCGAGTTTGACGTCGCGTGAGCGTGTTTTGTCTTTGTGTAGTCAAGGCGGGGTAAATAGATAGAATTCGATTTCTTCTGGATTTGTTCAGTATCGACCATACCTTAAATCAATCGCAAGTACCAGGTACCTAATACATTTGTTATAATTGGTGCAGCAAATAGAGTTAGCCGGGTTTACCGGCTCTCACCAGACTTTCTTGATCGGGATGATAGGAGAAGATCCTCTCGTATCGAAATCAACGCTAACAGCGAGCACTAGCCCTAATTGAGCACTGATCGGCCATATCCTGCCACTAAGTTAATTAGTTATCTGAGTTATCTGCGGGGAAGGAGTCAACAACCAGCAGCCACCCGTTATTCCCCGCGATTGCCAACTTCGCCTTCGGCTTTGCCAACTGTTCTTTTTATCTCCATCGATCATGCCATCGCCCCAAGCCAAATTTGTGAGCTCCTGCACAATATAGATGATAGTTGCACGGCCATCAATTGCAATGACGACTGAGGGTAGGACTGAGCGCCGCAAATTCCGAAGGACTGCTAATGCGTAAGGGCCCCCACACCCTCCCCGCCGGACTCCTCCCACTAACATCCGAGACAGCTGCATCCCATGCCGGCAGAGTAAAATTAAATGCTCCGGGAATCAGCCATGTGGGAATTGCCAACGACGCATGGTGAACTGTCGATTTGTGGATAGTGGCCATAGGATAATCATTCATCAACCCAGCAATACCTCTTCCTTTGAGATAAACAGTCATTCATTAGGTGAGGGACCTGAGGACCTGAGAAACCTCCCAACTTTGCAACCAGCTCATGAGACTGACCTGGCGCGCAGGAGCCAAGCGACCCGCAAGTCTTGCTTTTGTTTCAGATGGCCATGAGAATTGCCCTGATGAGCTGCTCACTCCTCCTTCTCTCGTTTCTCAGCATTTCGATTCAGCGCCATACATAGGAGCGCAACGACCTGCCGAGTTGTCCAATTCAACGGTCGACGGCGCGCGCAGTATTTGGACAAGTCCATTCACACTCCCCTCGAGAACTATCAAGAACACCCAGAGGAACAAGCGCAACTGGGGTGAGTTACTATGCTTTCGGCCTGTCGGTGTCAACTAACCAAGAATGGCGCAGTTTGGCTGGCACCCTCATCAACCTGGTCCTTTACTGCCAGACTCACCCTCCTTCTAGCTGAGAAGCTCGAGTTAGACTCTCCCTACAGCGCCCCAAACTTTTCAGGAGAGGACATCTATATCCTCCGATGGAAATCATGCCCACCCGACGACCCCCCCGACATCAGCGGGCTACCGTCAATCGATCACGCTCTCTACCTGTTCAACACTGTCAAATTCCACCTCGGTCAAAGCTATCGCTTTCTCGACGAAGCCACATTTGTCGAGCATCTACAGGAGTTCTACCACGGGAACGCAGCCGAGAAAGCTGCTGCATCGCGTTTGTGGTTCGTGCAGTTTCTCCTCGTCTTGTCCTTCGGGAACGCCTTTCTCTCCTCCCGCTGCAAATGCACCACCGAGCCGCCAGGGTCAAAGTTCTTTATCCGCGCGATGGCCTTGATGCCGGACCACGCCTCCGTCTGGAAGGACAGCCTAATGGCCATTGAAGTGCTGGCCCTGGCAGGTCTATATCTTTACTCGATTGATCACAGGGAGTCCGCCCATGTATACGTAAGACCCTCCCTACCTCTGTCTCGGGACCTGATCTGAAGAATGATATAGCTCGGCCAAGCCATCCGCATCGCGCAGCTTGAAGGCCTACACACGCAACTCCCAGAGGAAGAGATTGGACTCCAGACGGTCGAGCGGTGCCGCAACCTGTGGTGGACACTGTACATTATGGACCGACACTTCTCCTGCTCATTGGGGATCCCCATGTTGACGCGGGATAGTGATATCACCACCGTTCTGGATTCGCCCAGCGCGTGCTCGCAACGCGATGCGACCCTGTGCTTGCAGGTGCGGTTATCGCATCTGTTGTCTTTTATTCTTACCAGTGAGCTTTTGACCTTTTTGTCGCTTGATGCTATAATGACGGCTAATGGTCCCGTCCAGCAATCTACAAAACCCAGAAAACGCAGCTCGGGACGTTCTTGGACAAAACCAAGTCAATCCTGCAGACGCTCGCGGGCCACGCACGGGAGATTGAGAAAATCATCTACCGGAAATTCCAAAACTCGATTGATACGATGCCTCGGGGGACGCGGCATATTACGCTTTTGTATCATCAGGTTCGTGCCTTTCCTCCTCTTCTTGGAAAAAAAGAAAAACAGGATAGCCCGCAGTATCCAGCCCAACAAGAATTATCCGGACTAATACCACACAAAAGTGCGTAATGGTCGCCACCCGCCCCCTTCTCCTCTCCGTCCTTAAGGAGAGACTCGATACCCTGACCGAAGGCGACGAGGACTGGCAGACGATCCTCGCGCCGACCAAGACCCTGATCGCGACGGGGATTAAATCCGCGGCGAAGACGCTGCAGATCCTGTCAGATGAGGATAGTCCGCTCGGTAGGCCCCCTCCCTCAAAGTTCTTACTGGGAAAAATATCGCCTCACCACAGTGGCTTACCCCAATGTGTAGAAGTCTTCCTCCCCTACGACCTCGAATTCACTTACAGCGCCGCCATCCACCTCGCCATGGCGCAAGCACTCTTCCCCCTCGACCCCAACGAGCACGGCACACGGGGTATCCAGAACGCCCACACTATTCTGTCTGAGATGGCGAGCAAGGGCAACCGACTCGCCGAGAACCGTTCCAGGGAGTTAGTCTACTTGGAAGGACTGTTCGCGGAGCTGGCGAAGCGCATCGAGCGGCGCGGGTTGCTGACGCTCTCGCTCTGGAATACTCCGCAGCAGCTGCAAAATCAAGAGGACTGTGTAACCGGGAACACGGCCGAAGGGACCGGAGGCGGGGAAACGTTGACTACGCTGGAAGCTGGGAGGAAGGAGTCAAGTGAGCCCACCGTACCGGGGCATGAAGCGGGTGCGCCGGCTGGAGAGGACCCTTTCTGGTCGTCCCCGTCGGCCCCGACGCCCACTACGAGTAATCTGGAGTTGTTGGATAATATTGGGATTTCGTCGTATGAGTTCCTGTCGATTGTGGAGCAGATTGGGAGGCAGGAGTATCATAGTATTCTGGATACGGGGGCGGGGATGGGGTGATTTCTGGGTGGAGTGGTGGTAGCATTGTGACTACTAATCAAATGACTTGACTGTTTGTGATACGTGTGCGAGCTTGGAGATAACTTCTTGTCGCTGTGAATTAGGTTACTGGACTTATCGACTACGGTAATAGTGCTTTCTGGTAGCGATACGTGTTGAGGTGGGGATGAGTCTAAGTATGGTAGTCATAGCTTCGAAGTATGAGAGAAATTACGGTGCGTCTGGGCAATCGCTAGCTTAGTGGACTAAAGCTGCTTTCGTCAAATTAAGCTCTTACTTACATCCCTCGGATAGCAGGGATCGGATACATGATCTTCAACCCCTCCTCTCGGGTCGGATGCTCGGGTTCGTGATAACCATCCGAGGAAGGCCCCGATAAGCCCCCCACCAATTCTCAGATAGTGTAGTGGGACCAACGAGGGCGATTGTCATCACGAGACATGCGTCAGAGAAACAGACGCTGAAACTTTGCGGGGAATTTACTACCAGACGTGATCATCGCAAGCAGCCGACATGCGAAGAGAGCCGAGGATTTGAAGTATGCGATCGGGATGGAGACCCACGGAGGGGCTAGTTGAATGGCGGGGGATCAGAATATAGATGTATAGCTGTTCTATAAATCACTTCATCTTTCAGTCTGGAATTTCTATCCTTCAGATACTATCAACAACAAGTTCTCAAGCAACAATCATCACATCCCACACCATGGCTCCAGCTGCACTCATCCCTCCCACGGCGCCGGTCGTGATCGGGCCTGCTACGAAGAAAGCGACTCGTCCCAGCAAGGCTTTACCCCAGAGTCTCATCGATGGAGCCAGACTTAGCACCAAAGAGCCCTTCACGCCCGAGAAGCATCTGGCTTTCCAGTCCCCCGCAAAGATCTACACCATGAAAGACATCGGCCTCGAAGGCCACGGCATCTCGCCAAACGCAGTTACCGACCCATTCCCCCTGTTCACGGAGGAAGCAATCAAGCAAATGCGCGCGGAGATCTTCAGCGAACCTGTGCTAGAGAAATGTCAATATTCCTCAACATTCAACAAAAACATGGTCCGCGGAATGGGGCCTGCGTGAGTTATCCCACCCCACCACCCGTTTGTCACCATGCAACGAACCCAGCTGACAGTGCACTGTGCATCGATCCAGGCTCGCCCCCTTCACCTACGACGCATGGCGTTCGCCCGAACTCATCGCCAAGATCTCTGAAGTGGCCGGCGTCGACCTCGTGCCATCCATGGACTTTGAGATCGCCAACATCAACATCTCCATCAACGACGAGCACGACCGCCTCACCCCCGACAACGTGCCCGACACCGACCAGCTGTCGGCGGTGGCGTGGCACTACGACAGCTTCCCGTTTGTCTGTGTGACGATGCTGTCCGATTGCACCGGGATGGTCGGTGGGGAGACGGCGCTGCGAACGGCGACGGGCGAGATCATGAAAGTGCGGGGGCCCGCCATGGGCACGGCGGTGGTGATGCAGGGCCGCTACATCGAGCATCAGGCGCTCAAGGCGCTGGGCGGCCGCGAGAGGATCAGTATGGTGACCTGCTTCCGGCCACGATCGCCCTTCGTGCGCGATGAGACCGTGCTCACCGGAGTGCGAGGCATCAGTGATCCGTCCGAGATGTATACGCAGTATATGAGCTACCGCATGGAGATCCTGGAGGAGCGGGTCCGGGCGCGGTTGCAGACGGAGAGGCGGCGGGAGCTGGGGAAGCGTCCGTTTGATGTGCAGGAGGCTAGGGGGTTTTTGGTGGAGCAGATTCAGTTCTTGGAGGCGATGTTGGGGGAGCTTGTGGATGTGTCTGGCGATTAGAGAGGTGTGTTGTGGGTGTATGCTTCTGGAGGACGGCGGTCTGCATGGCTGCTCTTCCCGACTAAAGTATGAGTGAATGCTAGCAGTTTTCAGTTTTCAGTTTCCAGTTTTGAATATCGAGAAAGATAAGTTCCTAGCTGGTCTTGTTGCTGTCATCCCTCTGTAGCCTTGATTTCTCTGCTGATGGCAAGGCAGACTGTTGGCGCAAGTGTTGTTTGTTCTTTTTGTTTGTACAATGACGGCGGTTACCCGTTTGGGCACCCGCTCTTCAGGCTCCCTCTCAGGCACCCAGGCTGCCTCGCTGGTTTCCCCTCTTCAAACCTCTCTCTCCGTCTCATCCATCACCATCGTCATTACTCCTCATTTCCATCCCCGTCCTCATCCTCACCCTTATCCCCACGTTTGGCTTTTCGTCAGCAGCTTATTCTTCCTTTATTCTTACTTACGAGCTTAGCACCAGCGGTGAGCCCCTCAGTCCAACGGGACGGTTACCTCACCTGAGATCCAGACCGGCCGATTAGTTTGCTATTGGTTCACTCATGGATATATAGACCGTACCCCACACCACCTATCTCAGAGCCTCCCTCTTCACTTCTCATCTCTTTCACCTAAATCATCATCATCATCATCATCATCATCATCTTTTATTCTCTCACTCTTCCAACTGTTTGAGTCCGTCTGTCATTCAGCACTGTCCTCTCTCATTACTTCGTGTCCAAGTCGGCGGGGTATCGCCTGTCATATCCTTCGGTTCCAAGGGGACGAACGCGCCCGACCCACCGCGAAGCGCCAAACCCGAGGGGGTGGAGCAGCCCACTTTCTCCGGTGGGAGTCAAGCTACAGCTCATGATATAACAAATCCTCAACGGCCTCTAGTACCCGTTCCTGTCGCTTGTTTGCTTGACCTTCTTTCCAATCCCATTGGAACTTGTGCCCTGCTCTGACTGATTTTGATTTGCCTCACGTCAGCTCACATCCATCATGTCTGATTCTCGAGGTTGGCAACAACAAGGCCGTGGTAGAGGCAGTGACCGTGCCAGAGGTGACCGTGGTCGGGGAGGAGGTGGTGACCGCGGTCGTGGAGGCCATCGTGGAGGTCGAGGCGGCGGAGGTGGTGGTCGTGGAGGTGGACGCGGCCGCGGCTCTTTCGACCTTCCCTTCCGACCTGGAGACGATGGGAGGGGCGATAGCAGGGGTCGTGGCCGTCCCAGAGCTTCCGATGGATTTCGTGGCGGTCCCGCACCACGCGGCGGACGAGCTGACTATGACGGCCCGCCAGTCTTCTCCCCTGGCGGAGACCTCAAACCCAGCTCCCAGGTCGAAAAGCAGGAGGATGAGATGTTGAAAGCATTGGTCAAGGCACCGCCCTCGCCCGAAGACAGAAAATACCCCCTGCGTCCCGGCTACGGTACACAGGGAAAGCGAGTCGACTTATTCGCCAACTATCTTCACCTCAAGTCGATCGGCAAAACCCTCCACCGCCATCGCGTCGAAATTCTCGAAGACCACTCCGTCAGGAGACCTACCGGCAAGAAGGCGAAGCAAGTCGTCAAACTGTTGATTGAGGAGCACTTTGCTTCGCAGCGAAATGGCGTTGTCACCGATTTCGTCTCCACTCTCATCTCCCGGGATAAGCTTCTGGAGGAGGGCGAGAATGATCGCACGTATGACGTCCGCTACCGGGATGAATACGACGATGAATATCCAGAGCCATCAAAGGTCTATCGGGTCAACTGCCAGCACACCGGCACTCTCGAACCGTCTGATCTCTTGGACTACTTGACCTCGGCCAGTGCGACGAATATGTTCGACAAAAAGCCAGAAATTCTTCAAGCTATGAACATCGTCCTGGGCCATCAGCCCAAAATCGACCCGAACATCCACTCAGTGGGTGCCAATAGGCACTTTGCCATCGCTCACGGTCAGAAAGAGGGTTACAACCTCGGAGATGGGCTAGAGGCTCTTCGTGGATTTTTTGTGAGCGTCCGTGCTGCAACTAGTCGCCTGCTCGTCAATGTCCAGGTCAAATATGTGGCCTGCTACCAGGAGGGCGCGCTAGCGGCTTTGATAACCAGTTATCAACAACCCAATCGTTTCGAGTTCCACTCCCTGCAACGTTTCTTGAAGAACTTGAGAATCCGGGCAACACACATCGAACGCTCAAACAAGCGGGGAGAAGTCATTCCACGATTTAAGAGAATCGCTAGTCTGGCTAACAGGGGAGATGGCGCATCGCTGCCACATCCTCCGATAGTCCCTCGTCTGGGGGCCGGTCCCAATGATGTGAAGTTCTGGTTGGACGAAGCTGGCCAACAGTCATCGCAGCAGCAGTCCGCATCCTCGAAGAAGAAGAAGAAGGGCAAAAAGCCAGTCACAGCGGGGCCTCCGTCGGCTGGAAGATACATCAGTGTGGCGGACTTCTTCGAGGAGCGTTACGGTATGACAAATCTAGATTCCCGAATGCCAGTGATGAATGTCGGGACTCGCGAGAATCCTAGCTATCTGCCCGTCGAAGTCTGCAACGTCGAACCTGGGCAGCAAGCTAAGACCAAGCTGAGCCCCTTTCAGACAAGAGAAATGTTAAAATTTGCAGTCAATTTTCCGCCAGTCAACGCTCAGTCGATTGTGAATAATGGAACTCGCATCCTCGGGCTCGGTGCTGCTTCAAATGCTACTTTGAAAGAGTTCGGCATCCAAGCAGATCCCCGACTCATCACAGTGCCCGCCCGCATCCTTGATGCCCCTCAGATCTTCTACAGAGATGCGAACAACAAAGAGAAGAGACTCCTGTCCAGCGGTGGCAGCTGGAATATGAGGTCTATTAAATTCTCGATCGGCTCAACCTTAGGTTCCTGGGCCTGGCTTTTCTTGGACTCCAACCCAACTAGAGCCCCCACGCGCGAGGTACGGGGGGCCGCCCTGGAACACTTTGTGACGAAGCTGAGAGAGGTCGGGGTTCAGGCTAATCTCCATACAGGCGGAGAGCACCTTGTTCTCGCTCGCGGTGACCTGGATCATCAGATTGGTGGCGCTGTCGAGAGACTGATGGCCGCTCATAAGCCTAACATGATTCTTGGCATTCTTACCGACCAAAGCACGGAAGTTTATAACTGCATGAAGCGAGTCTGTGACGTTCGGGTGGGTGTCCGCAATGTGAACGTGCTTGTTAAGAACTTTACGAGCGAAAGGGGCCGCGAACAATACCTCGCCAACGTCGGCCTGAAGGTCAATCTGAAGCTTGGGGGTGTGAATCAGCTGATTCCTAGAGAGCTTGGGATAGTGAGCAAGGGCAAGACTATGCTTGTTGGTATCGATGTGACCCACCCCTCTCCCGGGTCCTCCTCAAAAGCCCCAAGTGTTGCGGGAATGGTTGCCTCGATTGATTCCCACTTGGGTCAATGGCCAGCAGAACTTCGGATCCAGACATCGCGCCAAGAGAGGGTCAGTGAGTTGGACGAGATGCTGAAAGCTCACCTCGGCCGGTGGGCTAAAATCAACAAGGGTCAGTATCCGGACAACATCATTGTCTACCGCGACGGAGTATCTGAAGGGCAGTATGAAATGGTTGTCGAAGAAGAACTACCCCTCCTCAAGAGCGCTTGCAAGAAGCTGTACCCAGCAACAGAGTATGCCAGAGGGCTACCACGGATTTCGGTCGTGATAGTGGGCAAGCGGCACCACACGCGTTTCTATCCTACGCGTGAAGAGGACGCCGATGGCCACTTGAATCCCAAGAATGGCACTGTAGTCGACCGCGGTGTGACGGAAGCCCGCAACTGGGAGTTTTACCTACAGGCTCACACTGCTCTCAAGGGCACTGCTCGCCCGGCGCACTATTTCACTGTTTGGGACGAGATCTTCTGTCGAGAGAAACCCAAGGAAGGGCAGAATACAGCTGACATCCTGGAAGACCTCACGCACAAGATGTGCTATCTGTTCGGACGGGCGACTAAGGCCGTGAGCATCTGCCCTCCTGCATATTATGCCGATCTGGTTTGCGAGCGAGCGCGATGCTATTTGTCTGATCTGTACGATGCGACGTCGACAGGTAGCGTGATCACTGACGTTGGAGGTGGTGCTGAAGCTGTGGACGGCGACAGGGTTACCATCCACAGCGCCGTCAGGGATACGATGTTTTATATTTGAGGCTTTCTTGGCAATTGGGGTACAGGGAATGCTGAGTGATGTCCCGGATGAGATCTTGGGAGATGCTTCTTGGATGTGACAATGTGCGGTTGTTGTAGCGAGCAGCTCTGTGTTGAAAGTACAGTCCTGTGGGACGGAGACGGTTCATATGCTGGTCATATTTCGGGTTTCTATTCAGATACGGCTTTGGTTGCACACAGAATGACATAGATTAGTGACTGCTTTCTGATTATTATGTTGCTCATGCCATTTTGGACTGGAGGAAGAAGTCATTCAGTAACAGTGGTAGATTGGTCTAGTCTATGCCAAGTGACTTAGTCAAAGGTAATACGGCATGTACTGATGTTTCACCCTCTCCTGGCTGTATCATACAGCAATCCTATCTCTTGGAATATGCTGTCTAATTCAGCTGAATGCATCGTCAAGTACTAAGCACACAAAGACTCAATTAGCTACTATAGTACCTAGCGCGATGGACCCCTCGTCTAGACACATTGTCCGACTAAAGTTGTTAACCTAGTCAAGTTAGAAGTGGATGCGACCCGCACCGCAAAGCTTATCGGTCGGTTCGATTCTAAAGCTATCTGCTGGTGTATTGAATGTATAGCATGCATGCGCATTGGGGACCATTCAAATTGGATCTTTACTTTCGGAATGTGACAGGGGTACTTTCTTTTGTTCGTCTTGCGATGACATGGACGCTGTGTCAATGGCTTTGCCGGTTCTTTCTGTCTAGATGACTGCCCTACGTACGTTCTAGACGCGACTATCCTTTACCCACTCACTCCTAGACTCGCAAGAGTAGCTTGATTCATGAAAATGTCCAGTCTGAAATTATAATACCGTAGCTAACATCACAAGAAAATGAGAAGAAGAGCGTTAATTCAATAACCGTTTCCATCTTTCCGAAACACCGGTCCAGCCGATCTACAGCTTAGCCGCGGGGGACGCACTGCCCGCCGAGGAGATCTCATTGTACAAGAGAGTGGTCAGGAAGTCCGCGTAGTCCTCGCCGGTGACCTGACCGGCGAAGTAGCGGGCGGCCTGCTGGAACTTGTTGCCGACGGGGCCCTTGGCAGCCAGGTCGTCGGCCTGCTCCTGCAGCAGGCGCAGGGCGTAGGCCTTGTCGACCTTCTTGCCGTCGGAGGTGGTGATGCCGTGGTGCGTCCATTGCCAGAGTTGACTGCGCGAGACTTCGGCGGTGGCGGCGTCTTCCTATTTTGGGTATTAGCATTGGTTGGGTGTGGGTATTAGGGGTGTCAGCTGTCAGCTTAAGGTAGATAAAAAACTTACCATGAGGAAGTTGATGGGGATACAGCCCACACCCCGGAGCCAGCCCTCCATGTACGACAGGCCGATGTTCAGGTTCTTGCGGATGCCCTCCTCGGTGATCTTGCCGGGAACATTGGTGTTCAGGAGGTCGTTGGCGGTGATGTTGACGTCTTCGCGGCGCACGAAGAGCTGGTTCGGGGTGGGCATGTGGGTGTTGAAGACGTCCGAGGCGATGGCCGCCAGCGCCGGGTGGGCAACCCAAGTCCCGTCGTGGCCCGCCCGCACTTCCCGCAGCTTGTCCGCTCGCACGCTCTCCATCGCCTTGTCGTTGGCTGCCGCGTCGTTCTTAATCGGGATCTGGGCTGCCATGCCGCCCTGGTGGGGAATTAGCATGTTTCCATCACTGTGTGTTTCGATTGCTTTGAGAGCCAAAAACTTACCATAGCGTGGACACCTCTCCGGTGGCAGGTCTTAATCAACAGCTTCACGTAGGCATCCATGAACGGCACCGTCATGGTGACGTCCGAGCGATCCGGCAGCACGAAGTTGGGGTGCTTGCGGAACTTCTTGATGAAGGAGAAGATGTAATCCCAGCGGCCGCAGTTCAAGCCGGAGCTGTGGTCCCGGAGCTCGTAGATGATCTCGTCCATCTCGAAGGCGGCGGTGATGGTCTCGATCAGCACGGTGCCGCGGATCGTGCCGCGGGGCATGCCGATGTAGTCCTGGGCGAGGTTGAAGACGTCGTTCCACAGGCGCGCCTCCAGGTGCGACTCCATCTTGGGCAGGTAGAAGTACGGCCCGAACCCGCGGGCCACCAGCTCCTTGGCGTTGTGGTAGAAGTACAGGCCGAAGTCGAACAGACTGCCGGAGATGGGCTCGCCGTCGACGGTGAAGTGCTTCTCCTCGAGGTGCCAGCCTCGAGCGCGCGCGATCAACGTCGGCAGCACCCGGTCCGTCCGCAGCTTGTACTCCTTGTTGCCTTGCTTGAAGTCCACCTGCCGGCGGATCGCGTCGTAGAGGTTGACCTGGCCGTTGATCATGTTCTCCCAGGTGGGGGCGCTGGAATCTGTTCAACGGGCTTTAGCACTTTCTAGGAAAACAATAGTGGGAAGGCCAGGAAGGTGGCGTACCCTCGAAATCAGCCATGTATGTCCAGACATCCGAGTTGAGCGCGTTCACCACCATCTTCCGGTCAGTGGGACCTGTGATCTCCACCCGACGGTCGACTAGGCCAGGGGCCGGGGGAGCGCCCTTCCAGGCGTCATTCTCGCGGATGTGCTTGGTTTCGGGGAGAAAGTCGGGCAGGTGGCCCTTGTCGATCTCAGCTTGTCGGTCGATGCGGCGTTGGAGGAGAGCTTTGCGGGTGGAGTTGAAGGCGCGGTGGAGGATGGCAAGGAAGACACAGGCGTCTTTGGTGAGGATCTTGCGAGCTTCGGTGCTCACAGTGCCCAGGATGACCACGTCCTTGAGCTGGGCCTCGGATTGGCTCATGGTGAAGACTTTGGTAACAGAAACTTTGACACAGATTTCTAGTTGAGTCGATAGGGGAGAAAGAGTATGGAAGGGGTTGTGGTATTAGTGTTAGATCACAGCTTAAACACATAAAGTTCCAGCTCTGCTATGGAAGGAGGGACAAGCAAAGTATATAAGTCCAACCCCCAGAATCTTATCGGAGGGCAGGAGGTGGGCTCGACGACGTCAGAATCCACAGACAGCCGCGGCCCATGGGAAGTTCGGATTATCCATGGTCGCGGGGTACCGCCGATAATGGAGAGATACTTTCCTACCAGCAATTGCCATCAGATAGACTCAGGAATGAGTCTGGGTTGCACCCACTCGCACCCACTGTAATCACCACGTGACTTCTCCGCGGAGAACTGGTCCTTTCGGCCGACTGGACCCGATTGGGGCTGGGGTTCCCCGCCCGGCACGCGCCGGCCACCGCCTCCGATTCGGGCCTTATCGTTTCTGATGACTCGATACATTCACCTCTAACTTACCCTTTGATATAGCTGGATCCCTCCCCGAAAAGCTCTGATATGTGTGAAGGATGTTGAAACTGAGCCAGGGCTTATGGAGAGATGGTCTCTCGTCCGAAAGCATTGGCATCAACTAACTGGACTAACCTAACTAACGCTACAATGTCCCAAGACCGTTTATCAGTTCTCTGCGCCCTTTTTCCATCCTACCGAGGATGTGCGCCCTCGATAAGCCTTCCTCATCTCCCCGCATGTCCGAACAACCTCCACCCAGCCGCGGCTGCACCAGCAAACCATCCACCTCGCTGATGCTGGCACACACGTCGATCATGCTCGGTACTTTTCGGAATCCCCATATCCACCTACCGATCGATTCCGATCAGAGTCACAACTGTTTTCGCAACGACGGATGCTTTGAAGCGGTCTTCGCCACTCTCTAACGAATACGCCCTGCCAGGTCCATCGAAGAAGTCTGCGGTTTTCCAACGGGCGCATGAAATACACAGAAGCTCCAAAAACTTCTTCCCGCCCAACCCCACAGGAGATGCGACCAGTCCGATGCCATGTTCCAGCTCACGGACATGTGAATGCATGTGATTCTGCGGCATACTTCTAGGGGCGTTCTCAATAAGTAACTGGGCTCAATATCTGGGGTGCCACGCGCCGCTTACCCACCATGAGTTCCGGAATGTGGACGAGACACTTTCGGAACATGCAGGATAAAAAGTTCCAGCCTACACGCAATCATGACACAGCGCTAATGTGTAGCTCGGGGGTAAGGCGTGATCATGCTACTCATAAATTCTGCGACCACTGTTGGATGGATTTATGCCAGCACTGCCGTGTCTGCACCTCTGCTCACTGACATCGGAGCTATGACCACCTGCGAGCTCCAGTCGTTCCCCCACTCTCCAGCATTATTTGCTGAAGGGGGTGCGTCATCTGGCTTCTCGTGGTGAAGCTCAGACCCCCGCCACTGGCAATGTGGAAGCGATTAGTAGAGGACCTTACGCTCAGGTCTATTAAGCTCTGTAGAAATGCGTACATCAGTATCCCAGTCAGCTGAATTATGCTCAGACGGACTGCCCCAAGACCGCAACTTCCCACAAGATATTGAATGAGATACAAGTAATAATCGCGAAGGAGGGCATACTATCATAGGCACCTTCGACAAGATTCGACGTCTTTGTTTCCAGAATCGAGATCTCGAATCGGGGGTTGTACTGATCGCCCACGGCTCCAGTAACATTCAACGCCCTTGACAATTCAATTGACTTTCCAGCTTAACAGGAAGCTCCCACAGGCAATTACTCGTAATTTCCACCGGTGAATATATAAATAACACAGTTGCAAGCCATGTAGCCGAACCTGAAGGAATTGTGCTGGGAATATTACGTTCTCAGAACATGTTATTCTACTCCATAAGTATTGGAACATGCTACAGGAAATACAAGGCATATCTTAGTAGAGATGATCTTGTGCCCTGTGTTATGTGTATACTGGTAGAACCTACTCGAGGCCTTCCAGAAGGCGAAAGCACACTAAATTTAGCTCTAATCGGCTTCCGGCGGGGAAGCTGCTGACTCAGCCGGCCCAGGGTCCATCACGAGAATCACGCGGGGCGATCCTTTGTTTTCTCTGCCACCACATCAACCTCAACACCAACAGTCCATGCCGGTCGCGTGCGTGACAAACTCTAGAACTACTTCAACATGGGATCTAAGACCCCCGAGGGACATCGGCAGGAACCCGATGGTATGCGCCATCTCAACACTGTCCAAGAAGGAATCCTTCGATCTAACTTGACTGTGTGACTCAGCCTCCAACTCCTCCGACTTCAAGCCCGCCAATCCCCAAGTCAAGGCCTCTCGAAACGGTTCCGGCTCCGCGGACTTGGATCGAGGGATCATTAGCGACGATGATGACGACGACGACGACAATTCGAAGGAAGAAAATGGGGTGAACGGAGCCTCGACTGCTGGTACGTTCGCCAAACCGTTCACCCTCTGAATAAGTTTTGAACAATCATCACTGACACGTTGATTGCACCACCAGAGAAGAAACAAAAGAAACGCAAGAGGTCCAAGAAGAAGAAGAAGAAGACCACCCCCACCGTGCAGACCACCCCACCGCGGGTGCCGCTCTCCACCCTCTTCCCGTCCGGCCAGTACCCCCGCGGAGAACCCGTCCCCTACGTCGAGGACGAGAACACCGCCCGCACGACTGACGAAGAGCTGCGCTATAACTCCCGCCTCTGGGACGATGACTTCCTGATCGACTACCGCAAGGCGGCCGAGGTCCACCGCCAGGTCCGGCAGTATGCCCAGCGGGAGCTCATCAAGCCGGGCGCCAGCCTCACGGCCATCGCCGAGGGGATCGAGGACGGCGTGCGCGCGCTCACGGGCCACCAGGGCCTGGAACCCGGCGACGCTTTTCATGCGGGCATGGGATTCCCGACCGGCCTGTGTCTGAACAATGTGGCGGCGCACTGGACGCCGAACCCGGGCGCTAAGGATGTCATTCTGGATAAGAACGACGTTCTCAAGGTGGACTTCGGGGTCCATGTGAATGGGCGCATTGTTGACTCCGCTTTCACGGTCGCGTTCGAGGACAAATACGATAATCTCCTGACTGCGGTCAAAGAGGCGACCAATACTGGTATCAAGGTATGTCCGACGGCTCCGAGAACACAGGTCAGGCGATTGATTCGACTAGCATGCCGCTATCGATGCGAGAATGGGCGAAATCGGCGCAGCCATCCAGGAGGTGATGGAAAGCTACGAGGTCGAGATCGACGGGAAGACCCGCCCCGTCAAAGCCATTCGAAACATCACCGGGCACGACATTCTGCGCTATCAGATCCATGGCGGGAAGCAAGTCCCGTTCATCAAGAGCAACAATCGCGACAAGATGGAGGAAGGAGAGGTGTTCGCCATCGAGACCTTCGGAAGCACCGGCAAGGGCTATTTAGAGGATGATGTACGCGTACACCGTCTTTCAGTTTCGAGTCAGGTTCTAATAACTTCTCCACAGGTGGGCCTCTACGGCTACGGTAGAAACACCGACGCTTCCGGTGCCAACCTGCGTCTCGCTTCTGCGAAATCGCTGCTGAAGACCATCGATTCGAATTTCGGGTCGATCGTTTTCTGTCGTCGCTATCTGGAGAGACTAGGGGTGTCCCATTATCATCTCGGGGTGAGTAGCTCCATGGCCGTGGGGTTGATTTGCTTCTGTTACTGACAAGTTCCTCAGATGAAAAACCTGATCGATAATGGTATTGTCGAGTCCTATGCGCCGCTTGTCGACGTGAAGGGTTCCTACACCGCCCAATTCGAACATGTATGGCTTTCTTTTGTTATATGACGCGCCTTGGATCGAAACTAATGTGCTCTAGACCATTCTCCTCCACAGCGGCGGCAAGGAAGTCATTAGTCGCGGTGACGATTACTAGGTTAGCTAGTCAGCCATTTGACATCTATAGACGATGTCGCTGACGTTTTGCTTTGCCTGTTTGCTTTTGACTAAGTAATGCTTCGTTCAACCCTTCGATGACCTCGGATCCAACATCCGTCCAGGTACTTGTTCGCTCGGTTTCTGATTGCTGCATCGTTGTTGCTTTGGGTACGCTGTCACAATTATGAAGTAGCCTAGTCCAGTCATTACCATTTCAACTGAATTGAACGCCAATTTACCCCTTTAACTTCCTTCTATTCTCTGTGCAGCATAGTATAGTCCTGTGTACCACACATTTGAAAGTTCCCATGTTTGATATCCGCATCGTCTCCTCCATGAGCTTGTGGCATGAACACGGCTCGATCCTGCTCGGCTAACGCGAGTAGCTCTTCGATGACCTCCTTACGGTACGACGACCGCACCGAGACCGAGGCCTTGAGGTCAACGGGACCTGACAGCGCACTCTGGAGCATCTTCGAACTATCCGACTCGTACCTCTCCCCGGTGTCTTCATCCCGAAAGTGCGGCAACTCGAAGGCCCAGAGCAAGCGGCTGATGACCAAAAACAGTGATCGGCGCGAGGGCGAACGGGTCGTCGAAGACGGCGTCGTCCAGATCCATGGCCCAGTGGTTGGGCAGCACCGTGGCGCCCGCGGGGATCCGCAACCCGCGGTACTCGTCCTCCTGGGTCGTGGCGTGCGGCGCGCCCAGGGGCACGATGGGCCGCCAGCGCAGCGTCTCCTGGATGAACGGGAGCACCTTGGGGAATTTGTGCATCTTCAAGGCGAGGCGGCTGCCTCCTCGCCATAGTGTGGTTCTTTCCTCCCTTGCTTCTTTCTCCATTGTCCCTTTGCCGCGGGTTGCGTCACCTATCTACGCTCTTCGTTCGCTATACCTTGCCTTTGAGTGATACGACCGCTTATGTACTGTACTTGAGCTGCGTGTGGCATCAGATACAGTAGTACTTAAGCTCTCGTTTGCGTTATGTGACAAGGATCGCCACTACCCAGCGTAGACTTTCTCTCCAGTCTCCCTGGCCTACTCGCAATTCCCAGCCTCGTAGAAGACCCGAAAACGCGACTCTCCTCCCAGTAAAGCTGCCGGCGAATCGAACTCGACCACCTCGCCGTGATCCAGCAGTAACACTCGATCGCTATCCAGAATGGTATCGAGCCGATGCGCAATCGTGATTACCGTACATTCTTTAAAACGCTCCCGAATGACCTTCTGGATAAGCTGTTCGGTGGCGACATCGATGCTGTTTTGGGGAACAAGGTGAGTAGGACAGGTTTAGAGAAGAAAAAGGCAGGGGTGACTGACTCGCTAGTGGCTTCATCCAGCACCACAATCTTGCACCGCTTTAGTATAGCGCGGCCCAGGCAGAACAGTTGCTTCTGGCCATGCGAGAGATGGACCAGAGACATGTCGGTGTCGAGACCGCCCTGCTGTTCGATTATTCTCTCCAGGTGAACGGCAGCAAGTGCCTGTCTAACGCTGACATCATCGGAGACGCCGTGAGGGTCCATATTGTCACGGACAGAGCCTGGTAAGAAGCAGGGCTCCTGAGGAATGGCATTCATGGCGGTGCGGACGATTTCGGCCGGCAGTGTCGAGGTGGCGATGTCGTCGATGATGATACTTCCTTCAGTCACCTCGATCATTTTGAATAATGCCATCATCAGTGAGGATTTGCCGCTATTGATCAAGACAATTGACGCAAACCGTCAGCTTGGATGCTATTATATCAGGTATCAGACCTGAACTCCACCGTTGACTTACCTGCCAGTTCGACCGCACACTCCGACCTTCTCCCCGGGCTCAATTCTCAAGGATATTCTACGCAGAGCCGGGACAGTGCCAGTCCTGGCACGTATTTGTGAGACACCTAATATAGTAGCAAGGAAAACGTGAAAGACTTACTGGTACGTGGCAGTGAGATTCTGGAACTCGACTTGCCCCCGGTCCGGCCAATTCTCGGGAGCTGTCGAGGTCCCTGTCGAGAGCTCCTCCACCGGGGTCTCGCTGGCATAGTCTCGGACACGGCCGATCGAGGTCAGGGATGTTTCAAACTCGGTCCAGACCATGATGATGTCAGTCAAGATGCCGCTCAAGCTGATCACGTTGGAGAGGGCCACGCCTGCAAAACCAGGGCTGATCCGATCTTTGAGTCCAATGATCAGCCCGATCAGAAGAAGCACAAATCCGGCAGCCAGGCAGTCCATGACCAGGCCCAGCCAGCGTTGGACACAGAAGAGAAGATAGAACGGGGTCTGCGATCGAGTCAAGTGCTCGTGGTTCTGCCGAATCAGTCCTTCTTGCCAATCAAAGGCGCGGACTGTAGCCAGTCCATCGAGAGACTCCATGAACTGCGAACTGTAAGGGGACGAATAATTCAGTCTTAGTGGTGATCTGCCAAAGGAACGGGTCTGACCGCGTAGCGTGACACTTACTAGAGGGGGGCCTTGTTCTCCAGGTCCATCTTCCGTAGCTGCCGCGAGGTTCTCAGATAGACCTTCTGCAGCACAAACATCACGAAGAATATCACCGGGTACGAAATCGCCACCCAATACGATGAAGTCATGATCAGGAGTATCTGGCCCAGCATAATAAGGCCACCTGTCGTTGACATTAGCAACCATGCACCGGACTGGGGGCAGCGGCGGTACTGACTGCAGAAGATGTTCAAAAGCGCCATGGGTAGCTCTGTGTCAACAAACTGCATATCCTGACTGAATCTGCATCATGAAACAGGAGTTAGACCCGTCGCCGGATACCGTTTCAACCCTCAACCCACCTGGAAATAATTGAACCAAGCTTGGTTGCTTGAAAGAAAGACATGGGCGCCCTGTCACTAGTATCAGAACTGTTTATATTGTCAAATCTGCCCCCGGCGCAATTTACCGAAAAGTTGTTTGCACAAGTGTCCAGTGGAGGGATCGCCCTGCGGATGATACAACATTGATCACAGCATGCCTGGCCGAGGATCAATAAGCGGACTGAATGCATGGTGGGAAGAAAGAGCAGGGGGGATGGAATACACGCACCATCCCAGAACAGCGAGAGCGATAAGGCAGGAGCACTGAAAAAGTGCATAGATGCCCATATACATGGCTTGATGGTATCCGGGGTGTCTCTCATTTGCTTCACTCCACCACTCGGCCCAGACATCTATACACTTATATCAGCATCATCTCAAAAACGAAATGTATCTATTCAAGAGGTGGGCGCCCTTACATGGAAAGCAGAAGAGAAAGGCGTACGCAATGGCGATTAGTACATAGGCCAGAGAAAAGAGCTTTCCGATCGACAGCATGTAATAGACCATCACATTCACCCTGCTCGCTGACTCCGTTGCCGCCGAACTTGAGCCGATCTCAGAGACTGCAACTTGTGGCTTTTCCACCGTCGTGGAGTTAGCTTGTGTGCTGGGCAATTCAGCATCCATCTCGATTTCGGGGATCGGGGTAGGCGCGTGGAATGTATCACTCGTTGGAGAGCTCTTGCGCCGACTCAACTCGGACAGCGATTCCTGTTCCACCGCTTCACCATTCGCGTTGAGACGAATCATGTGATCAGCGTAAGGAGCGTGGTGCTCTTAGTGCATGAAATTGTCGGTCAGCTAGATCAACCCAGTCCGAAAGGTATGGAGAAGTATCTCACCTGCATGGGTCGCCAACACTGTTGTACTGCCATTACGCCGTAAGAGCCCAGTGGGCCCCAGCAAACGCTGGAGAATTTTGGCTTCTGTAGTGGCATCAAGCCCACTGAGGATATCATCGAGAATATAGACACTGCGTCTTGCATAGATTGCTCGAGCGAGTGACTGCAATGAGTTTGATCAGAACAGCGCACACGAGATCGTAGGAACAGCAGAGTGAGGGAGTGACATACCACGCGCTGCTTCTGACCCCCACTGAGATTCGCCCCTTTGTCACCCAATTGCGTATCATCTCCATCTTGGAGGTAGAGAAGGTCCTCATCAAGCGCACAGGCGTGAAGAACGGCCTTGTACCAACGTTCATCGTAGTCGGAGAATGCCACGATGTTGTCTCTAAGGGTTCCGTCCCGAACCCAAGGTGTTTGAGCACAATATGCCGTGGTGCCGGTGGAGACAATGACTTCTCCCTCCGAGGCAGGGATTTCACCAAGGAGCGCATGCAGCAAGCTGGTTTTCCCGCAGCCAACAGGCCCAAAGACCATGGTGAGCTTCTGCCTGGGAACTGACAGATTAATGTTGCGCAGCACCGGGCTTACTCTTTCCGGCCAGCTGAAGCTCGCGCTCTCAATGCAAATGGCAGCAGCAGCAGCAGTTGTGGCCGATGGTTTTTCTTCAATTTCAACATTCGTCGGGTTGAGTTTGTTGGGGGTGGATACAACAATCTTGCGTCGGTCAGACCTCGGGTCAGTGAGCAGAAACTGCTGGATCCGTTGAAAACAAGCCACCATCGAGGCCAATTCCGGGGCAGATTGAAAGAGCATACTCAAAGGCTGTGAGGTCAGCATTAATAGTGATAGGGAGGAGAACATTCGACCAGCATCCAGGGTGATGTGGCGTGCATGGTCTGCGGCAATAAAGACTGCAAAGGTCAGCACCGGGGATATGATGACAGGAAGGAACCCTGCCCAGATAGTCAGTCACTGTCCGCCATGGCTCTTGACTGGAGGGGATATATGTGGTGGACTCGCCCATCATCATCGCGCCAATTTCCCACCACCTGAACCCAGCAGCAGCTTTAAGCTCGTTTTCCCGCGCCTGTTGGAGTATCCCCATCACCTTGCGCATCAAGCCAGACATCCTCAGGCTTTTCATCGCAGAAAGCGTGCTGGATGTCATTCCTGACATTCCATAAGTCTTGCATCCAAGTTGAAATTTGGTCCACGAAGTTTGGCAACGTACCGACTCGTTTTTCAACCACCTCCATCCAGGCTTCTTGCTGCCGACCCGCAGAGGCTCCAAACCGCATGGTTAGCAGAGCACATACTGCACGATAGGTCAGCCTCTTCCAACTCCTTTCAGAGCGAGCGCAAACTTGTGGAAATCTGCATACCAGATGCGATTACAAGTGAAGGCACAACAGCGACGCCAACTTGCCGTTCCAGCAACCAGGCTCCGAACGCCACTTGGATGAAATTCGCCCATATTTCGTGGATCATTCTCAGACCACCGACAATCCGCTCGACATCAGCATTCATGATCGTCAAGGCGGAGGACCTATTGGTGGATGAGACGTCGAGGCTGAGGGTCTTGCGGTAAACAACCGCAACCAAAGCGCCTCGCACGCAGGTGATGAATTGGTAGGTCTGATGCCAGTACCACGCCGTGGTCATCTACGACTGCGTCATTGATTGCCCAGGATGGGTCACAGGGAGAAAGATCACTCTCTTACCGCAATTCCGACATAGACGATTGCGTACGCGCCAAGTAGTCCGTAGCCGATATCCCGCTCGGGTGGTGTGCTGGGTGCATGAATGTAGTTGACCATTTGGACCAAGAGAAGAGGCTGTGTAAGGGTCAGTGCAATAAGACAGATCCTCGGCAAGATTGGGCTCAGAAGGCGCATCTTCAAAGCTTGAATCGTGCACACCAAAAGGGCGTTCTTCCCGGTCTTGACAGCTACAAGAGCATTAGTGTTTGACTTTCTGTTCCACTGGAACAATGAGGAGAAGACAGTGGCAGTATGAGAAAAGAGATACCTCGCTCCCAGACATCCCACAGGTCCTGCTCTAGGTTCACTGTACAGAACCCAGCCGGCATGGGATAGAGATCCTCGAATGCAAGCTCACGCATATAGCCAAGCCGGATGAGGTTGTTAATCCAAAGAAAGAAGGTTTTGGACACGATGCCTGCAAAATCTTCGGGACTACTGGGAGCATTCTGCTCCTCCTGCATCAACCATCGGGTCTTGGTAACCGATTCCACTATGGTCTGTACTCCCCTCATGACGAAAGTCGCGGTGAAGATACTTGCAATGCTGGTTCTTACATTGGCAAGCCAAAGCGACCGTACCTGCACGCCATCAAGCAGGAGAGTCAACAGCAAATAGCCATTTATGAGAAATGATGGTCGCGTGGTCTTCCTATGTTCGGCATAGGAAAGCAGAGCCAGTCCAATTGCCGCAACCAGGTTCAATGCAGTGGCTGCAATTGATACTCTGGTGCGGTCCTCAGGCACCAGACAATAGATCACCAACAGTGCCAGTTGAAGGGAGGCAGAAATTGTGGATGCTGCCTTTTTTTGGTTGTAAGCTCTCTTTCTCAACCCCCTGTTCCTAATGTGCATTGTCGAACTCACCAGTTTGGATCCTAGCAAGGCCCACCCGCTGACTAGATAGTGTCTTTGCCATAGTTGGTAGCCTCTCCCTACGGCGAAGACCAGGAAAAGCGAGGAGGGCAGAATGGACAGCACTGACTGTTCGAAGAGCAGTGTAAAGTCAAATGCACGACGGCAAGGGTGCACTGTTGGACCCCATAGATCGTCCAAGGCGAATGGGCATCTCTGCTGTGACATAGTGACAATATTGTTTCTGAGCCAGAGGGGAGGAAGATTTCCGTCGACAGTAAGGGCATTCCAAGTGGGCACCTCTTTAAGGACTGTTAGGTTCAAGGTCGAATGAAAAGCGGGCAGTTCGCATTTTTTTTTTTGGTCTCGGTTCCTTTTCTACCTGTAAATGGATACGAGCCAATCTTCCTCCATTGGGGCGCTTGAAAAGGATAAGAGGCACATGGGGCGAATGTCAATGGACCCGGACATGGTCCGAAATCCTTCAGGGGATTGGTACTGTAATCTATGAGTGGAAATGATTGAGATAGGACATGCACGTATGAACCCATGTGCTGCTACTGGTCTATGCTGTATTAGCTGTGCGTGTCCGCGGAGGTGATTGATGCTTTCCACCTACTCAGCCGGACGAAATTCCGCCACCATCTGCATCCAGATATGCATGAGGCCACCAATGCAGTAAAATCAGGCGTGGATCTGGGTTTCGTATCTCACCGGACGGAAATAACCCAGGCATTCCACACCAACTTCCCGTTGGACTCCGCTGCAAGACGCATGAGAGATGCACCCAAGGACTCCAAAGCGTCGCGGTCACTCGGACATGACCGATGCATGACTTGTGGGGTAGCGATTATTGCAAGAGGTATTTGAGCTCGTCTAGTTGGAGTCGAGACCTGACTCTGGCTCATCCTTCTTTGCGTCTTTCACTTTCGCCTTGGTCAACATGACTTCCCCAACCCGCACTGCGTTGTTGCTCATCGACATCCAGCAGGGCTTCTCGCATCCCACCCATTGGGGCACTCAGCGCTCAACACCGCAGTTTGAACAGAATGTTACTGCTCTCCTGGCCGCCTTCCGCAGTACGTCTGGTGCTCATGTTCTTCACGTCTGTCACCATTCCACCTTTCTTGGGTCGCCTCTGCACCCGTCGAAGCCAGGTGCGGACTTCATGCCATACGCACGACCGATCAATGACGAGCCCGTCTTTTCCAAGACCACCAACTCTCCATTTCTTGAGACGGACCTCGCCGACGTCCTGCGCCAGTTGAACTTGCAGCGGCTAGTGATCATCGGACTGATGACGGCTCACTGTGTCAGCACAACCCTCCGCGCCGCGTCCAATCTACGGGTGGTCAACCATGGCTACGGCTGCGTGGTCAAGGATGGAAGCGAGCCCCAGGCGGAGATCATCCTTGTGCAGGATGCCACGGCCACCTTCAACGTTCGATTCGACGGGCGTGATTACGACGCCGAGGAAGTTCATGCCATCCACCTCGCCACCATGAAGGACGAATTCTGCGATGTCACCACCACCGCCGATGTTCTCGGCCGGATGCAGGCCTCTGGAACGCGGAGTTGGGGAGAACGTACTTTAGTCGATGCAGACAGTAAGCCGCAGGGACGGCAGGCGAGGAAATCTAGTCGTCTCTAAGCGTCGGCTGCCTCAGTCAGACGGCGATGACCGAGTGGGCCTATCTTCATTAGTTTTTGATGTTTCAGCCAGACCTTGCAAATTCTATCTCTCTGATATTGCTCTGATTCGACCTGTGGGCCGTAAGCGCTAAACTGGAATGTAATGTTGTAGTCTGTGTATGGGAAACAGGATACTCCTTTCTTGATGATCTTCGACATCAAATGCTTACTGTATGTATGTATGATGTATGAATGTATCCATCGGTCGAAATATGCTTAACGTTACTTGAGTTACGCCGACGCGGGGGAATTGCTGCAGTAGCTGCAGAAATGACCGACGGGGTCCGGCTCCTTTGAGTGCCGATTAGGGCTAGAGGATGAGCTGTCACTGCAGACTCACTGCAGACTCCGCCCCCTTGGCATCAGGCGCCCACAAAGCTTAGCGGTACTGAAGCTGTATCCCTCTCTACGTATCATGCCGGGAGATGTAATGAGTCTCTTATCTCTCTTATCATTGACCTACCCCTCTATACATCTACCCCTCCATGCATCTACCCCGCTATGCTTCTACCCCTCCTTTGCCTCCACCAGATATGCGTGCTTCAACCACTATCGCTCTCTTTAGACTCCCTGAAGAATATGAGCCCTAGTATGCCCATGTTCTCCATTTCGACTATCCCTCCGTAAGATGATGTGGGGCGAATCTAACGGCTTGGGATCCACCGCGCAACTGACACGGCGAGGCTGGACTCAGCGTAAGTCGACTGAATGGGGCAGTGCTTGACGAACCGACCAACCAGATGATTGGAAGCACACTGAATAGCCAGATCTTGTGAAAGAACAAGTCATACATGCACCTGTTTTGAAAAATACCTCCCCTGACCTGCCACGGTATTGGCTTACATTTCACCGTCAGCCTCATACTCTGTATTGTACTGTACTGTACTGTACTGCGCTTCTCGACCCAGTCCGTACAGGAGCATACACACATGTGCGCAACAAATACAGGAAAGTATGCGTATGCACTGCTTACATGCATCAAGGGCATCTCCAACCGTTGAGATTGATTCCCTGATCGGGCCATTGATGACCCGCGGTGAGACCTTGAAACGAAAACCCTTGTGCACTTTGGTTTTATAACATGATACTAGAATTGCTAGGGATGACTAGGAAGAATATGTTTCTCGCAAGCAGAAGTCGACCTGAACCCCTCATATCCTATACAAACATGATAATAAACCGGGGCCGCGTGTCAGACCGGACACTCCCCCCCCCCATCCCCACGCCGACTTGCTCGCTCCTTTTTCCCATGCAGAAAAAAAGGCTTAGAGGCTCTGCTGCTGACGGAGGTAAGGATAGATGGTTTCACTCCAAAGCGGCCGCATCTTGTACACACCCAATTTCTCCGGCATACTCTCGATGGCATCGGCGAGCGCGGGCCCATTGCCCTCGGCTCGCACATCCTGCAGCGAGGTCATGTATGAGCGGACACAGAAGATGACTGCGCGCGACCTCGCCAGCCGGGTCAGAGTCTGATGCTCCACCCGGAGATAACAGTCGCCTAGGTTGACAGCACGCGGTTTGAGGGGTAGTTGATCATCCTTCTCGGGATAGAAATTATTGCCATCTATGCGGAAGAGATCCCGGCCGTCGGTCTGGAGACTCCACTGTGTGCCACGTCAGTCAACAGGGCTTTTTTTCCAAGATATGGAAGGACGGGAAGGACAAGAGAATCCCTTGTAGATGCATCGAGATGGTTAGCTCTTACATTCATCCTTCCCACGAAGTCTCCTGGCTCAAGGCGGACAAGAAATCGGTCTGCACCTTTGCCAATACGAGCGTCAAATCCAGGTACAGGCTGGTGAATCTCGCGCATTGACATGCCTACTCGCGAGGGGCTCAGGAATCCTCCCGGGAAGCAGGCAATGTAGCCCTGCAGTCTCAACTCATTTTCCGCATCGGGACACATGATATAAAAGTCTTCTTCGACGTTCTCACCCAGATTGCGCAGCATGGTCAGCGGAGTCAGTCCCGCGAGATCGACAGAATAGGACTGATTGGTGGCCTTGTTGTGGAGGGTTTTGCCGCGCAGATCAAACATTGTAGGAAAGCGTCGGGGTAAGAGGTCCATGACTTCCTCGTAAAGCTCTGCAATGGCTGGGTCGACGATGGGGTTGCTCCCAAAGACCTCCTTGGGATTGGTCTGCATGACCTGCTTACGTTCCTCGATGCGATCGAGGTAGCCTCGGTCAATGCGGATCCACTCCTCCTTGGGCATTTTCTTGATCCCTGTACCAGGTAGAATTTGCCGAGGTCAGATTTCGAAAACCCTGGCGCATGGAAAACAAGGATTGAGACTCACCCATTGAAACGTGCTGCATGGTCTTGAAAGGTCGGTAGTCGATTGGGTTGACCATGCGATAGTCAAAGTCTGTCAGTGGTGTGATAGTAAATTCGCCGGTTGGGCAATTGTGGCCCGGCTGTTCTTTCTTCTTCTGAAAGTGCATGCATTAGCATTCTGTCCCTACAGGATATCGCCAATCGAAAAGTGCATGGCATGACAAGTTGTTACGAGGTACTACCATTTCCTTGCGGCTGTTCTTCCCCGCCAAGCTCGGAGATATCATCATCCAAAAGGTCAGATAAACTAGTACTCCAGTGGTGGCAAGTAGCCATGCCGCGGTGTTGGAACTGATCCCCAAGGGGATCATCTCCATAAGGGCCTTGCCATGGTGATATTCGACCATTGTGGAATCACAGTGAGATCCTAGAAAACGGTTTGGGTGCAGAAAAAGGATGGAAAGAGGGATATGACCAGGTGTCTCGTTCTCGAAGTTGGCTTCATAGTCTGGTAGTCTTGCGAGCAAGTGGTTTATATATTTCCTTGGACACCATCCTTCTGTGCCTCGCCCATGAATCCGAATCAGACAACCCTCTGGGAGCATAGCATTCTGGTGTATTGAATGGCGCCTCGAGTCACGGTGGTAAGTCCATATAAGAGTTGAGTATTGATCATACGTCGTGTTTTGCTGCCCTTTCTTCTTCCTTTTGTCTTGTTTCTTGTTCACTCAAGTTTCGTTGTATTTGCAAAGATCTTAGCTGACTATCTTACTATACAGTAAGCACAAGAAAAGTGACGCATGCAGTGCTCGAATTGTAATATAACAACATGGAGCTAGGAATCCTTCTGTATGGGGTCCTCTTCATGGCCTGCACTAATTCAAAGTTGGAAGGTGGGGGAGACAAGGGAATACTTAGGAGTGATGCTTGATAACAAGCAGCCGTAACTTCAACGCCTGACCGAATGAAGCTGTAAGATGGGTAGAAACCGCAATATCGAGTAACAATCTTCCTGTAAGGAAATCCCTACTTCCTTCATTCTCCGGGTGATTTGAAGACGTGATGCCGTGCCAACCGAGAGGGCCATTAATAGATGATGGGCTTTGTATCAATCGGATGGTGGCGTGTGGTGCAGCAACTAAACGAGAATGCGGTACGCCGCGTAAGGAATACCTTATACCCGCATCATAAGGGTTAGTCAATCAGACCACGCTGGAGTGCGGAGTTCTATCACGGTAGGCTGACGAGACTGAGTTGAATCTCAGTAAGGGGGAGCCATCCTAGCCCCTCCCATCCAGTCACCTAGGCAAGAGACCCAGGGTCTCTATAAATTAGAGTGTTCGAACCGTTGTAGTCCGTAGGGCTATTCATTTCGACAACTTCGACACATGGTACATGTCCACGGACATAATGCGCTCCGAACCTACACACCACGCTGCTGCTTCTGCTCTAGCAGCAGCGATGATCGCCGAGCTGAGGACAGATGAAACATTCCTATCACTGCGCGTGCAGAAGGGATATCTCTGCAATGCGTTGCAAAGCCTGTTAATGGAGTACTCGGTCAGCGGTTCTCCGTGTATATTGCAATATGTGCTGGACCTTCCCCCGGACTCGATCTCCTTCGATTGAAGAATGCCTGGAACTGCGTGGTCGCATCTTGTGAGATCCTACGTACCAGAATATTCAGTACCGTCAAAGGGGCCATCCAGATTGTTGTGGAAGAAAGCTCGTCTTGGGATTGTGACAACTCTCTGCAAGCATATCTGAGCAGGGACCTTGAAGTGCCCATGGGCTACGGTTCCCCTCTTTCTCGCTGGGGCATCATTGGAGAGCAGAAGGAAGCCACAGAGCGGTTCATGGTTCTGAGTCTTCATCAGTCCATCCATGACGACCAAACTGTGACTGTGCTCTTTAAACGACTATGTCATGAATACGAGACCCTAGGTGACGGTGGAGAGACTTTACAGCGTCACGTTCCATCAATCTTTCTCAATGCTTCTGTTCAACCACCGACGGCAAACCAGGATGCGAAAAATAAATCTAGTCCTGCCTGGTGGAAGGCAGAAGCAGTGCGCGACTCTCTCACTGGAGGTGTGGACTGGGTTCCACAGCAAGTTTGCGCATCTTCTATCGTCGAGCACGAAGCGATGATCCTGGAGCTGGACATGTCAACTCCCCATCTTTCACACGTGCTATACTCGGCATGGGCAATCATCATCAGCACATATGCTCAAGCTTCGGAGGTGACGTTTGGAACAGTTGTCTCTCACCGTGATCAAAGCACTTATGATGGCACGAGCGTTGAATCCACATCCCCAGAGATTGCCTTGCTGCCAGTAAGCATCTCAGTTCAGCAAGCAAACACGACGATGCAACTCCTAGATCAAGTTCGCAAGATTGACTATAGTCACGAAAGTGCCGAAATGCCTTGGACAGAGCCACTTGCTAGCCTACTCTGTATTCGAGACCCAATTCCGAAGGCCTTTCGGTGTGGTGACCAAACCCTTAGTCTGTTTCGCCCGACGACGCGCAAATACCCATGTCCGCTGGTCCTGGATTGTCATGGCGGACAATGCCTACGAGTTGTGGGTCATTTTGATGAGTCCATCTTCACCACGCAGGGTGTGCGACGCCTACTGCAGCAGTTTGTCCATGTAGTGCGGCAACTGTCATCTTCCTCCCACTCGCCGAGGGTCCAGGATGTAGAAGTCCTGAGTCCCGAGGATAAGCAGCAGATTTGGAAATTGAATGGTCAACCTATTCCATCCGTCAACCGTTGTCTTCACCATGTCTTCGAGGAGGTTGCAGCGAGGCATCCCAGTCGCATAGCAGTCAATGCATGGGACGGTGTACTCACGTACCAGCAGCTCAATGAGCAGTCAACTCGTCTCGCCCATCAATTACAGAGAATCGGCGTCGGGCCTGAGATTATAGTTGCCATATGTCTTGATAAGTCCAAGCAGGTTCCAGTCTCTATTCTCGGGATTCAAAAGGCCGGCGGCGCCTGCCTCACCTTCGACACTCAACAGCCTGTGAGCAGGTTAAGGTCGATTATCAGCGATGGTGGAATTGGCATCATTCTTGCCGATAAATCACATATGTCACTGTGTGAAAGCTTGGTCCCCCGGGTTATATGCGTGGATGAAGAGGCGCTGAAATCCCTTCCCCAACCTCTCACCCTAGGCGAGAGTACACTGAGAGCAATAAGTGTTCAGCCCTTCAACAGGGCTTTTGTTCTGTATACGTCTGGAAGCACAGGGACTCCCAAGGGAATTGACGTGCCCCACTCGGCAATGTGCACTTCAACCTTAGCCTTCGCACAGGCCTTCAATGTCTCATCGGACTCGCGGATATTCCAGTATTCCAGCTATGGTTTCGATGTCAGTGCTGGGGATATGTTCCTGGCCGTGCTTCATGGCGCGTGTCTCTGTATACCCTCGGAATATGACCGAGTGAACCAGCTAGAGCTCTCCATCTGCCACTTGAAGGCTAATTGGTTATGCACAACACCTTCTGTCTTGGGGCTTCTAGACCCCGACAATGTCCCTTGCCTGGAGACGGTGGCCATTGGGGGTGAAGCTCTGCCGAAGAACATCACTCTTCAATGGGCACCACGACTTCGGTTTCATACCGGTTATGGGCCAAGCGAAACAGGGGTCTTCGCATCTGTCCTCGAAGTTCAGAATAATCAGCATCCATACTCCAATGTCGGACGTGCCATGGCTTGTCATCATTGGATTGTCTCCTCGGACGACTGCAATCGGTTGGCACCACTGGGATGTCCCGGGGAGTTAATTATTGAAGGCCCCACTGTTTCTCGGGGGTATCTGAATCGCCCTGAGCTCACAGCACGCGTCTTCCCCCGCCAGCCAGCTTGGTTTGACCGTCAAGTAGGCCGCCTGCCATCTCGCTTTTACCGGACGGGTGACATTGCCAGACACAATGACGATGGGACGCTCATCTTTTTAGGTCGTCGGGATGCTCAGATCAAATATCATGGTCAGAGAATTGAACTCGGCGATATCGAGTTTAGCATCAACCAACATGAGCTGGTCAGGGATGCGGTGGTACTGTACCCATCGGATGGCCCATATGCTGGCAGACTAACAGCGGTTGTCGCACTGGATAAGGACTTCTTGTCATCTCCTTTGTCTGATGAGGCTCCGCTTCTCATCGACCCATGGATGCTACAGCGTCAACTTGAAAATGTTCGGAAATCCACTCAAATGAAGCTTCCTCCCTATATGTGGCCAACTGAGTGGCTCCTCATGTCAAGGCCACCTTTGAACATGAATGGTAAACTGAATAGGAAGGAGATCTTGAACAGCGTGAAGAGGATGGCGCAGCCTCGGACCCAGCAGCCGCCTCCAGAAGCTTCACACCCCCTGACTCCTTCTCAGAGTCCCTTTCTTGACGAGTCAGAGCATTTGAGCCAGGGTCAGCAGGTGCTCCAGATGGAATGTAGTGCTATATTGCAACTTCACCGCTCTCAGGTCCCAATGGAATCCACATTCGTGAGCCTTGGGGGCGACTCGCTCATGGCAATTCAATTAGTCACAGCCTGTCGGAAGAAGGGCGTCGAAATCGATGTCCGAGATATCCTCAGGGGTGTTGAGCTGAGGGACGTTCCCTATAGCGCACCTGAGCTTTCAAGGGCGGTATCACTCGCACCGCAGCAGTCTGGGTTCCCCGCAGAAAGCTTCGCAAAAGGAACTGACATATTCGATGCGTTTAGTCTTAGCCCCCAGAGTGTCTCCAGAATCAGTGGCATTTCAAGTCACGATATACAGGCCGTCTACCCTTGCTTGCCCATGCAACAGGGCATTCTCATGAGTCAGTCTCGTGACCAGGCTTTATATCAGACAACACACGTATTTGAGATTACGGGTCGTGCAAGTCATGAAGCTATATTGAATGTGCAGACAATTATTTCCGCTTGGCGCATGGTTATCGAGAGGCATGATGCTCTCAGGGCCGTCTTCATGGAGTTTCCAACTCACACAGAGCCTTTTGTTCAGGTCATCCTACATCATCCAGTGGTTCAAATTACACAGCATTCCAGCAAACACGACATACTAAGCTTGCCAGAGGAACCATTTCCTGACTTAAAACCGCCGCATAGGCTTCGTTTAGCACCCTCTGGGAAAGACGCCTTTGTCTGTAAATTGGAAATGAGCCATGCAATAACGGATGGCAGCTCGATGGATCTGATATTTCAGGATCTTGTTCGAGCCTGTGCTGCGTCCAATCCTCTTCCAGAACCCGTCTCCAAGTCAAGCTATGGCGACTATATCGGCTATCTTCGCAACCAAAATAGGGATGCTGGCTTGGAATACTGGATGAAGTATCTTGAGGGAACAGACACCTGCCACCTTAAATTGCCGACCTTGAACCACTCCTCAGCACCCCCGAAGCTGCAATCGTACAGCATTGATATTCCAGTGGAGCAGTTGGCCATTATCGAGTTGAGGCGGCGGAGCATGACTATTGCAGATCTTCTCCAGCTAACTTGGGCAATTGTCCTTAGATTATATACCGACCAACGCGAAGCATGCTTTGGATATATATCCTCGGGCAGAGCAGTGCCAGTGAATGACATTCGTGACGCCGTGGGGCCATTCATTAACCTGATAACCTGCCGACTGACTGTTGATTATGAGCAGACCCCTGCTCAGCTGATGTTAGCACTGAAAGATGACTTCATCTCCAGCATCCCCCATCAACACGTCTCCCTGGGAGATATTTGGCATGCCGTCGGCAGATCTGGAGTGAGCCCCTTCAACACCCTGATATCCATCCTCAATGCAACAGGCCCGGAACTCTGCAGCGAGACGAAGATGACTTTGAAGAGCTTGGAGGTCCACGACCCAACAGAGGTAAGTCACCCGTTTCCTCGATCCTGCTTTGCGCGCAAGATTAGTACGCCCACAGGGAAGACGCTCACGTATCTGAATGCAGTACGACTTGACGGTCACATCGTATCTCTCTCCGGGACTCGCGACACTGCGCTTCGACTACTGGAATGACAAGGCCTCCAGTGATTCAATAAATAGACTCGCGCACACATTTCGCCACGTCTTTCATACGGCCGGCTCCATGCTCGATTCACCACTCAAGTCATTGAGCTTGATCAGCGACATGGATCTTCGACAGATCGTTGACTGGAACAGCAACACTCCCCTGGCCGTGGAGAAATGTATTCATGAGGTCATATCTTCACGTTCCTCAACAGCGCCGCAAAGTCCAGCCTTGTGTTCCTGGGATGGGGAGTTAACCTATAAAGAAATGGACGCCATTTCGGACACGTTTGCCCAGTCTCTAAGACGTATGGGTGTAGGAGCAGAGGTCGCAGTTCCTCTATGCTTCTCCAAGTCTTTCTGGGCCATTGTGGCAATGATCGCCATTCTCAAAGCAGGGGGTGCAATTGTTCCCCTTGATCCATCCCATCCCATCTCGCGACGGTTGGAGATATGTCGTCAGGTCAAGGCGCAAATGATTCTGGTTCCAAGTGACCGCAGTATGCAAGAAGAGTGGTCTGAGTCACAGCTATATAGGGTGGAAATCTCACAGCCCCGGTACCAACAACTACTGACAGAGAAGTCCATTGGGGCAGGGAGTCTTCAGATTGAAAACATTCCCCGGAGTTCGCCGGCCCACAGCGCATATATTGTCTTCACCTCGGGTACGACAGGAACCCCCAAGGGCATCGTCACGGAGCATGGTGCATTCTGCTCCGGGGTTGCAGCTCGAGCGCAGGCGATCATGCGCTCCTCCAAGTCTCGAATTCTCCAATTCGCCTCTTTTGCCTTTGACACCTGTTTAGAAGATATCTTGACCACACTAATGCAAGGTGGATGCGTCTGTCTCCCCTCGGAGCAAGAGCGTCTGAGTGACCTTCCAGGAGCGGTACGACGGATGAATGTGAATACAGCGGAACTGACTCCCTCGGTGGCCAAGTTGCTCCAACCCAAGGATGTTCCATCATTAGAGACATTGATCTTGGGCGGAGAACAGGTGACTGCAGACCTCATCCTGCAATGGGCTGAGGTTGTCACTTTGATCAATTCTTATGGACCAGCGGAGTGCTCCGTGACCAGTGTGGTCTCTCCTCCCTATGAGCTAGAGGCAAAAGATCACCATGCGAGCAATATCGGATTCGGGGTCGGAGCATTAACATGGGTTGTGGACAGTCAAGATCCCAACCAGCTAGTCCCGATAGGTGCTGTGGGCGAGCTGCTGCTTGAAGGGCCAGTTCTGGCCAGGGGCTATCACGAAAGGCAGGATCTGACCGACGCCAGTTTCATCACCGATCCTGCATGGTCAAGGCAGTCGCAGCCTCGTTCTCCCCGACGGTTCTATAAAACGGGGGACCTGGTGCAGTATGCTCCTGACGGATCCCTAGTCTGCCTTGGGCGCCGAGACGATCAGATCAAACTTCACGGTCAGCGCATCGAACTGGATGAGGTCGACTCTTACCTCCAGTTGCATTATCCGTGGAAAGGAGGTGTTGCCTCTTGTGTGGCATTGAGCCCAGTGGACCCTGAGAGACGACTCATTGTTGCCTTCTTCTCAATGTCCCTGCAGCCATGGCAGACCGAGCCTGACTTTAATATACTGCCGCTCTCTGGCAGTATACGCGAGGAAATCATCAACCTGCAAACGCAAGTGGCATCTTCTCTCCCGACATACATGCGACCAAGCATTTATATCCCCGCGAACAGGATTCCCACCAACACCGCGGGCAAAACAGACCGCGCCACCTTGGCCAAAGCAGTACAGACGCTGTCGGAGACGCAATACCTAGACTACTCGCTCGCCTTTGCATCAGGCCATCATCAGCCTGAGACGCCTGAGCAGCGCATGCTTCAGTCACTATGGTCTCAGCTGCTTACACTCCCGCCCCAGCGAATAGGAATACATGATGACTTTTTTCAACTTGGGGGCGATTCTATTTTGGCGATGAAGCTGTCCTCCCTGGTTGGAAAGCGTGATACTGTGCTCAATGTTGCGGATGTCTTCCGTTATCCCACACTACGCGAGATGTCAGCCAGGCTCACCGAGATATCGCACTCTCATCCGCCACCTGTTTCATCAAAACCAGTGGATCAAGATCCCATGCCTTTCTCGCTACTGCCATGTAATTGGCCTGACGAGGCTCTTGAGGAGGAAATCGCCACCGCCTGCCAGGTTTCCAGAGACAATATCGAAGATGTTTATCCTTGCTCAGCGGTCCAGGAAGGCCTGATGGCGTTGTCAATGCGGCAGAAAAATGCTTATGTTGCTCGTCTGGTTTATAGCATCCCTCCCGGCACATCTCTGGCGCGTCTGCAGTGCGCATGGCAGCTGGTGGCCTCTCGGCACTCGCTATTGAGGACACGCATCATTCTTTCTCGCCGATTTGGGACTCTTCAAGTTGTCTTGAAAGCAGACGACACTGATAAAGACACGGTTGCATGGAAGGATACACATTATAGTGACTTGCAGTCGTTCCTCGAGGAGGACAAGGGGGTTTCTATGACGTATGGCTCAACCCTATCGCGATGTGCCATTGTGACCACACCGAACCAAGCCAAGTTCTTTATTTGGACGGTGCATCACGCCCTGTACGATGGCTGGCTGCTTCCTATTATAATGCAAAGAGCAGCGGAAGCGTATCGTGCCCCAGAAAGTGCAGCTGCATGGTCCATCGTGCCTTTCCGTTGCTTTATTGCATATCTCGAGACCAGAGACCGGTCCGCCTCGGAGAATTACTGGGCTAACCAGTTGGAAGGGTTTAGACAAGTTGAATTTCCTGCAGGGAATATGACATCAAGGAAGGAGCGCCGTGATATGTCAAAGGTATACCACCGCATACGTCTCGGGAGGCGCCCGAGACGCCGGTTCACTACTGCAATCATCCTTCGCGCCGCCTGGGCCTTTTTGATAAGCAAATACTCCGAGTCCGACGATATCAGCTTTGGAGTTACCTTAAGCGGACGAACAGCTCCAGTGGAAGGGATTACCAGCATAGCGGGGCCTACATTGACCACGGTTCCAGTCCGTGTTCATATCGACAGTGAGCAATCTGTGGTGGAATTCCTTCAAAATATACAATCACAGGTCACGGAGATGATGCCACATGAGCATACTGGCCTTCAGAGGATTCGGAAGCTAAGCCAAGGCTGTCTGGAGGCATGCGATTTTCAGAACCTGCTCGTAATACAGCCAGCGGACGAGAAGACCGAGTCAACTGCAGAACAAAGTGTTTTCGGGCAGCCGGTTGACGAGGCTGGCGCTAATTCCCATTTCCACACCTATGCCTTGGTCATGTCATGCACATTTTCTGAACATGAGGTGGACCTTGAAGTCATCTTCGATCCGATAACTATCTCACCGGGGCAGGCTGAGCGCCTGGCGCTTCACTTCGATGCCATATTCCAAACCTTTTGGTTGTTCGACAAAGGCGTAACGATCGGACAGGTAGAAATGATCACCGAGCAGGACCGAGAGCAGATTCAGGCGTGGAACAAGAAGGAGCCGCAACTCCAGCCACGCCTGGTGCATGAGGTGATTGAAGAGCGGGTGCTTCTCCATCCAGATTCTGAAGCCGTGCATGCATGGGATGGCTCTCTCACATACCGTGACCTTCATCGATACTCCTCCCAACTAGCACGGACGTTGCAACTGGAGTATCACGTTGGGCCCGAACGGCTGGTACCAGTACTGTTCGAGAAATCGGTTTGGGCAGTAGTGGCCATGCTGGGAGTCATGATGGCCGGGGGTGGGTTTGTTCCTCTAGATGTCTCCCATCCGCTAGACCGAATGAACGACATTATTGCGCAGTGCAACGCGGACTTGGCTCTAGTCTCGTCAGAAACCTCAGGGACTCCTCTCTGTACGGCTTCTAAACTGGTAGTCTCACAGAACATGTTCCGTGGCCTGGACGCTGGAGGACATGAGACTAACCAATATAGCACCAAAATCCCCGACATCAGGCCGGCTCACTACTTTCCCGGCCTACAGCCACATGTTCTAGAGACATCCAAGCAAGAGTCCGGAGACCAGATATCCGAACGTACAGGCTCACCTCGAGACTCATCGCCGCGCACGCCGATCTCGTTCCCTTGGCACTCGGCAGGACCGGAGACGCCACTTACCTTCGATATGTTGACTCCCGGAAGCAATATATCGGGAAGGGCAGCTCAGCCGGACGACAGTGATCTGACCGAAAGTGATCGTGTCCAGCCACAGAACGTCGTTTATGTCATTTTTACCTCCGGCAGTACTGGAAAACCAAAGGGTGTGGTCATCCAGCACGATCAATTCTGCTCGGGCGTGTTGGGGCCCCGGCAAGAAGCCCTTCTCCGCTCGGAGCAGAGTCGAGTGCTTCAATTTGCGTCCTTCAGTTTTGATACCAGCTTGGAGGATATTATCACGACTCTGTTCTTTGGTGGATGCGTCTGCATTCCTTCGGAGGATCATCGCATGAATGATATTGCCGGGTTTATCAACAAATCAAGGGTCAACACGGCCCACATCACGCCATCCTTCGCGAATACCCTTTCACCCCAGTTGGTGCCAGGCCTGAAGTACCTGCGTCTCGGTGGAGAAAGGATGACGCCGACTCATATCGATAAATGGGCGCCAGCTCTAGAGTTGAGGAACGTCTACGGTCCCACCGAGACCTGCATCACGGCCACATGCAGTGGAACGGTAACCACAGCTTCAGACCCCATTGATATCGGTCGTGGGGTCGCGGCTCTCACTTGGATTGTGAATCCGGATAACCATCATCAACTCACCCCGGTCGGCCTAGTGGGAGAACTGCTCGTGGAGGGCCCTCTGTTAGCCCGAGGGTACCTCGGAGATATCAACAAAACAAACGCATCCTTCATCACTGATCCGACATGGGCACGTACCCCAGACAATTCAAAGAGCCCTCGCCGATTTTACAAGACAGGCGATCTTGTACGGTACAGCGAGGCAGGAACCCTTCTCTACATCGGCCGCAAAGACACACAGGTCAAGATCTATGGGCAACGAATCGAAATCGGTGAGATTGAGGATCACCTGAAAAGGGCCCTTCTGCCCCAAACAATTGAGATGGCCGTCGAGGTGACGAGCCTACAGGCTGATGCTCTCCAACGCAAAGTCCTCGTTACATTCCTCTGTCTAGACGATTCATTCAACAAGGATGGCGCTGTTCTGATGTCCCTGACGCCGGCCGTGAAGAAACAAGTCCAGAAGCTTACCTCGAAACTCGTTCTTTACCTGTCTAAGACGCTCCCAGCCTATATGATTCCTTCACGCTATGTGCCTCTCCGCTCCATGCCACGAACACTGGCTGGCAAGGCAGACCGGCGTAGGCTGCAGCACCTCCTCAACTCGATGAGCACCGAAGACCTATTGGCGTACTCGCTCGAGGGTGGGGAGAAGCAGCCGTTAGAATCCGAAACCGAGTTCCGGCTCCAGAAACTCTGGGCCGAAGTTCTGAGCGTTGATACGATGATGATTGGGAGCCACCACAACTTTTTCCGTCTTGGGGGCGACTCAATCACGGCCATAAGGCTTGCGGCCGCGCTCCGTGATGACGGTATGTTTCTGACTGTTGCAGACATTTTCAACCACCCCGAATTACGCCATATGGCCGCCCAGATTGATGCTCAGGGCCAGGGCACAAAGCAGGTGCCAGGAGCAACGCCAGGGGCTCACGAGGATCTACGCCCATGTGGGCTTCTGGCCCCCTCGCCGACTTTGCTATTCAATTTGTCAAAAGTCTGGGATATCCCAGAGGACATGGTTCAGGATGTCTACCCCTGCACTCCCCTCCAGATTGAAATGCTAGCTGCTGAAGGGCGCCACAGTCAATCAACTTACGGCTCACAGGCTGCCTATGACTTACCGCTAGATATTGACCTGGATCGCTTCAAAAAGGCCGTCGAGACTGTATGTCACCAGCATGATATCCTACGAACCCGAATTGTCTATCTCGAGCCTCATGGCACCGTGCAAGTGGTCACAAAAGACGGACTACGATGGGAGTACGGAGATGGCATTGACAAGCTTCTTACACAAGGGTCTTCGTTTGGCCTGGGCACCGCATTGATTCGGGTCGCCCTGTGCCCGTATAGTAGTCATGAATCCGCGGGATGGACCTTCTTCTTAACCATGCATCATTCGCTCTATGACGGCTGGAGTCTCTCCCTTATCCTCCAGCAAGTCAATGAGGTGTACCAATCCGGCTCCCTGTTATCTCAACGCCCCAGGCCTCGCTTCAGAGACTTTATTGGCTATCTGGGAAGCTTGGATCCAGACCTCAGCAGCCAGTACTGGACATCCACTCTGACCCAGTCTTCTGGTTCCTCTGACCTCCCATCGCAGAACGGTACGGTCGAGGAGCTAGATTCTATAGAGGAATATCACTGCAACATGCTAGATTTCGAGCAGGAGGGCTCGAGGCTTGAAGTGACGCCCGCCATAGTTCTCCGAGCCGCATGGGCCCTGGTCATCACAGCCTATACTGGGAGCAGTGACGTTCACTTCGGACTCTCTGTGGCGGGACGAAATGTGCCTGTTAAGGACATTGACCAAATGGTGGGGCCCACCTTGGCCACAATTCCCTGCCGATTGCAAATCAATCATGACTGGACCGTTGAAGGTTTTCTCAACCATGTTAATCAATCCATGATCGCTGCCATTCCCCACGAACACTTTGGGCTCCAGCAAATCGCGAAGTTGGGACCGGATTGCTCTCGCTGCTGCGATTTCAACAGTCTCCTGGTCATTCAGCCGCAGATACAGGCGAAGACGCTGGGAATTTTCGCCTGTTCCCGGAGCTCAGACCCCATATCTCGAGGCAACGACCAGCCATATCCTGTGGTGGTGGAGTGCGACATGCAGGAGGCAGGAGGATGGAAGGTGCACGTCTTCTACCGGAAAGCATTCATCTCTGCCTCATCATTGCAGCGCATCGTCTACCTTTTCCAGCACCTGGTGGAGCAACTCTACCTATCTCCTAATATGCGTCTTGCTGACCTGTCTCTGGTTAGCTCTACCGACTTGGGGCTCATTGGCAGCTGGAATTGCTCTGTTCCTGCGCCTGTCAACACCACTATTATTGAAATGCTTTCTAATTCCACGAAGCAGCACGCTGATCTCCCAGCCATACACGCATGGGACGACGCATTCACATACAGTCAGCTTGAAAAGCAATCTCAGCGGCTCAGTCACTATTTGCGGCTGTGTGGGGTCCAGCGCGGCTCCTTCGTCCCCATCGTGATGCCGAAATCGGCGCTCTATATTATCACTGTGCTGGCGGTGATCTCTGAAGGCGCGGCTTTTGTCCCAGTCGACGCGTCGAGCACCCCCCGAGATAGGATGATGAAGGTACTCGAGCAGTGTAACGCGAGTGTGGTGATAGCATCCACCGCGAGTGCGAGTGATATTGTCGAATCAGGACGACTTCGGGTGTTACGCATTTCCCATCAACTTCTGCGTCGGCTGCCAGATGGACAACCTGCAGGGCTAAGCAGAGCCGGAGCCGATGATCCTCTCTACTGTGTTTTCACATCGGGGACGACTGGTTCACCCAAGGGAGTGGTCGTCACTCATGGGGCGTATGCCTCTTCGACAGCAGCCAAGCAGAAAGCCTTTAAGCTGGATGAGACCACCCGGGTCCTGCAATTTTCTTCCAATGCGTTCGATGCCAGCATTGACGATATTTTCATATCCCTCCTAAGTGGCAGTTGTCTTTGCGTGCCGTCGGAAGCGGAGCGCCGTGACAACCTGTCGCAGTTCATTGTGGACACGCAGGTCAACTATGCCGCCATGACCCCCACGGTGGCCCGGACTCTGGATGTGCAGAAAGTCTCTCAATGCCTCACCAAGCTTCGACTGGGAGGTGAGAAGCTGACAAGTGCTGACCTTACGGACTGGGTGGGTGTAGGGGTCAACGTGAAAAGTCTCTACGGACCGACCGAGTCCTGTGTCTGTTGCTCGGCCTCTCCCTCATTTCTCTCTGAAAACACCGATCCGGCGAACATTGGATGGGGTCTGGCGTGTCGCACTTGGATTGTGGACGTACACAATCCCGATCGTCTGGCTCCCATTGGTGCCGTTGGTGAACTCGTCATCGAAGGACCAGCACTCGCGAAGGAATACTTGAATGACCTGGAGAGAACCTCACAGGCATTCATCAACCTGCCTCTCTGGCTGCCGAGCATAGGGGGCAGTTCATCATCCAAGTCGAAGGGCTACAGAACCGGAGATATGGTCCGCTATAGAGAGGATGGAAGCTTGATCTACATTGAGCGCAAGGATACTCAGGTCAAGCTCAGAGGGATGCGACTGGATCTCGAGGAGGTGCAGCACGCGCTGAGAGACCTCAATCTCCCCGGTATTCAAGACCTTGTGGTCGAGATTATTCCTCGATCTATAGCGCCTGACATTCTGGCGGCAGATATCCTGACGCTTGCCATCTTTTCAGATAAACACCGCGGCGAAGAGCATCATCTGGATGCTATCCGGGGCAGTCTCACAAACCGGCTTCCTGAGTACATGATTCCGACGCATCTCCTGCTCCTCGACAGCCTCCCAACATCTCCTTCGGGCAAGACAGACCGGCTGGAAGTGCGTCGTCTTGCCGTGGAGCAGCTCCGTCAACAGCAACAGCAGCAGCAGCAATGCTTGAACCCTGATGACAAGGGGAAGATGGGCTCCCAAGGGGTGGAAGCACCAATGGATACTTTCCGTACGCTGCGATCCATATGGGCCGATATCCTGCAACATGATCTGTTGTCCATTGGACCAGATGCGAACTTCTTTCAGCTGGGGGGTGATTCTATTCTAGTAATGCGCCTGGTTGCGCATGCCCGAGCCCATTCCATTGATATCGGTTCTGCAGACGTTCACCAACTTCAGACCTTGTCGGCCATTGTTGCAAAGGCCAGATTACGAATCCTTCCTCCACATGAGTCCACCTCGCCGGCAGATGACATCAAAGTTACTTCTAGTCACATTACGCCGGATCTCCGCCTCGTCTCGCTGGAACTGGGTATCCCCGAAGGAGACATCGAAAAGGTTCTCAAGGCGACCGACTTCCAATCCTACTGTCTGGCACAGACTTTCTCTCAATCCCGGGGCTGGCTGAACTATTTCTCTTATAACCTCCACGGCTGCATCAACGTGAAGCAATTGGAATATGCCTGCCATGCCTTGGTGCAACGGCACGAAGTTCTGCGTGCTCGTTTCGTTGCCCTCCACGGCTCTGTCCAGCAGGTGATTCCCAGATATCGAGCAGAAGATGTCCGATTTCAGGTACTTGAAGGGGTTAGTGAGATGCACAGTCTCGGTCCCTTGGCCAGTCTAGTTCACAATGATCCTGCCCCCTCCTTGAATGATGTTCTGCTTCGTTTCGTACTCCATATCGTTCACCCAGGCCATATTCGTCTCACGATGCGAATCTCTCATGCGCAATATGATGGACTCAGCATGCCTATCATCCTCAAGGACCTGGACGCATTATACAACGGGATTGCCTTGGCCCCTCCTGCCAGGTTCTCGGAGTATGTGGAGGAAAGCCAGCAACTGCTTTCCCAGAACGAGCACGCCCAGCAGTTCTGGCGTCAACTGCTGCAAGGATCACAAGTCACCCCCATCGTGGTACGCAGCAAACTCCCCTCGCACTCTTTACAGAAAGAATATCCCCTGGATCAGACCACAATTCGGACTATTCGACTGTCACGTTCAAGTTCCGACGCCTCCACCACCCCGGCCACGATCATCAAGGCCGCCTGGGCACTCGTGCTCGGCCGTCTCTCGCAACATCAGGACGTGGTCTTCGGCCACTTGACCAACACTCGGCCCAGCCTGGATCATCTGCCAGCCTTTCATGAGGTTGTCGGTCCCTGTCTCAATGTGCTTCCTGTGCGCGTCCAGCTCCAGCCGAATGCCGCACGAAGGGAGCTGCTGGATGCGATTCACCAGCAATATATCAGCGCCTTGCCCCATTCCATGTTAGGTTTCCGCGAGATCATCGATCACTGCACACAATGGCCGCCAACCACCCGATTGAGTTCCATCCTGCAATACCAAAACCTGCACCAGGACCTGGACCGTGTTCTCCTTGGCGGGGCCACGGGGAGTCTTGAAGCTTATGTACCTGCCTCTGACGCTGCCGACCTATGGATGATGGTAACTCCCACGGACATTTGTGGTGCCGAGAGACTGCATGAGATCAAACTGAGCTACAGCGCCGCAATTATGCCCTCTTCAGTTGCAGACCGCATTCTCGACGAATTTGCCGATGCGATTTCGTTCCTCCAAGCCCCCCACGCCTCCGATGATGGATTCCAATTACATACCTACATCGACCAGACCGCGCCCGAATCCCCACCCACCCTTCCGATCGATAGACAACTCGCGGATACCGACTTGCCGCCACGGGCCGCAATCATCGCCGCCGTCAAAGACATATGGGAGCAGGTTTTCGGCCCGCAGTTCCATCGCGAGAATACCCAGGTGCGCAAGGAGGAGTGCCGGGCGATGCTGCACACTCCCTTTGGGCCGGATCCGGTGAGCGCCGCGCAACTGTCGCTGCTCTTCCAGCAGGCCGGGGTGGAAATCTCGCCGGCAGAGGCGGCCGAGTATCCGACCATCTTCCAGCAGAGCTTGCTTTGGGGCTACAAGGTGCGAGAGGGAAGTCGCTGAGTTAAGTTTCGGATGGTTTTCTAGAAACATGGATTGATGGTTTTGTGATCCTCTGCGGTCTCGTTCTGTGTATGCGCGCGCGTGTGTGTATGTATGCTCCGCTCGTTGAGATGTTGTGCGTTAGGGCACGATCCTGGATTTCTATTTGATTTATATTCAAGGGGACTCTACTGAATCCATCGACTCCTGCTACTCCCTGTGCCTGCTCCATGCTAGTATCTTAGTTAGCAACCTTCTTCCTCTTGCGGTCAGGCTGCTTCTGCTCGTCCACCCCGTTCTCCTCCTCGACCTTCTCCACTGCCCGGCTCGCTTTCTTCTCCTTCGGCATCTTTCGACCCACGACGCTGATCTCCATCTCGTCCTACAGTTCCACGGTCAGACACAGAATCCAAAATTGAAGGGAAGATAAGACCCCACCGCGAGATCCCCGGGCACAATCAATCCCGGCAAGCCCCAACTCCGGCGGAGGCGCGGGTTCTGGCGCATATAATCGCGATAGGCCGGCGCCCCGGGTCGCAGCACATTGTCGGCAATGACCAGGGCACCGTCTGTCTTCAGAAGCCCCAATTCCTCGGCCACCTGGACATCTGCCGCGTACAGCGCCTCATCGTGGTCCATGAACAGCAGGTCAACCCCCTGGTCGCCGAGGGTTCCTTGCTCATGCAACCGACGCAGGTTGTGGGCGGAGGCGCCGACGACGACCTCCACGAGATCCTGCAGGCCGGCGAGGCTGACGAGATTCAAGGCGACGGAGGCGACCAGGGGGTCGATCTCAATGCTGAAGAGCCGGGGCTGAGCCTTACGGTTCTCCTCCTCGCCCGTCTCAAGATCCGCATTGTCTGGGTGGTCCTGCGTCCAAATCTCCTTCAAGATACTTCCAAACAGGATGGCAGAATACCTAGTTCGGTCGGCAAGCCACTCCCCAATCAGCAAGCTCTCTCTTTCATGACAATGACGAGCCAACCCTCAACTTACCCAACATATCCCCCCAACTCCACCACCACCCTGGGCCGGTGCTCGCGCACCAAGACGGCCAGCTTGCCCGCTTTATCCGGACCAATGTTGATTAGAAAGTCCTCCTGGGCGGCGAACTCGTCCATCACCTCCAGAATGGCGGCCGGAGAACCCCGCAGTTTGGTGTCCAGCTCGGGATGGGCGTAGATGTGCTTGAGAAGGGTGATCTCGCGCCCGTCATGAGACTCAACGATCTCCGACTCCTCCAGGCCCGCCATCTTGCGGAGGGAAGGGTATTTGGTGAAGATGGGGGGTTCCTCGGTGTCTGGCATTCTTGCAGTGCTTGAGGGAAGGGGAAGAACTTTGGGTAAAGGGATTGGAATAGTGGATGAGATGAGAGAGGTCGGGGTTGAGGGGGGGGGTTCTTATCTAGTTGGGGGCAGATTACTCAATTGAGGTGGTGGAGGTATGGTATGGTAACTGTGCTGTTATCTGTACTGTACTGTAAAGAAAAGTATCGTTCTGTATTTTGCTTACATGCAAAAATTGAAATATGGTTTTAGAAAATCTCCATTACTAGTCCTATCCATGTATGGACCATGTATGTATGCATTGTATAGAGAGTCTATATCCTGGTTTCTCGCCTCGGCCTTACATGACCACCACGCATTTGCATGGAGTTTGGACCAAGTTTCTGTCACCCGGGCAGTAGTGGATCTCCCTGGCACGCAGTTGAGCATTGAACTCGCAGACATGCTTCTGCTGCCAGGCCAGATATTTCTTATAATGCTGAATGCACAGAACTAAATGCAGGTTCTTGGTTTCCCTGGTTCTCTTAAACTTGAAGAAAAAAGCATCCCGTCCACGATCCGGTCTGGGACGTCATCGTCGCGCGATTCACGAAAATAGCATACCACCAGACCACTCTCTGAGCCTCGCTAGCATAGAAAAGAGACGCGTCGGGATATTGGGTCCGGAGCAGCTGGAAGGCCTCGTGGAGGCGTTCCTGCCCGCGCTGCTAATTTTTGTCCCGCACGGCTGTTGCTGTTATCTGGATCACCTGGCGCTTTGGTGCGAGATTGATGAGTCCAGCTTGCGGGAGCGCCATAGTGGGTGCAGCAGCTGGGATCGTATGATGAGGCAGACGATGTGGTTGGATGAATTTGCTGTGGATCTTTAATTGATAACCACGTAACTATCTGGTTTGTATTGCTCAATTGGTCGGGAGTCTGGTGGATTTCAGGATACTATAGACACGCGAGGATGGTGCCCAAAATATGAAAGCAACTGTCTTGTCTTTCGACCCTCTTTGTACTTGTGGCATATCTTCATTCTCTATGTCTACTCCAACAAAGTATCTTGTTCGCCCACAACTGGGTGGGATTGCTGGGCCATGGGTGAGCAATTCGCTTTGATAAAGAATCTATGCCGTGGCAAAGACTGCCCTATGTTCCAGACAGCCCACTCCTGAGACCTCAAATCGCTGACAAGATGGCATATGGGTGGATCCTATGTCATGTGCGCTAGGTGCCTCAAGTGTATATGGATGCCTCGACGGAATATACCATGCTGCTTCAGAAAGATTCTTTCGACGGGTATACTGAGTTCCACTTGGTGAAACCGTAGAATACCAAAGCAAAGCCGAACCCCCCGCCTTATTCGAAGCCAGATGATGGGGATTCCGAAGGTGGCTTCTGCCTGTCACGGAACTTCGATATCCCATCGTCGTGGAGATGCCCCGTTCTTACTCTGTTGCCATTCTTGTCCAGGAACTGGAAGGAGATGGCCTTCTTCGGGTCGGTCGGATCCTTGTGAGATTGGCGAAGCTCGGTACCTTGCATAGCGCAAGCCGCTATGCGAGGATTCTGTCAAGAGTTTGGTCACATTGAGGCGAGATGGAGGTTCTAGCCCGGGGGCGGGGGGGTTCCATAGGAAGCCAACAAGGTACAACATACGCGTGCTTCTTGTTCCTAGCAATACTCATCGGCAAGTGTCGAGTGCGTCTAGTTCTTGAAGTCACTCAACGTAATCTGTCCAACGGAAGAGATGAATAGCGGATAACAGTTGCCATGGTGGGAGACACTGCGCAAGTCAAGACGGATATTAATCCCCGAAGGGGAGAGACCGGTCAGGTCAGAAGATTGCAGAACAGACTGGTTAGGCTTTCTCAAGGGAATAATGGGAAATTGCGGTGGGACTTCTGATCAGCCGTAGACTTCTGATCCCTTGATATAGCCCCGATTGGTGGCTAGCTTGCTTTTTCTGGGCGCTTGTATCATGACAGCGCGAATAGATAGGACGAGGCTGGCGCTAAGCCAAGGGATCTTACCTGTGGCGATCTTGATGTCAGCAGAAAGCAGGGTAAGCCAAGAATGAATCTATAGCCAATGTGATAAAGGAAGCATGTTTCGTTGAAACATCAAAATAGCCACGGGTCCCCGAGCAGCTGCTTCGCTGTCTTGCGTTCCTCTGGTAGCCACTTCAGCATTGACATCATGAATTGGATGAACTCCGCCTTCTCTTCCCCTGCGAGTCGCTTTTTTAGGCTCCCTAAGGAGATCATTGGCACAACTGCTTCTTCATGGGCAACCCAGGCGCCTAGCAAAACATGTCAGGTGGACAACTTCAATTAGGACCGCAAGCTAGAAGGGACTTACCACTAGGGTCAAAACACTGTTCGGTCGTTTCACTGCGGCGAATGAATTCCTCTGGCGGCGGCCCGATCAAGGCGACCATACGTGCCAGATGCTTGAACGGGTCGTGGCCGCCTTTGGCATCGAAAGTATCTTCGAACAAATGCTCCCCTTCGAAAAGGTCCCATATCTGCCAACTGACATTAGCACGCTGAGATGTTAACAGCTGCATAACTTGGCCCGCACTTACCAAGCCTGCCAGGTTCCAGATATCGATGGCGCTTCCCCAAAATCAGACAGAATTGGGAGTCCATAACTTCTATCTGCAGACGGTCGACGGAGCCGACTCTGATAGATCATACAAGACTCATCAACCTGCTTTCGAGGGCTGGGATCCTCTGCTTCGGCTCTCGCAAAGTCCGCCAGCATGCCGTCGTCCTCGAGACTCAGCATTAGGTTGTCCGTCTTGATGTCTGATAGTGAGTTAGTAATAGGCAGTCTTGCTTCTTATTGGGGGTGAGGGGGGGTATTGGTGCGCACTACATACCAGTGTGGATGACATTAGCTTCGGTGTGTAAAAAGTCCAGGGCCAGAAGCAGACGCTTCACCGTCATTTTGAGAAGAGGCAGGTTAAACGGCCTGGAGTTAAGCCCCATCATTTCCAACAAGGTCATGTGTTGCCCGGCAGGTCCGTGAAGGTCGAAGGAATCATAAAGCTCGCGGATCAGCGCTTGACCTGGATGCGTAGAATTGACTCTGGCTAGATGCTCATAGATCTTAAGCTCGCGACCTGATGCGGTCGGAAATGATGGCAGCGATGTAGACACCTTCAGCACTTTATACTGGTCGTTCCTGGGTGTAGATCGACTTGTTAATTGCATGCACGCTCACTGGGAGAAGGGTCGTTCCGTCGGAACGCACTGGAGATCCCGGCATAGCCAGCTTGTGGAATACGCCCAATAGCCGAGCTTACCGGTAACCAGATACCGGGTCTCGTATACGTCGCCAATCTTAACGGGATAGTAATACTCAGGTTTATAGTAGGCCAACGTCTCCTCTTCGACGGGCGTGTCAAGAGGCAGAGTAGTATACGCGATCTTGGATAATCTTCGTGAAGAAGATGGTGATGACGATGATAGCCTTTGCCGAAGGGAGCTGCCCCATGCACTAAATCGTCACGCCATGCCTTGATAACAACGTTGGCCAGTGATTAGCGACCTTGTCGAGGAGGATTGAGAGATTGAGAGATTGAGAGATTGAGAGATTGAGAGAATGGAAGTGGATATTGGTGCTATCCTCGAACTCATAAGGGAGAAACAGGAGTGTAGATTAAGGAAATTAGTTAGCTTATCGTCACGTGGAACTTGCTCCTTCCCCAGGAACGGCCCGTATATTCCTTATCTTTAGTACACTCTTCGTCGATTGACCCGCAAAATGTGGAGGTGCTCAACAACTGGGTCAGCCAGCGTACAGGAGTTCTCATTCCGAAGAAGCATCTTCAATTCCAGTAAAATGAATCATTTTGCATGGTTGTCCGTAGAGAATAAGTCATGTCTTCCTATTGTGTAATCCATGATACTTAGATTGCCCAGCGATCATGTGGAAGTGGACAGGGTATATTTGCTTCCTACTTTCCAGACTTTCTTAATCGACTCAAGGTTAGTGATGAATGGTTGTCACATTAGCGACAAGTAATTTAGAACGGACTCAGCAGCATGTTAGACTGCCTTTTGTTGCAGCCAGCTTTGATACTGGTGTATGGGGGAGCACAAGATGGTAATCTAAGTGGGGGCAGCGGCAGGCTTGGGCTGTGCATCACTGCATAACTGGTTTAGTCATAACATGACGCAAGCAACGAGATACGGTCGGTCCGTCGGTCGGACGTCAGCAGGCAGCAACAAAATACAGTTACAGAGCTACGCAACATTGTGGGGATAAGATGATAAAATATAGCCATCATACAGGCTCTCCGTTAATAGTGATTAAGGTTTTCACGCTAGTTTACAGTAAATCTCTTCAACGGCGCTTGCCCAAAAGCGAAGACGTCAACGTCTTGCTGGCGCTACCTGAACTCCATGAACTCCGTGGACCCCGTTGGTCTAGAAGTTTCCCATGATGATGATGCCTGCGCCGTCCATGCTGCGCGGATTTCAAACCCTTCAAGATTCGTTTGCGTCGTCCCGGCTTTTCGAGTAAATCTATCGTCCAAGCTAGGGTTAATAAAGACTCCCAGCTCCATCGAGCTTCGCCGACACCGCCAGCGGGTCGGTCTTGGGGAGAGAACTTCTGATTAGCAGCCAGCTGCAAGGCCCTGCCCGTCGCATCGCGTAGTGGACGCGCCAAGGCTGGGTTGCACGCTAGAAGTCTGGCAAGAAGCTTCGTCCGGAAGACCGTGGGGCGGGTCGATGCCGTCGAAGTTGACAGAGTCGGGGTCGAAATTAACCATAGAATCAAATGGAAATGCTGATAGATCTCCTCCGTCGAGAAGGTCAAACGCGAACCCGTCTTCAAGGACTGAAGAATCCGACCCAGCGGGTGAATCACCGCTGAATAGGCGGTTGAAGTCGTCGTCAGAAAGAGGAGCTGCAAGGTCATCTGCAGCGTGAGGTTCCACGTTTGGGCCGAGCTCAAACAGCGAGAGGGCGCTTCCGTCTCCTTCGAGGCCAGCGACTGACACTGCAGGTCGCACAACACCGCTGCAGGATGTTGTGTCAAGTCGGAGGACTCAGCCAGAGTGGAAGGCCGGAGAGTGGGGGAGTAGTCGGTGTAAGGAGAGGTCGGGAAAGGAATTCGGTCGAGGGGGAGTTCGTCGCGCTCCTGCTTAAACAGGGTCGGCGTAAGGGTGGGAGAGGCCGAAGCAGGGGAGCCGGGCTTGGGAGTGTTGCCACGGGAACCCCTGACCTCGGCGGATAGTTGAGCGACTTGTTGGTTCAGGCGGTTGTTTTCGGCTTCCATCTGGGTCAAGCGCTGGAGAAGGAACTGGTTCTGTTGCTCCATCTGGATTTTCTCGTTTTCTAGTTTCTCCATCTCGAGGCGCTTGCGCTCTCGAGATGTTTGTGCGGCAGCCCGATTCCGAAGAACACGCTCGATGCGGCGCTGCTCCTTTTCGTCCTCCGTCTTGGCCCGTTTCCTAGATTCGTACGTTAGTATCATCATACTTCGATACTTCGGACGCCCTTGCATGGAAGAACATACCTTGGAGGAAGGTTGGTCTTAGGGACTGGCAACTCCTGGCCCCATGACTTTCTCTTCTTCGCAGGCTTCTTGTCCTCTGACTTCGTTTCGGCCTTGACGGTGGGATCATTCAAGGAAGTGTCCGCTGGGGAGACGGTGAGCATGGGAATTTCCGGAGCCGGCGAGCCAGCCAACGATTCCACTGGGGAGAAACCGCCTTCCATCTTGCAAAGGCGATATGTTGATCTGTCTAATCGTAGACTGTATGGGTCACGAAAGTAAGGTGATGCTCAATGCTCAGGAAGGCGTAGCTCGATCACGTCTCTTTTTTTTTGCCCAGGTCACAGGGACAGAGGCCACGGTGTCATCACGGTACAAGCCGGGTCGGGGGAGGGGGGGGGGCCAGGTGGTTGACCAGCAACGTTCTGGTTGGTTAGACCCAAAACGGAAGCTGGGGGAGGAAATGGGAAGAGGACAACTGTCCACAAAGGTAACGAAAGTAATAAGATGGAGAGGGTTGACTGCTTTCAGACAGTTCGAATGAGAGTGTCTGGGAGAGGGAAAGATTGCCTCTTTAAAAGGCCAGCGTGGTCAGTTGAGGGGGCGTCTCCTTTTCGCAAGGGGGCGGAGTCTCCCTTCGTCAGCCAAGTACCCGTACCGTACTGTAAGATATGTTGGAATTGGGATATGCTCGGCAGAAATGTACCTGGGGCTACCTTGGGGGCGGTGTTTGGGGCCGTATGAAGCCGTATGATACCGTAAGCATTACCTACAAAGCCGGGCTGGAATGGGAGGCGGTACCAATTGAACCCCCCCTGAAGGTGTGAACTCGACCAACTTGAGGGACTTTGGGGGAAACTCGTACCCCCTCTCGACTCCTCTTTCCTTCATCCACTTTCCCATTCCCTTTCAACCTGCGACACGCTCCGGTCGAGATTGTGGAACCCTCTTCCGGCACCCCCTCTTCATTATCGGTGATCGGGAAATCTGATTGCTCTACCCTCCAGGTTTGGCCCCGCCCCCCTCTCCCCCCAATGCCATTTTTATCCCTGCTCCGGACGGTCCTGAGATTCTCTGCCTTTTGGCCCGCTCCGCCTCGCTGACGAGAGCTGCCGTTGCGAATCAGTAAGACATGCTTGCTGACTCTGATGCTCCTTAGCGCCTCCGCAGGTTCGTGTTCGCTCGCATCACTTCTCATTGACTCGACTACGCCATCATTAATACTTGCTATTGAGATTCCATCTTTCGCTTTGTCCAGTGCACCCGAGACGTTCCACGGTTACGCTCTGAAAGAACCGGGCAGAGAGTGGGAAACACCTCAGCTCAGTGGTGCTAATGGCGTGATCTGGAAGACGCATGAACGCAGATCTCCACCGGGCCGTACTAATGACTCCCCCTGTCTGGGCTCGGCCGTTGCAACTTCCGTGGTGAATGCAGTCTAGCCAATTCTTCGAGCTTCTGTGCCCGAGTGACTCTATCATTGGTGGATCACACTCTCCTCTCCGCCATGCTCCCCCTCCTCACCCCTGATTCGGCTTGTCTGGAATTTGGATCTCAATTAACCTGCACAAAGGAGATATCTCCTCTCCGCAATTTATCGTCGGAGATTATTGTGAGCCATTTAGGGGCGTTCTTTGGGAATTTTTCCATGACAAGGGGGTGCGTTCGTGTGCAGTCTGCGAATAACATCACGGACTAGGCACTGAGCTACCTCTCAATTGAGTGACTGATGCTCACATCTGGTGGTTGATTGACGGCCGGTCACGTTCCCACAGCTGTTTATCGCGTGCTGAGAAGGATTAAGAGGTTCACCTTATTCTTCCTTCCTCAACTATGTGCCGGCTCATGGATCACATGACCTCTATCTTCGGCTTTTGTTGACAGGACAGTAGCTCATCGTCGTCGCATGCCGTCGTCGCATGCCGCTCTCTCACAGGGCTCACTCATCAAGTCCCCTATCGCATTCCCTTCCCCTTAGGATTGCACCGTATATTATATCTACCCAAGGATGCCCAGCTCGTCCCTTCTTCGTCGAACACCATGCCACAAATATCCTGCGAACCTCTCTCGTGTCCCATCATCAAACTCGACTCAACATCGACGTTATTCAGTCGATGTTCCTGGCCCGCAATGCCCCCGCACATCTCGATATAAATAGCCAGACAGATCCCTAGAAGATCTCTGACGATCATCCGCATTATTCGTGCTTGATCAGCTACGTTACGTGTGCTGCCAGTGCAGTGCATTCATAACGCCGTTAGTCTCAGTGAAGTTTCAGCTCTTGAGGAGCGGCGCCATAGCACTGCCTACGCGATTCGCCTCCTCCCACGTCGTTGACTCAGAGGCAGCGCGTAAGAGCGAGGAACATTCGGTGATGTTATACCTTTCAGGAATTTCCCAACGCAGGCACTCGTATTTCCGACAGCGGCCTCGGGTTCTGCTTGGCGGCTCGTATTCTTACTCTACGCGAGCATGCTGTCCGCTTCATGACTTCCACACTTTTAACGTGTCATCGGGCATCCATGTCGCGATGCCTTGCTTGCGCACGGTGGGCAAGCGTACAATAAACGCGCACGAACCCTCCCTGCGATAGCATGGCGTGTGTTGAGGTTTCGTACCTTGTCAGCTCGACGGCTGCGGGGGTACCAGCCAGTTAGCAGATCTCTCTCGTCTGTAACCTTTGACTCTAGAGATTGGGTCTCAGGATAATTCTGTCCTCCGCACGTAGTCTATTCCAGCTCTCATTGTTAGTTGCTCTGGGTAATCCTACTATTTCCAAAGTACATTACATTGCCATTTACTGGCATGTGTATGCAAAGCAAATTGGCCATTGTCAGAAAGCATGGACTCTGTCAGACGGGTTCAAGTAAACGATGCAGTCCAGGGAGCACTTCACATGGTCAAATCTTTCCACCATGATAAAGCATGTGGTGCACTCCAACCTGTCGAGGGGAATGGAAGTTACATTGACTTGGTTCATCCGGAAATCCTCATCTGCTGCCAGACGAGGTTGAGGACTAGGCTGTGAATGCACATAATATATAGTTCATATTCTTGCAAATGCCCCGTATAAGTGACTACATGCGACTACGACATTTAGAGAGCTGTTGTTTCTTGCTCAGATTGTGCATTGTTCAATCCAGAATCCCTACGATATTACCTTGGCGGATGCATGTAGCGGATATATACCTTCACCTCTGGATTTGGCTAATCTGGGCCACAACTCTCAAGTATTTTAACCATAAACCAAGTACTCAATCACATCTAAAGAATAAAGAGACTTAAATATTTAGTATTTCGCCTGTTCCAACCCGCAATATAC